ATCGCCCTCATGTGGAGGACAAAGCGCGGAACGCCGCCTCTTCCGACTCGCTTCTTCCAGCCCCATTCCTTCCGGCCCACTCCCGCACCATGACCTCCCAAAGCTTCAATCGCTATCGAGACGATCAGAGCGGGGAGCTTCTTGCCGCCCCGGCACTGTCCAAGATTCTCACTTCAGAATGTCAGGGTGAGGACCGTCGCTAATGAAAGCTGATAGCAGAGCGAGACCTACTCCCAAGCTGAACGCGGTCGACCGCTCTCCGTCTCCTTAGTCCTTCGCTTCCCTGCATTCAGTACCGGGAATGCCTTTGCCCTAGGCTGCCGCATAAGGGACACCTTCCGGAAGAATGAACGCTATCATCAGAATGGGACGGCAGGCATGGCTCTTGCGATCACTCTCTTCAGCGGTCTGACATTATACCAGACTTGTGTCGGCCAGGGCGTGACACCCGATAATATGGAGTGGCTCCACAGGAAAAGCAATACAGTGAAGAGGTTCGGTGTCTCCTCGTGGCTGCGTGGGCAACAAAGATTGGCCAAAGGCCGACCAGCTGATGACCCGTTGCTCGGGCCGGACTTTGCGGTATGTACGAGCAGTCTTGTGCACAGCCTGGGGCAGCGTTTGGCGCTATACTGACTTCCTTATGACGATTGACAGGCTCACGGCGGCGCATTCCCAATCTACATCGAGGTAAGTGCTGAGTGGAGTGGAGCGAAGCGAGCCTCAGGCCATAGTCTGATATTGTTCTGCTTGCCTTCACTGCATGTTCGATGCGAGCAGGGCGTAGACGTAGGGCCCATCGGGGCGGTCACGATCTCTGGTGAGTAAATCGTAGACTTTGAGATGAGTCGCTACTGCATCTGACCCCTCATCTCGCTCGCATGAACTTCAGGCATGACACAGGAGCTGGATCACGAGCTGGCCGTTCTGTGCATCACATCGTTCATTCAGGACTTGAAAGACGTGGTCTGAGTACTTCCTCTGTGCGAATATCACGGGTTGTCTATGAGACGAGTGCTGAATCTGCGCCGCCTGGCCAGACCATCACGCAGACATTTATGGGCCGTCGGCGGGTGTTGCTTTGCGGAACGCTGGTTGACGGCTGAGCTGCAGGCTGCCGCCCTTTCCGCCACGGCTGGCGTCATTATTGTTGCAGCTTCGCAATTTGTTCTCTGCTTCCCTATCGTCTGCCTCTTGCTCTACGTTCCACCTTGGCATTTTAGCTAATCCTACATCGTTCGGCTCTCTGGCTCAGCGGCTTGCCTGCTCATGTGTCGTCTCTTGGTATTCAAGGGCGTGGAGCCGATCCAGCTGTCCAATTTGGTCACGAAGCCAGCCCACTCCATCATCAATCAGGCCTTCGATGCTCGTCTTCGCCTGGACGCTACCCGATCTGTCAATGGCGATGGGTTCGGTCTTGGATGGTACGATGCTACCGAATGTGAAGCCGCGGAGTCATCTGCACCCCGCACCGCTGATACCGAAGGCGTAGAAGGTGTCGCCCTTGCAGCACCATCAAAAGACGCCAAGGACGCCAACCCCGAGGCGCCTTGTATCTTTACTTCTGTCACGCCGGCCTGGAACAATCAGAACCTACGACGGCTATGCGAGAAGATCCGATCGCCCCTGGTATTTGCTCATGTTAGGGCCTCTACCGCTGGCGCTTTATCGGAGACCAATTGCCATCCTTGGAGATTCGGCCGTCTGATGTGGATGCACAATGGACAGATCTCTTCCTTCTCAAAGCTAAAGAGGACTCTGCTGTCCTCCCTGAACGATGAGCTGCTGGACTTTCCACAAGGGCAGACTGACAGCGAGTGGGCCTTTGCGCTCTTCCTCAGTCATCTCGACAGGCCTCACAGGGAGGAGGCTTTTGGCTGGAAGGAGCTCAAGATTGCCATGGAGACGACGATTGCAGATCTCAATGCTTGGGCGAAGAGCAAGGGTGTGCAGGAAGTGAGTGGAATAGATCTGTACCTCAGGAGAAACTCGTGCAAGACACCTAGCTGACAATGCGAACTCCCTTGACAGCCATCACTGATGAATTTCTGCGTCACAGATGGTCTGTCCATCTTGTGCACTCGCTACGTGTCTTCCCTCCATGATGAAGCAGCCTCTTTGTACTTTTCTTCAGGTACAAGTTTCTACGAGAGAGAGAAGGGCATGTTCCGCATGCGAAAGGAGGACAGGCGACAGAACATTGTAGTGGTGGCCAGTGAGCCTCTCACGTTCCAAAAAGGTGAGCGGCGCAACATGGTATTCAAAGGTTGCCGCAAGACAAGCCCCTGACCATCTTTTGCATTGCTGCCACACAGCCGATTGGATGGAGGTGCCTACCAACACCATGATCATCATCACACCGAAGATGAACGTCCTTCAGATTCCCATCCTAGACGAATACTCCCCCATCGACCGGCCCCATCCTACAAGGGCGCCAAGAGCAGCAAATGCCTCGAAGACTGATGAGCTGGACAACTCCTTCCAATATCAAAGTCACCAAGCCAAAGCGTCCCATTTCACCTCTCCTCTGCAACGCATCCACGTCGAAGACGTCAGTCGAACTGCGCGCAACCGTGTGCCAGGCACTGGCGAGGCAGACGAGGAGGAGACCGGCGAGGAGTCCTTTCTGGAGAAGGCGCGACAGAGGAATCGGCGTAGGGAAGGTAGTACGCAGCGTTCGCCTGCTTTTGCCTTACACAAGGGCTTTCCACCAAACAGCCACGTCGGCCTTGGTGTAGCAGGCGGTGTCAGCAGCAATGCGGGGGCCGCTACCGCGGGCAATGCCTGAACGGTGGTGCACAGACGCAAGGACGGCGGACGATGACGACCAGGGGCAAGGAAGACGACCCGACTATACCCAAGCTTTCAATTAATCTTTACTAAACGCTGTACTTGTTCGTCCCCTTGTGCATCAGAGGGCAGTGCCGGTCGTTTCTCAGACGTGGTCAGAGGCATGGGGATAAGAGATACGATTCGAGAGGGAAAGAACGACAGTAGAGAGGACAAATCGAAGCCATTAGGCGGATCGTCGTCCGCTATGGTAAGGTGGGGGTCGGAGATGGGGTACTGTACAACAAGACTTCCATCGTTGCGATCGATGCCGAGGATCGTCTCGGGGTAGTCAGGGCGAAGGGCGGTCTAGATTGACACGCTAGGAAGAGCTCATTAGGACGGGGACGAGAGGCGACTTGCTTCAAGCTATCGCGAGACAAAAACAGTCCCTGTCTAGGCAGCGGAAGGGGTTGGGTCTCCCTTGGCCTTCTTGGGCTTGATGACTGAGGCAGGGTCGCAGACGAAACAATGGGATAGGAGTAGGTGATCAGCATTGGCTCGAAGTCACGCGTTACCGCGGTCAGTGGACGCGTCTCGTACTCACGAGCCTTGTTGATGTGCGGTAGAACACCACCTCCAGCAATGACGGCCCTAACCAGCGAGTCCAGCTCCTCGTCACCTCGGATAGCCAGCTGCAGATGCCTGGGCGTGATCCTCTTGACCCTCAAGTCCTTGGATGCATTGCCGGCCAGTTCGAGAAGCTCGGCGGTGAGGTATTCCAGAATGGCGCAAGTGTAGACTGATGCCTTGGCTCCGATGCGGATGTTGTTCTGGGTTCGTCGCTTGAGGTGTCGGTGAACACGTCCGACGGGGAACTTTGGGGGAAGCACGATCACATGAAGCAAGGAATTGACATATCAGCATTCGGATCGCGTTCAACCGTGGCAATGAGGGCGTGTGCTGGCGAACTCTAAGAAGAAGAAGACCAGCAAGCGCGGAGGACGGGCTCAGAAGAAGACCAGCTGACATGAGATCACGCCAGCCAATGGTACCAGCACGACTTGTACCAAAGCTCGGGTCGTGGCAACGCGAGGACCTCCGGCTGTGGATGCGCGAAAGGCATTGCCGGGTATCTAGGCAGAAGCGGCTGAGATGGCGAGCATCGTTCATGGGCCCGCTCTGTCCCTTCTGAATCCTGTCCAGAGCTGTACTGCAGTCCAAGCGGCGCGGATTGGCTCTCATTGCATCCACTTGGCCATTGAGCCGGCCAGGATTTCTCATGGCCAGCACCTTCTGCCCATGGCCATGGGCATCCATGCGCATCCATCGGCATCGCTAGTCTGTAGATGTCTGCGTTGCGCCAGACGGACCATGGAGCGAGTCAACTCACCTGCAAACCGGCTCTGCTGCTCTGAGTCACGGCCTTGCTCTTGCTCTTCTTGTCGGCGGCTGCTCCACCGCCGCTGATGGCGTTGGACACGGCGCCCATGACCTTGGATCCGGTAGACTTCTTGGAAGACATGACTATGAGGTGGTGTTGACAAAGAGGGGAGGAGGTGTAGCAAGGATGTTGTCGTTGGTGGTAGTGTTATTGGAGGAGAGGCAGACAAGGGTGGGGCAAAGGCGAGGAACGGAGAACAGGAAAGGAAAGAAGGGCGGAGTGGGAAGCAGGCGAGGCGTGGAGCATCGAGGCGCGCCCGTGACTGATGGGATCAGTGGCAAGTGTCCCTTTTCCGTAAAGAGGTCGGGCGGAGGCCATCTCTCACATTCGGACACCACGGCAGGGCAAGCCAAGGCTGATAGAGTGTGCGATAGGACTATGATACATGATCACGAAAGTTACGGAGCCGAGTGACAGGGGAAAGCAGGCCAAGAGAGAGGTACAACAAACACGGATCGCAGTTCGACTTTTGTCTCTGTCCCGCTTTTGACGCTGGAGTACAGTGCCGAAAGTAGCTTGACGTCGTCAAGACCTGCCTTGAGAAGGATAATGTTGCCTTGAGAATCTCACAGATTGCCGATGGCCCCTCGTCCAATCGTTGCTGTCGACGTCGGCCCCGGCTGCAGCTACCAGAGGCACAGTGGGGCCATCACCCATCAAGGTGCTCTCGCTCATAAGGCTCGCGTCGTCGCCTTGCTCTTCATAGATCCTTTGCCCCCTGTCGCCTCCTCTTCCGCCACTGCTTCCCTGCACTTGACTGTAGTCCCCGTAGCCACTAGCTCTGCCCGATCCCCTGCCCACCTTGGTGAAATCGTACGGCACAAAGTCAGCCTTTGCCGCCGGCCTTGATCGTTGCTGAGAAGAACCACGTGCACCACTCGTCTCTTCCATTCTCATCGAGGGCCCTTCGCTGCCGAATTGAGCTCCTTTACTCCTTCGTAGCTTCCTCTTCCTTGTCTGACGGATGCAGAGGTACCACAGCGCCAAGATGGTCAGACCGAGGACCAGAACGATGGCCACCACCACGGCTGCAATCTGCCCTCTGCTCAAGGAGAGCGCCTTGACAGAGTCGCTGTGAGGAAGCGAGGTCCAGAGAGAGTCAGTCAGTGGTCTCATGACTGAATGGCGGGCCAGAATTAGCAATCCCTCCTCTACACTCACTACCCTGCTTGCACGCCATCCGAAGCAGATTGGGTAACCCCCGACAGCGCACCCGCTCTTCGCTGGAGTGCAGGCATTGATGTACAGGGCCACGTAATTCGCTCAAAGCTGCCTTGGGAAAGCGCAAGGCTGGTGGAAACGTGAGGAGCCTTTCTCTAACGGTACCAGCTGGGGAGAGGAGGACTTCGATGGTCTAGCAGCCAACGTGGCTAGTGGACGCAGATATCGTGCAAGATGAGCCACTGGCGTCAGAAGAACAGGCAAGAGTACTGCCGCGAGCTGGTAGAGACAGAGGAAGGAGTAAGAGACAGAGAGAGGGTAGTTGGCATTCACGGGCTGTCACATAGAGGTGGGGAAAAACTTGGAGGAATGGCCTTGCTGCTTCTATTCTCGCTGGGGTCTGGGCGAAGCGGCAGTGTGTTGACGCCCCGGCGTTTGCGATTGATCGGGGCGTCTGCTAAAGGAAAGAGGCCGTACTGCTCTGATGCAGGCACCGCGGCGAGATCCAATGCAGCGGGGTGCGGGGAAACGGGCAACCAGAGGAAGCAAGCAGGGTCTGATTGAAAGGTGCAGGGGAAATTGCCGATGCCGCACACGCACACACACACACACACACACACACACACACACACACGTACGAGCACCCGCTACAAAGACTTCAATGACAATCGAGTCTGATGGTCCGACCCGCTCAGCCGGCGGCCAAGCTCACAATACCGTTCTCATACCACTAGAGACATACAGCCTTACACAAGCTTCCCTATGCTGCGAGGTCGTGCAAGAGAGCCTTAGTAACTGCCTCCGGATGAGTCACGACAATGAAGTGCTGATGTTACCCGGACGCAAGAAGACGAATAGGTGAGCTTGCACTGTTCAAGACGCGCAACGTTCCGGTCCTGTTTTTAGAATGACTCACCTCTCCTCCAGGAACCACTGTCAATCTCTTGCGCAGCTCATCGCCCTCTGGACCCAAGTGGTCGATCGACGACATCGGGACGATACTGTCGTAATCACCCCAGCTGAAGTAATGGAGCATTATTAGTAAACGGTAGGGAAAAGGAACGAGTCGCTTGTTCAGAAGCAGTCCCATTGTACGCATCTCTCTCTTCCCTTTCCTCGTCTACTCACATAGCAGACAGGCGCCCTCCAAACGATCGAATGACAGACTTCATGATAGCTGCCTGGTCGAAGATGGGGCCTTCCCGGAAAGAGCTGAAGTAGCTGTGAGGGAAGCCGGGATGGCGAGTCAGCTGCCAAGCCACGATAGGGTTGTTGGCAGGCAGCGGCAGACCCAGCCCGATGTTCTTGGTCAATGTCTGCATCACGCCCACAGATACGTAGTTGCTTGCATAGAGCCTACCAGCCTGTCCAATGGCTTCGCGAGGTGTAGCTCCAGCAGGACAGATCAACACCACCTTCTTGACACGGTCGGGGAAGTAGTGTGCAAAGTTTGCGACAATGGCACCTCCCAGCGACATTCCCACGAGATTGAAGGAGTTCCACCCAGGCAGCGCAGCGACTAGGTAGGACAGCTGGCTCAGGAACAGATCCACCCTGTGGGGCACTTGGGGCGAGTCCGAATATCCACGGCCGTAGAGGTCCTGGTTGCGCCAAGGAGAAAAATGGGGATCAGCGAGACGCAGATCGAGCAGCGAAACGCATCGATGCACTCACAAAGGATAGGACCCGATAGCCTGCTTCTGCGAGCCTGGGAGCGACGTTCTTCCAGACTGTGCTTGGTGTAGTGATCCCGTGGACGAGAAAGACTTTCTCGCCATCTTCTGGACCGAATTCGTAGTATCTGATGGGAGCCATGCCAAAGGTCATGTCAGCTGCTGCACCCAGCCAATGCGCTCGCTAGCTTCGAGTGAGGCCTTGGCAAGCATTCACCTGATCTTGCCTAGCGGCGTCTTTAGGAATTTCCCACCCGGGTAGACGTCCGCTGGGTAGGCGCCCTCCTTGTCTAGCTCTGGTGCTTCTTTGACTGCGGCCACGGTCGAGCGATCCAGCTTGGGAAGGAAGAGGTAGCCACTGGCGGCAACCAGCGCTACCGCTCCGGCAAGACCAGTGTACGGCCCTTGTACGCCATTGGGCGCATGGCTGCTGAAGACGCGCGAGATCTGAGCGATGGTCGAGTCAATTTGCGATCCTATAGTCATGATGTGATGGAGGTGAGAAGGGGGGAAGAAAAGGAAGGAATGAAGATACGGATTGAATGGTGTGGGTGCAATCAAGTGATGGCTTGTCGCTGCTCAGCGTGGCCCTCCACTGCCGCCATTGCCGCTTCCGCCTCTCTTTCCGATGCATCGGCTCCCCTTGCTCCTTCCGATGGTGATTCACTCTTCACGTATTTCCAACAGACTCAAGGTTCAGAGGCTACGACTTTAATGACTGACCGACGTCGAACATCTCTGCCCTACCATGGCTGACGAAGGAAGGTCTCAGCGACATCTCGGTTCGTACTACGTCGGAGCAGCTGCGCAATGCTCAGCCATGTCCTGACAAGCACCGCTTCCCACCCGGCAGGTTTCCATGAGCGCTGGTCCCTCACGCGTGACAATGTAGGCGCTCCGCCTATACTCGTCTTCATCGCAGAGTCTGAGGATTCGCTCCGCAGCAAGACGGTGATCAGGGAGCGTCTGTCAAACCGCGTTCATTTGCTCCTCCAGGCGTACCCTCTGCTCTCTTGCTGCGTAGCTGACGCTCGAACGCGGAGCCCTGCATTTGTACAGAGGGAAGTCTTGGCTGAAGAAGTCTGTAGCTTTTCAGCTTCTGAGAGTGCTACAAGCGCTTCGAGGCTCTTCTCAGATCGCTTCAATCGGCCTCAAAGCTTCGATGTGCAAAAGGGGCCTCTGTGGAAGGTCGACATCGTTGAGGACGAGGCCCCGGGAGCTTACTTTGTGGTCATGACTGCTCATCACTCCATGGTGGACGGACGAGGAGCGGCAAATCTCTTCCAATTACTCCTCAGCGCTGAAGCTCTCCCGGAAGAGGGAAGACTGCTCGGATTGCCCCCGCGGTCCGAGGATGTAATAGCAATGGCACCCTCGTGGTCGTACATCCTGCCGAAAGCCTTCTTCGGCCTGGTTCTGCCACGACTGCCTGCTCTTCTCCGGCACTATCTCACACCGAAGCGTCCGTGGCTGTGCGATCGAGCAGTTTTGGCATCACCTCACGGTGCACACAAGCGCACAGAAGTCATACATCTCCCTGGAGCTTCACCTACCCTTCGACGACTCGCCGCTTCTCACGGCGTGACGACCATCAACAGTGTCTTGCACTCGGCCTGTCTCGCCACATGCTTTGCGCTAGCAGGCTCGTCGACCTTACCCATGTATCTCGATTCAGCGACGCCCATCAGCGAACGCAGCCCGGCAACATGCACACCTTGCACCGGCAACTTCGTGGCTCTCTTCGAGTGGCGTGGTAGTATTAAAGCAGAAACGTCATTCTGGGGAATCGCTAAAGAGTATGGGGCGAGCATCGTCTCATCAGCTGAGCGCACTCGAGCTAGATATGCAATCGGTGCCTTAGCATTCCTTCCTAATTCGGACGACTGGCAGAGCACGCCCGAGAGACCTACGCAGTGGGAAGACTACCTTCTGACAAAGGCGCATGATAGCACACCATTTGGGGCCACTTTTGAGCTATCCAATCTAGGCAAAATTTATGCACCAGACTGGGTCAGCAGAGTGACTTGGGCGCAGAGGCCATCGATCGCCTCCACACCCCTGACTGTTGACGCTTGTGGCCGAGGAGACGACATCTGCCTATGCATCGGGTCTAGCGAGGGCGTTCTCGAACCCGAGTTGGCGGCCTTTGCTGAATCTTTGGAGCGAGTGATCAGACGAATTCTGAGCTTGAAAGAGCTCCAAAGCCCTACCTTGGGTGATCTTGCCCAACCGTAGAAATTCGAGACGTTGGCATAGCTGCCACCGGCGGCTGACGACCGGAGAGGCAGATGGACGCATCGCCTACTCTCAAGCTCAGAGAGAACCTACATGTCACCAGCCGCGCTGGCGATAGACGAGCCGAATTTCGTCAGCGTCGAAGCGCAGCCGTACCCTCTCCGAAGTACGATCGAGGCTCTTGCCTCACTTCGATTCTCTAGCTTGTTTGGACCACGTCACCTATGTCCGAGGCCAGGATGAAATCGAGATTCCGAATTGAGGTAGCCAGGATCTTGTCCACCTTCGTTTGAGGCCATATGCCCGGCGTGAATGTCAGAAGAAACGTCAGACGACCGTCGAATGAATAGGTACGTCCGCTGATCAGGGAAAGAGTGCGTCGCAGCATCACGTCCGCGTCTAACACTTGGACGTCGAGGCTGTCACCGCGATACAATGTTGCGATGTGGCGGTCTAAGAGGCCATCAGCAGTACAGACTATGGGGGGTGCACGCACACTAGATGGCGCCTTATCCTCCTGGGATGTAGTTGCTTGCTTCATGAGCGCCTCGAATGCTGTCATCAAGGAGAATGTCTCTACCACGGCGTTGCCTCTGTGTGCTATCACAATGGAAGTGAGCGCTTGCGCCAAGCGATGGACTGCGATGGCATCCTCTGACGTGGAAAGCCTGCCTTTGCGAACATTGTCGGTGAGCGGCTTGCAGGGCAGGACGTTGAAGGTTACATCAATGGCATTGCCATAGAAGGATTTTGGTAGCGGAATGAGATCGCGAAGGTTGATGGGAAAGTCGTAGTAGATCTGGCTAGTCTCCACTGCTGGATATACCTCCAGCATGGCAACAAGGAAGCAAGCTTGCAGGAGTTGGGAGACGGTCACGCCGAGCTGCCTACACCGTAGCAAAGCGCTGGCAGTTGCTTCCGTTGACAGTCGCTGCTTTGACATGCCCATGGAAGGACTCATCTCCGCATCCTCCATCGAGGCGGGGCCAAAGAGGTGTCCATTCTGAGGGAGATCGCCTTGGTCAGTCAGTTTCAAAGGACGGGAAGAAGACGAGACGTGCTGCGCGGCTCACAGGAAAGTTCATTGCTTCGATCTGCTGCTGCGCCAACTCAGAGTGATCTGCTTCGATGATATCAGAGTTGAGATAAGTCAGGAAGGATGGCTCCGGTGTTTCTTTGCTCCGCCTGCTTGCTGCACCGGACGCCATAGCTCCCAGTAGCGCATGCATCACATGCCACACGCCCGTTCCGTCGAAGCAGAGGTGAGACGTACGAAGCGTCAGAGCGACAGTGACTGTCGAGGTTGGATCTTTTGTAACGTCGCTCTCTAGTATGGTCGCATCGAGGAAAGCGTGACCTTGATCATTGAATGGGCAGGCTGACTGGCAGACTTGCGCCGTGGCTTCTTGCAAGAGGCATTCCGGCGAGATGCTCTGCACTTCGGCTGTATGTACCTTGAACGTAGCGTTGGCCCACTGCTCCTCTTGAGACTGTTCAAAGTCCTTCTGGTAGACGAATACAGGGACACCTTCGTCCGAGAGCTCCGCAAGTACAGAGAGCGTGGGGATGCGAGTGTACAGAGATCTCCACGCCTGACGGATGAAGCGAGCGACATCGCCGCTTCCACCTGCTGCATCGACCTTGATGAGGACGCTATGTACCATACTGGTTGATGAGAGATTGTTGCGAAGGCGATCAGATCGAATTGCGGCTGCCAAGGTTGAGACGCCGCCGAACTCACTAGAACTCGCAGTATCCACGGCCGGTTGGCTGCGTGCTCGTGTACAGGCTTCGCTCTGCGCTGATGAGCGACCTGGTCAGCCTCGACTTTCCTGCATCACGAGTCCACTGTAGGCGTCTGCGAAGCTCGTCTGTCTTCGAGAGGTCCATGGTGAGGCTGGCAAGGGTTGACGAGTAGAGTGTCTAAGAGGTTCTTCCTGACCTCCCTCTCTTCCCGCAAAACGCGGTATGCGAGGTCTGAACAGGGCCGTGCGGGGGGCGGAGTCCAGAATTGGCGATTGCCTTGTTCTCTTGTTCTGTGGGTCAAGGAGTGATGGACCATGTCGCCTCTTCCGGGGCCCGGGGTGAGCCCTGCGCTGCGTCAAATACTTCCTACTCTTTGCTTCCTACCCTTCTTGTCATATGCCCCAGCCTCCTCTTCTGTGCACGCGGAGATATGTTCGATTGGCATCAGCTCAACCTCGAGCGCGGCTACCCCGGCGAAGGCCGAGAGACCGTTGTCATCTATTGTGATGGAGCCGCATTGCGAAATGGCAAGACCGGGGCTTCTGCTGGGTATGGTGTCTGGTTTCAGAGGATCTGTCATCGGGACTCGAACTGTTATGGTCCGGTAGAAGGACCGCAAACGAATCAGAGGGCGGAGCTGACGGTGAGTCTGTGTCCTCAGTCTGGGAACAGTCTCTCCCAAACCTACTAACCTAGGCCAGCATCACGTCTCTTCCTTGGGTCCTCTACGAAGGTTCTGCTCTTCGCCATAAGATCAGCCCCATCAGATCCCCTCTGGTGATATTCACAGACTCCAGGTACACCATCAACTGCCTCACAGATTGGGTGGTAGGTACCAGCGGCTATGACACTTATGGAGCCATGTACGTGCTCACTTGGCCGGCTCACCTTCCCAACTTGGTCCTTCGCGCAGAATCGGTGGCAGTTGAACAACTTCACTAACGCCAAAGGGCTATCTGTTGTCAATGAAGATCTCATACGCGATGTAATGGAAGTACGAGAGGCACATGATGGCAAAGTTCGTCTCCAATACGTACCGGGACATTCGGGAAGCTATGGCAACGACCAAGCCGACAGGTGAGCACGCAGGGGACGAGTCACCTGGCGACTTTGCTCCTGACACTCTTGCTTTCTTCGATCTTGCAAGACTTGCCTGCATGGCCGCTCGCGAGTATGAGCAATACTATTGAGCCTGGGTATATCAGACTGGGCCTGAGCAGTACTGTCTCTTGGCGCAGTCTGAAGGATCTCTGTCTACTGGCTTGTGACACACACATCCGCTAAAGAGGGCGCGGTGCTCAGCAGCTCACCTTCTCTCGTTGAAGTATACCCTGTATCTGCTCTCACGCCGCGGTGTGTCCTGATACCTGTTCTCTACTATATCCGTAGCTTTCTATCTCAATTCTATTCACACGACAACTGCTGGGAATGCTTCACAAGAGCGAGTGCGTACGCGGCCGAGCTTGTACCCGCGTCCGCGGCATCGTCTGCAACTTCCAACACCCAAGCGGAGACCTCTAGCAACGGTGAGCGAGCCGAAGGGTGCGTGTGACCTGCATGCCGAGCTCTTGCTCGACGGCGCCCGCACATACACTCATAGGCCCGAGGATCCCAACCGCTCCCCTCTCTATCCATTCGCACCTACGCCTACACCTCTGCTTACATCTAGACTGCTGCTTACACCTATACAACAATCGCCATGGCCGTCCGTCCCATCCGGAATCTGATGCATCTCAGCGCCGCTGACATCTACAGAGCCGTCACCCTGGCGGACCGTATGAGAACCGTGGGACCCGAATGGATCGCCACCGACAATAGCTACGCTCGACTTGATCTGCCACAGGTGGATGTCTACTGCTCTGGCATCTGTTCTGCGGGAACTTATGGGCATACGGTCGCTGCTGGCTGGGGCGTCTACTTCGATGAGCAAGAATTCAGGTATCTCAACGGTGGTGGCCCGGTGACAGGGCGGCGGACAAAGTACAGAGCCGAGCTGATGGTAAGTGCCGTGTGACACCATCGGAAAGTGTTCATGATGACTGATGGATCACTGCTTCTCCCTGATCACAGGCTATATATCATACTCTAGTCAAGATCCCTCCCGACCACCATGTGGTCATCTACACTGAATCATTCCATGTGCTCGACTGCTTTTATGTGTGGTTCGTGAGTGTGACCTTGGGCAAGCTATCGTCCCCTCGCCAGTGTGGCTGCTTATCTATGCTACTCTACCCATCGATCTTTCTTAGGATTATTGGGAGGTCCACGGCTACTTCAACGTCGATGGCAGTCGAGTGGACAATAGGAGCCTCATACAGGATATCATGCGAGAACGAAGATTGCACCGGGGCAAGGTTGAATTACAGCACGTCACAATGCCTTACGAGCGACCTGGTGTGATGATCGCTGAGCGGTGAGTCATTGTAATGCATGAGTCTGCCTGAGACAGGGGGCTGACGCCCCAGCCCCATTCTGTCCCAATGTTATAGGATTGCGTCTAACGCAGCTCGCGACTGTGCTAGGTCACATGTGTATTGAGATGACTATTGCCATCCCAGCCGTTCTGCCATATGGGCCCGATCTCGGAGGCACAGTACCTCGTCCGAAACCACCAATGCCACTGTCACGATTCGCGCCTTGACAGGCTCCCACAAACATCACCCCTCGCTCTACCTCTAGCTCCCTTACCCGAATGCACCTATTCATCTGTTAGTGGCTATTCATCCAGCTGGTCTTGCAAGCCTCAGTCTCTCGTACCCGATCCAATGGCGGGCCAATTAAGTCAACAAGCTCAGATGTAAGCGTGACAGGCCGAGGACTGCACGGAAGGTCTTGCTTGACAGAAGCGGAAGATGAGTGACTATGGCGGTAGATTTGAGCTAACGGTGCCTCGAGGCAAAAGACTCATCCGCTTCCGTATGGAGTGGGATTCAGGAGGCTCGGCAGATCTATCATCCGTCTGTGCGCTTTGCTCCTTTGCCCCCTGCCCCTCGGGCGCTTGAGTATAAGAGGCAGACGAGAGAATCACAAGATCGCTATAGCCCCTTTCCTCATCCCTTGTCTTTCCACTCCACCACTCATCCCTCATCTCTTACCCTTCATCCCATCTCCTGAGCCGTCTTTTGCATACGATGGCCCACTCCGGATACATCGTCGCCCACACTGGCTACGCGAGGGAGGTACTTGACGTCTGGCAGGACATCAACCGACGCTATGAGCACTTGCCTCTGCCACAAGTCATCATCTACTCGGACGGAGCTTGCCCGAACAATGGCCAGTACGGCGCTCAAGCTGGCTGGGGTCTCTACTTCCCCTCCCCCTTTCAGAATCTGAGCACTGGCGGTAGAGTTGTGCTGAGGCCCACCTCTCAAGAGGCCGAGTTGACGGTCAGTCCACCTAGAGCGAAGTGACCTCGCAGCACGTACACTGATGACGTGTCCTTGCATTGTCACGTCTCAAACCAGGCCATCTATGAGGCCATTTGCCGAGCGCCTACCGGTCACCACGTACTCATCTACACTGACTCCCAGTTCGCTATCGACTGCCTCACCAAATGGATCGTAAGTGTGGTGGCGTCTCGAGCTCAATGCAGACTTCTGCAGTCCTTGAATCTCCCTGACGCCCTCAATACTACCCCTGACCCCCTCAATACTACCCCTGACCCCCTCAATACTACCCCTACAGACTGGATGGGAGGCCAGTAACTACATCAGAGAGAACAAGAAAGCGGTAGTCAACCAGGATATCCTCAGGAAGATCATGGAAGCTCGAAGACACCGTCCAACCAAGGTCGAAATGAGGCATGTCCCAGCTCATTCGGGGGACCCTGGAAATACGAGGGCTGACGAGTGAGTGCAGATTTCGTTCACTTTTCAGTCCGGAATGTGGTCTGACCCCACACTTTGCGTTCCACAGGATTGCCAGGGCCGGAGCCAGAGGTCTCTACGGCTGAGTCTCAGAACTGGTCAGACGAGAGCATCCCTCTCGCGCTGTAGAGCTCATCTCTCGTTGCCATAGTCACGAGACTCTACTAGTCTAGACTCTGCATACATCGGCATCTTTTCCGGTTCGAACCACCCTGCACCATCGCCATTGTGTCGATTGCCACTCGAAAAAGGCATTCAAAGCCCCTCCTCTCCTAGCACTTCACCCCCTCTCGATTTGCGAAGTGTATGAGACTTCAGGGTCCGCAAACAGGAGCATTGATTCCGGCTCCTCTTCTTTCGAATTGGCCCCTGACGATCTGAACACTTGCTGTCTTGGTAATCCGCCTTTGAATACAGTCCCTTTCACTCGTGACTGGCGTTGGCTACACCAGGGGTTTCTGGAGACGTCGTTTTCTCCTTGGTAGGTGTGCTAAAGCCCGGCGTTTCTCCGAGCCCGAGGCCAGTGGCAATGCAGAGCCGCTGCATTGAAGTGTGCGCTTTGTTCTTGTGTCGCCCTTGAAATTGACGGCGGCATAGGCAAAGCCGCGTCAGTCGTTCCAACCACACACACCCTGTCCTCTGCCTCCGACGCCCTTCCCCTCCGATGTCTTGCCCCTGCTACGACGGCCCCGAGTGGCACGTCCTCAACCTACGCTTCGAGAATTGTGTATGTGAGAAGATCAACGTCTATTGCGACGGGGCTGCCTCGAAGAATGGGTACGATGGCGCTGTTGCCGGCTGGGGCGTCTGGTTTAAGCATTCCGCCAAACGCCATCGAAACGCTTCAGGTCCTGTCTCAGGCAAACAGACCAGTCAAAGGGCTGAGTTGATGGTGAGTAGGCTGCACCACCTATCTGAAGCATATCATAGGACGTCTGACTCAAGACTACTGCCTCTCGCGCCACTAATCACCAGGCTGTCTTGGAGGCAATCAAACGAGCTCCTTACCCTGGTCAGCTCATCATTCATACGGATTCACAGTACGCCATCAACTGCCTCACCGATTGGCGCGTGAGTAAGAGAAGCCTTCTGCCCACTGGCTTTGGTGCAAGTTTTGGACTGATGTGATGCCCATTCCATGGCAGGACCGATGGGAGAAGAACAACTATATCACAAGCAAGGGAAAGCCCGCCGAGAACAGGGACCTCATCGATGCTGTCATGGAGGTGCGAAGAGAGCGCGACACTAAAGTCGTCTTGAAGCACGTCAGCGGCCATTCGGGCGATCCTGATAACGATGCAGCCGACGAGTGAGTACGAACCTGGTCACAGCGTACATTTCGACCTCTGCTCAGCTCACTCTTCTACCTTCTGCAGGCTTGCGAAGGGCGCAACCAAAGGCTACTACATTTGACTGCGCCTTCACGTGCAAGACAGAGCCCACCGTTACTTTTGACGGTCACCACACACGACACACAAGCAAGCATACCAAGTGATTAGCGTTGAGTCTCTCACAATCTCGCGTCGCTGCGCTGGCGGCGTCAGACCCCGTCGTCACCAGATTTAGATTAGAGCTGCCTCGCTTCCCGATTCCAAAAATACCCAGTGGAGGTGCGTCATGATTTTCCGTGATTCCCGCACCTGCCCTTTCCGCCGTATCTCTTCCGCCCCCAACCATCCATACAATTGTGTACCTTTTGTCCCAACAATCGTCTGCTCTTCCTCTTCGAAAATGAGTCATTCTGACATCGATCTAGCGACTCGCGCGGTGGGGATCCTCTCTTCTGGCTACCTCCTCGGTGGGTATGCCCTGTGTTCCATTGCGGGAGCGGCGTGTGGCCTGCTCTGCTGACTTCCCAGCTCTCCGGGGCCCTGTTCGTGTCCTCCCTGTGCCTACAACTACAGTCTCGACCTTCTCAGCCTCTACAGCAGTGCAGCCTGCGTTCCAAAAGGGCTCTTTGAATACCCTCGAGCGTCTCAATCTCTGGAATGCGCAGTACACCGTCTCGGCCAAGCGGTGGCTTCCGATTTCCTTCGGCGCCATGCTAGCGTACGGCTTTGCCGCCTTCTCCACCCGCTTCTCCCCTTTGAACCTTCTCATCGCCTCGGGCTCCATGGCGATGATCCACGTCTGGAGCGCCTTTGCAATGGCAAAGACGTCCAAGACGCTCAAGACTTCGCAAAAGGAGAATGCAGGAGCGCAGCTCATGAAGGGTCCTAGGGAGGAGCAGACCCTCGCCTTGATCAACAAGTGGGAGAAGCTGAACCGTGTGAGGATCGCACTCAGTGCAGTGGCTTTTGGATTGGGTGTGTGGGATCTGCTCCAAGTCGTGGATGTCTTGTAAAGCCTACGAGGCTTCGCAGCACTTGAGTCTTGTAAGTCGCGCCAATTCATACCCTTCGCAACGCCCGCCACCCGCATCTAATCTCTCGCTCAGAGGACGGTGGTGCTAGCCCAAATCATGTACTTGCTTTTATGTGGAGAGTCCATCGTACTGCAAATGATATTTAAATACTATGCAGTGCACGCTTGTAGGTATACAGGGATGTGAGAGCACAGATTAGAGAGTCTACTAATGAAGGGGACACCGGTGCGTAATGTCTATGCTTTTTCCTTTGCGGCCACGCTCCCTTCAAGATCGTCGCCTACTTTCTTGCTTCCCCACGTCCACTTCTTCCCTAGCCAGAGGGATACGTAGGTGAGGGCCAACAGCACAGGGATCTCCACGAAAGGCCCAATGGTGGCCGCTAGTGCTTGATCGCTTCCAGCTCCATATGCGGAGACGGCGATTGCAATGGCCAACTCGAAGTTGTTGCTTCCGGCAGTAAAGGCCTGCACGACTGTCATTTGGTAGTCGAATGTGCGCGAGTATTTCCGTGATAGCCTCCAGCAGAGGACAAAGGTGCCCACCCACATGATGGTAAAGTACAGCACTAGCGGTACGAAACATCTGAAGACGGGGCCGATGTTGTCCAAGACTCGCCTGGCCTGGAGGGCAAAGATGACAATGACGACGTAGAGGAGTGCCACGAGAGATAGGGCTCCAAAGTAGGGCAGGAAGATGTTTTGGAATCTTTGCTTGCCCATCAGGAAGATTACAGAGAAGCGAGTCACCACTCCCGCCGCGAGAGGTACGCCCAGGTAGAGTGCGACGGCAATGGCCGTGTGAGAGTAGTCTAGATTTAAGTTGTCGGCATCAGAAATGACGTTGATGAGGAAGATTGAATAAGGACTGAAGAGGACGATTTGTAGGATGGAGTTAACGATGACGACTAGGGCGCAGACGTCGCAGTCTCCCTTTGCGAGGCTGACCCAGATGTTGACCATGGCAATGCATCGTGCAACGCCAACGAGGATGATTCCAATTCGGTAGGTAGGTAGATCAGGGAGCGTAGCCCATGCGAGTCCGAGCATGATGAAAGGTCCTGCGATCCAATTGAGGAGCAGGCTGACGCCGATTTGTGTCCAGACTCGTCGGCTTTGCACGAGCTCTCTGCCCCGCTCGTACTGCACCTTGGTGAGGATAGGCCACATCATGATGATGAGACCGACCACCAGAGGTGCGGCAACGCCTTGCACTTCGCCGCCCGTGGCAAAGGCATCATGTACACCTGGGGCAAAGTAGCCAATGACGACGCCGATGACTACTGCCAAGAAGATCCAGACGGGCAGGAAGCGGTCGAGGAAGGAGAGGCTGGACAGCAAAGCTGCGAGTGGGTGGAATGGTAGACAGGAGTCAGCCTGGTCGAGTGCAGTCCGAGCGCACAAGCGGTTGCGGCGACTCACCCTTTGGCGTTACCACCACGTCGCCGTCGGTCTGTTTGCTCTCTACCGAAGGCAGTGGCGGAGTAGCAGGGCCAGTCTCGGTGGCAGAGGGAGGCATGGATTTTTGATCTTGGTCTTGGCTCGTGGAGAGTCGGAGGGGCTGCATATCAATCTGCGGAAGCACACAAGTATCACCCACGATGAGATCAGACAACGAGGACTAGTACAGGCCATGTACACTGCATTGCCTCTTTCCTCTCCGCGCCGCCTAGCTGTTCCTCACCTCTGATGATCCCGAGTCTCCCCTCGCCAGTGCTACGTCCACCAAGCTGGCCAGCTCGGCGTCGATGTCTTTGCGGTCATTCTGCAGTGCGATGATCTTGGACCGTGCTGCGCGGATCGAAGGCTGGGAGAGGGCAAAGGAGATTGGAGAGTGAGCTGCTGACACCTAGGCAGCTCAAGAGAATTCAAGAGATGTCTACTCACGATGTCTACCGAGTTCAGAGGAAACCCTTGAGCATCGGTCAATGGAGAGGTGAGAGTGACACCTTCCTGAGAAGCGAAAGTAACGGAAGCGCATAGGTCAGCATCAAGGAAGTGAGCAGCCTCAGTAATCACACTGTCTCTTGTGCAATACTCACTCTCTTTAAGACGTCAGCATGTGTTTGCTAGCAGGCGGAAGCCAAAACAGAGTATTGTGAGTGACTGGCCCCCGTCGTCCGAAGGCCTGATGCTGCCGGTGCTGTGCCATTGGCCACTCACGATTTCGCGATCGAGGAGCTTCCTCTTCTGACCCAATTCCAGTGCCCTTGCCCTTGCCTTTTCTACTTGTGAGTCTGCAGGATGTGGTTGTCCCATTGCCGACATTGCTGGGTGCGAGGAAGTTTCCCGAGCTGGGGACAAGAGCAACGAGGCGGGGTACAGGAAGGAGCTGGAGAGATGAGCGATTGGTAGCCACCTGGAAGGGAATGTGGATGGGGTAGCGGTACGAGGGAATTGTACAGGAATGTGTGAGGGGAATTTCCTTCCCTTGTGTCTCTGGCGTGGCCTGGTTATATAGCGGATCCCTTGGCCAGACGTTGCCTGAGGAAGAAGAGGTGCGGCAATGTGGTTGGTGGGGGTAGCAGTCTGTGCAATTTCAAATTCCCGCACGGAAGTGGCACAGTCTCCCTCGCCTTGCCCGCTCAGGCCTGCGTCGATCAAATTCGTCCTTGCACACGCGCACGCCCTCGTCGCTCCCCGCTGCTTCCACGGCCTTCTTGTCTTGTCTTTCTTTGGCTTGGCCGCTGTGCTTGGTTGTGATGCCAAGAGTGCTGGGACGTTGAACATACGCAAGAGGAGCTCACGGGTGCAGCAAGCGTAGGGCCAAGTGGAAGTGAGGCGTGGGCAAGGGCAGTGGACGTGGCGATGGTCATGGCGGCTGATGGCCAATCTTCTTCGGTGGCTGAGGTCTGCATCTCCGCTCCGTTCCGCTCATGTCTGAGGCGGGCCCTGGGTGGTGATTGAATCGGCTGTCCGTCTGTGCGTGTGTCCTTCTCAATCGCCGAAGCAAGCAAGACAGGCAGGCGGTACTCAATCGGATACCACCAATACCATCTTCCTCATCTCCCCCAGCATCCATGACTTGACATCCCACAGCCCTGACATCACGACATGTTCTCTGCCTTGCTCAATGCTCCCTGTGAGCTCAGGCTGCACCTCCTCCAGTCCGTAATCTTCATCTACCCGCCCCATCGCGAGGAGACTGATAACCTCGAGAGCCCACCAAATCAGACCGACTCCCTCGTCCGTGGCCTGGTAGAGCTCTACGTCCCTTCTCCCAGGCACATCTCCGGCATCAAGGTAAAGCTCCGCGCCCTACAGACTGTAGCCGTACTCGACGCCAACTCTGGTCAAATACCCGTCAGCTGGGAAGACAGCGTACTCCTCGAAAAGGAGGTCAGGATCGGAGCTCAGGGCGATGCGGACAAGAAATATGCCGGCAGAGGTCGCACACCCGTCCCTGCAAGTAGTAGACTACGCAATCCCAGCAACCAGCCCGCAGCTCAGAGCTCCAGCCCAGGACCTTCGAGCGACAGACGACCAAGCCAGAGACCCTCGCTGGAAAGTGGTGCCCAGGACAGTCCAGAGGATGTGAGCCTGGTTGAAGAAGAAGAAGACGACGAGAGGACAGGCCGCTCCACATCTGTCGCAGCCGTCTTTGCAAGGGCGGTATCGCGGGGTAGAAATGGCAGCAAATCTAGGAACAACTCTAGAAACAATTCCAGGGCCACGTCTCCCGTAGCTTCTCGAGCCACTTCACCCACTCGTCGGCTGGACAGCTTCGCTTCCACCTCGAACTCTGCAGCTGCTCGAAATGCTAGCGTAGCACCTGCTCTCTTGCCGCCCTCTCCACCGGCAACCCCGCGAGATGACTCTCCCCATGGCGATCGACTGAATTCTACAGTAGAGGCCTTCAACGATGCTCGAGGCCGGCCCGCCGCTTCTCGTTCTACCTCTGAAGCTAGACTCTCCGACCGTCTAGCTGGTTCGCTTTCCATTGGCCGCGACGTCGAGCGAGTGAGAGCTGCCGAGCATTCCCAAGGCGGCTGGGGCCACCCCAACAACGATGACTTTGGCCTCAGACAGCCCAAGCCTCCAAGCAACATTGCATCTGGTCTCGGAACACCCTCAGGACCGGCCGTTGCAGGAGGTCAACGCGGTAGAGGTGGTCTCGCCAAGCGCAGAGAAGGGTCGAGGGGCCCAGGCGGCAGTGTGCCACCACGCGGACTGGTCGACGATTCGGCAAGTACACGCTCATCGTCGCTGGGAGGCTGGGCAAGGTTCGGCCGCAGTGTCAGTCGAGCAAGAGGCATCGGCGCTCGCGAAGCAAGCGTGAGCAGGGCCCCTCGAGATTCGCAAGCCGAAGACGCAGAAGGCATGGAAGCAACGGTAGATGTTGGGGCCGGCGGCGGCGGCGGCCTCGTCCTCGAAAAGGGAGTGCACGGATTTGAGTTTGCCTTCATCATACCGGCCAATTCTGCAGAGTACACCAGATCGCCTTTTGGAAGGGTGCGATACGTCGTAAAGGCAACAGCATACGGAGCCGGCCGCGCCAAGTCGAACGTTGAGGGCTGGAGGGACTGCTTCCCTGTGGCTAATCCTTCGATGGAAGGTGGACCCACTCCTCTCACCGTCCTCTACAACGATGTGCATCCCACTGTAGGCGTCATGTCGATCGCCTGCACTTCACAGAATATCTCAGTCGGCGGTCTCTTCCAGCTGGACATTCACTCGCCAATCCCACCCAAGGATCTAATTGTATACCTAGTCAGGATTTCTATAGACACAACAATTGAGCTACGAACCAAGCGCAAGGGCAGGCAAGTGGTACCAGCGCAACGTCAAAAGCTCTTCGAAAAAGGGTACGTTCCTCCACGCAAGGAAGACCAGTACTCGAGTGGAGATGGAAAGAAGGAGGATGGGCAGATCCGAGACCCAAAGGTTCATGGAGAAGACTCTGCTTGGACTGTTCAGGGACTAGCGCGAATGCCTGACGATAATACCATTCGTAGCTCCACGATCGGAGGAACCAGAGCCGACATCCGCTTTTCGCATCAGCTCGTGGTAGAGGTAGTCCACTCAAGAGAGTCCGAAGATCCTTCGCAACCGCGAAAACTCAAGGTCTTCGCCCTACGGCAGCCCATTACGCTACCTTCTTGCTGCGTGGCCTTCGATGCGGCGAGTCTGCCTGCCTATACGCCTGCTGCAGAGAACACAGATGCTCGTCCCACTATCGACGGCCTGCCTTACGATCTTGCCCACATGCCAGACGGAAGCGCTGCTCACAACAATCATTCTACTGGTGCTCAGCCGGCCAACGGAGCCTCAGCCGGCCCCTCCAGTGCCCCGCGGTCGAACACAGCTGGTCCTCGTGGTGGCGCAGAACATGATCACTGCGTTTGTGGTCTGTCCCTGCAAGACCTTGAGACGCGCGAGAGGGCCATGATCCCCGTAGGCGCAAATCACGACATTCCCATCGAGAGTATTCGCTCTCACGGCAAGATCGGAGAGATTCTCCCTAGGAGGAGCACCAGTCGCAGCAGTAGGGCGAGCCGTAGCGAGAGCAGATCCAGAGGCCATGGTAGCGCATCACCCGGATCGAGGAGGCGTCGCAGTGCCTCTCGCTCCACGTCCCGCGCAGACACCGCGGGCATCTCCTCTCTTGTGTCGCGTACACGCTCACGCGAAACCCGATCCCCCAGTGTTCACTCCGGGCGATCCGGAAGTCTCGCTCGTGCAACGACGAGGGACAGTTTCGCCAGTTCCTCTACTGGTTTCGTCGGCGGGTCAAACCTCAACGGTAGCTCCTCGCGCACCTCAACACTTTGGGCTCAGCCGTCCTCCTCCTCCGCGGGACCTAGCGGAGGTGCCGGTCTCGTGCCACGCCCTCCTACCTCGACGATGGGCACGGAGCTTGACTCGGTCGTACTGGAGATGCCTGGTGGTTCGAGGGCCGGAAGCGGAGCAGCTACGCCCGTGGACGAGCCGCCAAGCTACGATATCGTACTCGAGGAGGAGAGGGCAGAGGAGGCCGAGGCCGAGGCGGGGGCTGGGACAGGGGCAGGGGCAGAGGAAGAGGAGGCGAGGGGTAGACATAGATGAGCGGGTAGTAGAGATGGCTGGGGAAAGAGGGACAGAGCAGAGCTCAGGCGCATTTGTCAGCTCTCACAATTGCAGTTTTTCCAAATGAAGGACTGTTCCCTCAATCGGGATTGCAACTCTCTCCTATTTGCGACTTCCGCCGCTCACATGTGCACATCGCCTGCGTTCAACAATACATTATGGAAGGAGAAGGAGAAGAAGGTGACTCAGGATCTGTCCATCAGGGCTCGACTGTCCCGCTCGTATCAGTGCGGCTCCTCCTCTCCCTGACCATTAATCTGTCTTCCATCATCCTGTGCATCCTTGCCCCTCCCCTCGTACTCTCCCTTCCCTCGCGCATTGGCCCGCTCTACCATGCGCGTATAAGGCGCCTTTACGTTGCGTCCAAACAAGAGGTAGTTGGGATCGTCGTAGAAGGTGAGCGTGGGGGTGATGCGCTCCGGGTCGATGGCGATGATCGTTGCCATGCCCATGACCTGCGTACACAGCGGAAAGGACGGGAAGGATCAGCTCACGCAATGAAGGGGTCGCTACGCATCACGGCCTTCAGTACTCACTAAGTGGGGCACCATGTGGCAGTGCAGCGGCCAAATCCCACTCTGGTCCGCCCTGACCTCATATCGGAATAGACTCCAGCTGCCAGAGGTTCCCTGCGGGATCGTCTTGTTGTAGAAGCCCGCTCCAGTCCCTGGCCAAACGGTGATCATATCGCTCGGTAGGGGCGTCTTCCATCCCTTTTCCTCTCTAGCCTTGCGCAGCGCTTCAGCCGAGTAGTCCCCTTCTCCAGAAGCGACGTGTTGGAATTTGGAAGAGTGGAAATGCCAGACGTGCACTTCGGTGTTGTTTGACACGAAGGAGGAGTTGTTCAGGATCACCACATCGATGACCGATGAAGAGCGAGCGACGAACGTCTGCGAGACGCTGTCGTACCCTTTCTGAATGCCAGCAGGTGGGTGCATTGCGCGTTCGTAGGAAGGTCTGTCCCTGAGCCCGCCGTAGAGTTGGATCATGTACGGGATCTTGGGGAAGGATTCTACGTACGTATAGTCTTCGGCTCCCTTCCAGCGGAACTTTCCTGTAGCATTGGGCGTCATGGTGGGCAGCTTCACTTGATGAGCGTCGACGATGTAGGTATGGCTGACCTCGTCGTCACGCAGGACCCTGTAGTCTCTCAAGGGCTGCAGCTCGCTGGTGATCCAGCCGAACTGTTCCTCTCTCAGCAGGGAGATGGAATTGTTCGCATTGGGCGGTGTAAACCCTCCTGGACATCCACCTGGGTAGCGCAGTACGGCCCAGCCATTGGTCGGTGGCTTCCTCCACCCCGACTCGAGACGGATACCATAGCAGCCAGAGAGCCCATCTTTCTTCACTTGATCTTCGCTCTTGGTGCGCAGAAGCTGACCGATTCTATTGCCTGGGCCGAGCTCGATGACGGAGTCGCCTTTGTACTCCTTGATCCATGTTGCATCTACTTCGATCATTGAGGGTGTGTGGTTCAAGAAGCCGATCGACTGCCGCACGGGAGGGGCTTGAAGGTCAGCTATCGACAAATCAAGAGGATGACTGCCCTCATCACCGCTCCACTCACGTAGTATTGCAGCCCTTGACCCCCGATCCACCTTACAAAGTACTTCTTCTCATAGTCTACATCAACGTAATATGGCTCTCCTTTGAGGTCAGCAGTGAGCCCCTTGCCATTCACCAAGGTCATGTTGGGCGACCCGATCCACTTGAAATTCTCAGCCAGGAGGCCCTTCGTCATTTCCTCGTCTGGCTTGTGCCACCAGTCTAGGACATCAAGGATGCGTTCTTCATCCCAGTTGTAAGGGTTACCAGCAGGCTCGTCTACGATGAAGGCTCCTCCGACTGTGTTGGCCTGCGAGCCGACATGGGAGTGGTAACTGGTAGAAGAGGCAGCGTCAGACAAGTCAGACTAGTTGCCCAGCGATGTGCAGGCCACTGACACACTCACAAGCGGGTGCCGATCTGAAGTGACGCATGATATCGAGACTGGTGTAAGCTTTGCCTGGGTTCTCTTCGCCGCAATCTCCCCCAGGTACTCACGTCTTCCGTTGTGAGATGCATCTCGTACTCGAACCATTTGCCGGGTGCAATAGGCCACTGTGACATCAAAGTCCCATCGGCTCGGGGTGTCTGCCTCTGGCTGACGCCGTGCCAATGCATCTGGAGGGGTGAAGACAGTGCGGGGATCCGTCAGGTACGCAAACAGACTATGTAGATGCTACAATGACGGCACACTCACCGTTGTATTCCTGTTTTGCATCAGATTGGTCACGTTGACAATGACGACTGCCGGGGAAAGGTAGATAATGAGCTTGTGCCTCATGACAGATGTTCCTCCCCGCTTACTCACCATCACCAGCTGTGAACCTCAGCGTCGGTCCAGGCATAGTGCCATTGACGAGGGCAGCAGGTGTGGTGACTCCGGCAATGGTCACCTCTCCGTCCTCGACGATGAGCTTGGCCCTCTTGACGCTGCGCCCCTGGTAGACCTGTGCATAATCCTTGTGAGAGCTGATGGGTATGGGGGAGACATTGTAGTCGATGACAGGCGCTGTGCTAGTCTGGTAAGGTCTGATGGCGTGGGGAACAGCAGCTGTTGCCCAGCCAAAGCCGAGCAAGACGGCTAGGACGAGGGAGAGGAGCTCTACCATGGCTCTTGAGATGTATATGGGGAGCAGAAGGTACGGAGCCGTACATCCGCTTACTCCACCCCTTCTTCCTTTATATAAGGAACAACGTCCTGGCATCTTGCCGCCCGATGGTCCCAGTCATGAGCTGATGGCGGCCCGACGGGAAACTCTGCTGGGATAGGGGACAGTGCGCCCCGGGGGCGAGTAGACAGGGGTGCAGAGTCAGGAGCTGTGTGTGCTGGCAGGCCCTTCAGTGATTAGCAATAGCCAGCGCAGGCCGTAGAGCGGGACATCAACCGCCGATGGTTCGTGAGGGAATTAATCCAGGACGGATGGCCGAGTGGGATGGTCGTCGTCCCTGGGCAAAAGCCCTCAGCTGGTGCGAGAGGCAGAGGTCAAGGAACGAGGCGAGGGAGACCTGGACAAGAGCGATCGTAGTGTCAGTCTTGGCGAACACTGTTCCTTGGGCAACTCGCCTCATTCAGATGGTGTAGTCAAGTAAGACCGGCAGAACTCGGATCTTTCGGGCCGTTATGGTCCGCCGCGTCCGCCGTACTAAACTCATTAGGCACACATCTGGGCTGCGTCCCCCAGGTACGCCAGAGAGGAGGCCCTCTGAAGCATGGCGATGGCTTGGAAGCAGGGTGATGGGCAGGCAAGACCTCGACCGTGGTTCGATGGTTCGTTCGTTTCATCCCTGCCTCCCTTCTGGTCCTCGAGACGGCCGATGCAGCTGGAGCGGTCGGAGAAGTAGAGCGGTGCCAGGCGCTGGCTGCGAGGAGTGGTTTTGCAAGGTCTACCTTCGGTGGTATGTTGCGCACCGTCCCTAGCAAGCTAAGTACTGCGCCGTCCCATCCGGGGCCCTGCTCCCCCTCCAAGGGTCTATCGATATCCCTCGACCCCGCAAAGGAGGTCAGGAGAGGGAGCCTCCCCCCCTCACGATAAAGCTGCTCCTTCTCCCTTGCCCGCGTCGTTGCCCTGCTTTGGATGCTGCCGGACTCGAGGCGTGCATTGATTCCCCGCTCGGCTGGAGAGGCAGGGAGCGAGGGGAGGAGCGCGCGCGCATCAGGCCCACGTCCACAGCTCAGCCACCGCCAAAGGGGCGCATCGGGACGGATGGCGGCCAAGCACAGGCACAGGCAAGGTTCACTCGGCTCAGGTGCGCCATCCACCGCCATCCCGTCGCATCCCATCTCCAACGCCCTGCCCTGCTATTCCTGGCCAGTCTCCGTTCCTGACCGTCACCTCGAACGTATCGTATCGTAGCGCATCGCACAAGACCCTTGACGACCTCGACACGCCTACAGCCTCTCTGCTACTAGAGCAACCCACTACTTCATCCCATTCTCAGTAGCTTAACTTCTCTCACCCAAAACCACCCAAAACCTCCGCTCTTATCGAAATGTCTTCCAACTACGAATCAGGCTACGACCCTTATACCCCAGGCGGCGGACATGCTGCTGGAGGAAGCTCATCTGCGGCGGGTAACAACAAGACGGCTCATATCCAGGCTCAGATTGATGAGACCGTGGGAGTGATGAGGGACAATATTCAAAAGGTCAATGAGAGGGGAGAGAACCTCAATGACCTGCAGGGCAAGACTGGTGAGTCACAGTGAGGAGAGGAGCATAGTGCGATGGGAGGGTTCGTGCGACAGGAGGCAGGATGTGGGACGTCAAGAAGCTATGAAGAGCGGCAGGGGACAAGGGCAGGGCAATCCTGTCTGTCGCTGGGAACGCAGGCCACGGGATCATCGCTCGGCATGTCACACTGCGACCCTTGAGCAAGTATTCGAAACATCGCTGCGTCGATACTGCACGACGCGAGGGCGGCAAGGATTGCTCCAGCTCATTCAGCGGCCCGTGACAGGGCAGACCATCCATCCGATCAGACACCAGCGTCACCTTGGCTGTGGTACACAACGTGCTGACCACTTCCTTTCCCTTCTCGCCACGCGCGCTCTCAGACAACTTGGCGGTATCCGCTCAAGGCTTCAGGAGGGGAGCCAACAGGGTCCGCAAGCAGATGTGGTGGAAGGACATGAAGTGAGTATCTGTAGGCGTGTGAAGCTGCGCCTGAGATCACTCTAAGGCCAATGCCAGTCATCCTTTCTCGAATCTATGCTTACCTACTTGCCCATCTTGTGCCCTGCTCTCTTCCTCAGGATGCGCATCATCATCATCATCGGTATCTTCATTCTGCTCTGTGTCATCATCAGTGAGTGCGAGAGCGAGGCCCTTCGCATCGCGTACCTCGGCAGACTTATTGATCGATGGTGGCCATTGCCTTTGCGCCTTGCACAGTCCCTATCGCGGTCAAGGCCAGCAACTAAAGCAGCCTCTCCTGCTGACGGTGTCGCCTCAAGCCCAGGGCTGCAAAAACTGCGTGCGATGTTCGTAAATCAGTGATGTCGCCCTGTGCTGTCGAGTCGAGTACCTTTCGAGCTAGCCATCTCTTCCCGAGCTACCTGTTTCTACTGTCCACGCTGAGGACATTGCCTTGGTCGTATCCCTTAGTGCCCGCGCTGCTCCCGACGACACCTCGTAGTGATTCCCTATTTCGAGTGCGCCCTGCTTATACATAGCTCGCTTCTTTTTTACGGTGCAAGCCTGATGCATTGTTGGAGGGATTGTGCTTTGCATACAAGTGCTGTGTGCTCTTCGCTGACTGCAGCCTTCTGGTGAGGCTGCACAAGGGGTTGCGTGAGGCTCTGTGGGCCATGGTCGAGCGTGATAGGCCTCTCTCTGCGCCTGGCCTTTGCCTGCACTTCTCCACTTTTGGTGCAAAGTGGAAATTGCCTCGCGTAAACGAGGCGCGAAGGCAAGACTGGCGCTCTTTCCTTTGCCGTGTCGTGCAACTCCTACTCCACCGTCGCAAGCTCGAACATCTGTGTTGCTTGTACCCCTGGCCCATCCCATCACACACTGCGACTTTTGGCATCATGGGTATCAAAGGTGAGCTACTGGCACGCCTTCGAGGGCGTGTTCGAGCTTCGGAGCCGCTGCAGTCGGGCCTGCCCTCGTCCCCTTGCTGACCTCGCCCACGTATGCCTGCTCCCACCTCCCTCTTCCTCTCGTCAGGCCTGACCTCGCTCATCACCGATGAAGCGCCCGAAGCGATCAAGCACCACGACATCAAGTCCTTCTTCGGTCGCAAAGTCGCAATCGACGCCTCTATGAGCTTGTACCAATTCCTCATTGCTGTACGACAGGGGGATGGACAGCAGCTAATGAATGAGAGTGGAGAGACGACCAGTCATCTAATGGGATTCTTTTACCGTACGCTGCGGATGATTGAGCATGGGATGAAGCCGATGTACGTCTTTGATGGACAACCGCCGGATCTCAAGAAGAAAGTGGTGAGTAGGGAGAGGACGAGCTCTGCCCCAACCCCTTGTTGCGCTTGCTAATGTCTCCTGTGTCCTTCTCACTACCTTCAGCTCGAAGGTCGCTTTGGCAAGCGAGAAGAAGCTCGAGAGGAAGAAGAAGAGGAAAAGGACATTGCAGACAATGAGAGGCTGGATCAGCTGGCCAGACGTCAAGTGAGACCCACTAGGCAGCACAACGAAGAGGTGCGGCAGCTCTTGAAGCTCATGGGCATTCCCTGCGTGACAGTGAGTAGAGTCAAAGGCAGTGTGACAATGTCAATGGGCTTGGCTTGTAGGGCTGAAGATACTTCCTTTCTTCCTGGCGCTCTTGTCAGTCACCATCCGAAGCCGAGGCTCAATGTGCGGAGCTATGCAGGGCTGGCAAAGTGAGTAGACGCAACAACGGAAGAGGTCAGGCGAGAAGTCTCATGGAGAGCTCATGGCCACTCTGCCACCCTCCTTCTAGGTCTATGCCGCTGGCTCGGAAGACATGGATACCTTGACTTTTGCTTCGCCGATCCTTCTCAAGCATCTCACCTTCTCTGAGCAAAAGAAGATGCCCGTGCATGAGGTCCACCTGCAGTCGGCTCTTGAAGGCATGGGTCTCACAATGGATCAATTCATCGACCTCTGCATCCTGCTCGGCTGCGACTACATGGAACCGGTCAAGGGCATTGGGCCTAAGACGGCCTTTAAGCTGATCAAGGAATATGGAAGTATTGAAGCTGTCAAGGAGCACCTCGAGGAGAGGGAAGAGGAGAAGAGGAAAGAAGCAGAGAAGAAGGGAAAGGACAAGGCCAGAGGTGTGACTTTTCCCGAGCTGTGGCCGTACAAGGAGGCTAGGGAGATCTTCAAGCACCCAGATGTTGTGAAAGCAGATGACATGGAGGTGAGCAATCGCGCACGAGTAGGGTACTCGTCTTCGTCCGTCTACATCCGCTGAACTGAACTTGCTTCTGAACTCCCTTTACGTTCCACAGCTCAAGTGGGAGCAACCTGATGTGGAAGGTCTGGTAAAGTTCCTCTGCACAGACAAGGGGTTCAGCGAAGACCGAGTGCGAAAGGGTGCGGACAAGCTTTCCAAGGCCCTTGGGCAGAAGCAGCAAGGTCGCCTCGACGGCTTCTTCAAGTGAGTAGCGCTGAAAGCATCGTCAGAGAGGAAGAACACAAGTACTGACTGAACTTTCCCCGACCATCTTCCTCGTCCTTGTGCTCGCAGGCCCGCTGGGGGAGCTGCGTCTGCAAAGCGTAAAGCAGAGGAAGAGAAGCCCAAGGCGGGCAAGGGTGCAAAGGGCGCTCCAGCCAAGAAGAAGAAGTAAAGGCGCACCTTGAAGGTGGTAGGGGGATGGCAGAGGGAAAAGCACAACTGTCGGTCCCGCCTCTTGCGAGTGTCCAGGAGCACAATCTCACCCCGTCAATGTACTATAGCTCAGATTGTCCTCTTTTGAAAAGGGACGAGGGTATCCATCAAACATCGTGTGTGCTGCGTAAACTTTGTGGTATATCGTCGTCTATGGCGTGGTGGTATATAGATGATGAGTCTGTCGTCTTCTCCCTATTCACTCCCTCCTAGCCGTCGAACCCGCCGCCCCACTCGAAGCGGCCGCTGTCGCTCCCCCCGTTGGCCCCGCTCTAGGTCTAAAACGAGAGTAGTAATCTCTACACCTTTCCTGATGCATTTCCGCCCAATCCTCGGGTAATTGGGCAAGTGGTCTGGCTGGATTACCACCCCAGATCTGGCCAGAGGGGATCGTCGCATTGGACGGGACGACGGACCCGTCTAGGAGGCGGACACTGTCCTTTATCACCACGTAGCGACCCTGTTGTGTGGGCGAGCGGGGCAAGAAGGACAGAACGAGTAGGTTAGTGGATGCCGATGAGGGGACAAATGGCAGGCAGAAGAGGGGTTGTGTGACACTCACGATTATGCAGTCCTTGCCGATGTCGATGTGGCTGCCGAGCTGCTGGGACTCTACGACGCTGTTGGCTCCGATGTGGACAAAGTCTCCCGTCTTGGATGGATAATAGGAGAAGACGCTGCCGGGCAGAGTACGTGTCAGCTCAAGAGACCTGGATCATGTGCCATGCACCCCCTCATTGCCGGTCCGTTTAGCTGACCGACTCACCCCTTGTAGACCCTCCAGGGAGGGCGAAGCACCACTCCCTCGCCAATGACGCAATATCTTCCCGTACTGATCACGATTCTCTCCACTCCCTTTGACTCAGGCTGACCACTTCCCTCTCCTGTCCCTCCTGAAACGCTTGCAGTCGCCGCAGTGGTAGAGCTAGCGACTCTGACGGCTCTTGCGAGATCTCCACGAATAACAGCTCGAGGGTGGATGATGACCTTGCCGCCAAGCATGATGTTGGCTGAGCCGACGATCTTGGCCTGACGAGAGACCTTGTTGTGGCTGTTGGTGGTGTAGAGGTACTGCGCGGGGTCGTAGGGGACAATGTGCCCATTGAGGGAGGTGAGGTCCATCCTGGGCGAGACGAGGGGCAGTTGGGGCCAGAGTTACCAGAGAGGACCATGTAGCCAAGTGTCCTCGCCTTGGTATCCCGCCTTGCCTGTCTGTGCTCCTCTTTCTCACTTTGACGCGCCTCCCTTTCCGCTTTGTCTTTCCGTGCCTCGACTCTGGCTTCTGGCCCTGCGTCATCAGTCCGCCCCGCCCTGCCTCTGCCTCTCCCGTCTCCCTTTCCGGCGGGGGGCAGACAGGCCGAAGGTGCAGTGATCATCTCTCTCCTGCTGACCATCCATCGCACGCAACCAACCAATCGTCCATTGGCGACTAAGTCTGCTCGAGCAATCGTGACGAACACATCATCGCACAAGTGGCGTACATCTACGACCAATTGCACTTCCGAGCGACCTCTCCCATTGCTGAATCAGCCCCCTCTTGCGGTCAAGTAGATTCTAGTAAACACAGACAGACCTTCTACCGATCTTTGTTCCTTGCCCTCCTCGCACACTTCATAATCTTCCCTCAACATGCCGCCAAGGAAATCTGGCTCGACGAGTGCCTCCACATCGGCCTCGTCTCGCAAGACGACTTCCTCCATCTCCTCTGCATTCAGAGCCACTGGGTCAAAGTCGGCCTCATCCCCCTTCTCAGCTCCCGGAAGCAAACCCGGCTCTCGCTCCTCGTCGCTGACCAAGCCCTCGTTGAAGGACTCGGCAGCAGCACCTCGATCATCCAGTGTCATTGTAGAGAGGAGTGCTTCCCCGGAGAAGAAGGAGGAGAGGCCGCTGAGTAAAAAGGAGGAAGACGAGGCGAGGGATCTGCCTGATTTGGATGTGGATGATAGGAGCTACAATGGTATTTGGAAGGTGGTGCAGCAAGAGAAGTTGGGAAAAGTGGGAGCTAGTGAGTTGTAGCAGAAGATCAACGGTATGACATGATGCTCAGAGCATAAGTACTGACAAAGTCTGTCATCCCTCTGCTCCCCCTGCCCCCCCGCCTCGCAGTCCATGCCGCTGGCCAAAACAAGATCCACCACATCCTGCGCACCTTTGACCTAGACCCAGCCTATGGCCCCTGTCTTGGACTCACACGGCTGGAGCGATGGACCAGGGCGAAAGAGTTGGGCGAGGAGCCGCCGGTGGAGGTGTATGAGATTCTCAACACAAAAGAGGGGAGGCTGAGGGCAGAGTATAGGGAGAATTGTCTGGCCGGTACGGGGATCTGAGCGGGAGAAGTGGGCAGTGCAACGATTCGGTGATGATAGGGCCTATTGGCGTGCCGACCGCCCACCGCAAGTTGTCGTCTTGTCCTCGCTTCTCGTATGCTCGCTCCGCTGATGTATGTTGTCATCTTGGCTCTCCAGGTGTCTCGCGACGCCATGTTCCGCTCTTCTCATTCGTCGCCTTTCCCAAGTACAATTGTGTCCATACCAAAGAGGATCTCACTCTGTTTCTGTGCAAAGCGTACGTTATCTGTTCGGCGATCCTCCCTCCCTCTGCTCAGGCGGGCGTGGGGGCGGGAAGCGAGGGGGAAGTGCTCGGATCTCCACTTTGGTCCTCTTTCCGTGGGATTCATGGCAAAGGCGGGGCTACCAAGCTGCATCATTCTGCCTCACCGCCATTGATCACACGCCCCTGAGCAGCCATCGTAGAGTAGATTGGGCCCTCACCCTCACCCTCACCTCACCTCCTCTCACGATGACAGTCTTGTCCCATCCACACCTCAGCTCGGCCTCCTCTTCGCGTCCCATCTCGACCTTTTGCGCATCAGACGAAGACGAGGAAGATCCATGGGCAGCCAAGGGCGATACCCCCGCCCCTTCGCACGCCATGACTCAAGACCCTCGCCAGCCCCTAGAGAATGTTGGGTATTCCATCAACGATGACGATGATCGGGATGGCTCCAATGCATACAATGGTGCTGGTGGCGGTGGTGGTGCTGCTCCATATTCCCCGCCTCCGCCGGCTTTCAGTGATGAGGACGACAGTGGCGCAGCAGGCATGGGTGGAATGGCGAGAAAGTCTAGAGGATCAGACGAGATGCCTCGCAGCACACACAGTACCACCACTTCGCAGCAGGATCAGCAGCAGCAGAGGCAGCACCGTAGCACTCCTTCCTCCTCCTTTGCTCCTCCAAGCAAGACTTCCTCCTCACTTGACCCCTGGGCAGCAAACAACTCACAGCCTTCCTCGGCTTGGGGCATCAATCGCTCCCCCGCTGCAGGTACAGCGCCTTCCAACACATCCTCTGCCATCAGGGGTGGCTTTACGTCCTCTTCCTATGGCAATCACGACGAAGACGAAGATGAGCAAAACTTCAATCGGCCCCCTCCTGCGCCCCGCTCCCCACCTGGCCCTTCCTCGTGGGTAGCAGTAGAGCTACGCCCCGACGTAGAGGGGCTCATCTTCAAGTACAACTCCTACAATGTCATTCGACGACCCATTTCCAACGGTGATGAAGCAGATGACCTCAGTGCCTCTTCTGCTCGGCTGCTGGACACCACGAGGAAGACGCGCCTGCAGTCGTCGTCCTCCTCCTCCTCCCGCCCAGGCGCTTCAGCGTACACTGCTCCTCCCCTCCCCTCGTCTCTCGCATACGCCTCTGCCTCCAGTGCCAACACCACAGTCGTGCGGCGGTACTCGGACTTTGTCTGGTTGAACGACATCCTGCTGAGGAGGTATCCCTTTAGACTGGTACCTGTTCTCCCACCCAAGAGGCTTAGTATACCCGTAGGTGGAAGGAACTTAAGCGATGCATTCATTGAGAAGAGGAGGAGGGGACTGCAGCGGTACTTGCGCGCTGTTGTGTGAGTGAAGGACAGCAGGCGAGAATGGTCTGCTTCTGTGGTATGACATTGACTGTTTCTCCAATATGCTGCTTCGCTCCAGCTCTCACCCGGTGCTATCAGCGGATGATATTGTGCAGATTTTTCTCTCTGACAAGCAGGTGAGTCGTGATTCAGCTCTCTAGGCCTTTTACCGATTACCACTTCTGACCATCTTTATTCCCCTACCTCGCCTCCATTCGCAGGCCATGTCTGAGTACAAGCTCTCCCACCCTAACATCTCTCTCGAGGAAGAGTCGACCATCGCCCTCCCACCGTCGACGGCGCTAGTGACTGTCCCTCGCGACCTGTCGACCAAGTTGGATCTGACGACGACGCAGACGCCCACGATGGTGGATCGATGGAGCACCCTCTGTACCCTCTTTGAGCGCATCGCCAAGCGCATCGAGAGTCAAGGTGGGGATTATGCTCGTCTGGGAAGTCTCATCGACGCAATCAGTCAAGGCGGCGGTGCAGGTGCAGGTGCAAGTGCAGGTGCAGGGGTTGGGCCAGGTCGCAGTACTTCACCTCCCATCTCTTCCTCCTCACCTGCCATCATCTCCTCCTCAAGCTCCTCCGCTCTAGCCTCCTCCCTCCACCGCGACTTTTCCGACCTCTGCACCGTCCGCTCTCGCTCCCTGACCCTGCACGCCCTCGAGGGTCTCAAGACCCAGCGGGACCTCTGGCTCTCCTGGCGCGATCTCCTCGCCCGGCACGTAGCCCTAGCAGGGGACAATGTCCCGTCTCTCAAGTCCCAAGTCGCCTCTACACGCGCCAAGCTCGCAGCACTCAATGCCGTCGCACCTGCACAACGTCCACCCACCTTTCATGCCGATGTGGCCAAAGTGGAAGAAACGCTCCGCACAGACTCGCTACAGATTGAGCGACTGCTGCAACGACGCGAGAGGGTGAGGGCAGCAATGTGGGAGGAATTGGGATTGTTGGCCGCGCGAAAGGAAGAGGTGGCGGGGGTTTGGAGAGAGTGGTGCAAGGAGGAATTGCTAGGCAGGGCAGCACAGAAGAGGGCAGTGGAGGAGTGTTGGGCACAGATGAGCGGAGCGGGAGGAGCAGGAGGAGGAGCGAGGTGAGGTGAGGTGGTGGCGAGGAGAGAGTGCGAGAGAGAAGCTCAAAGGTCATCGTCATTGTTCAAACATTCTATAGACTCATGGGCTCAATACCACTTCCAACACGACGTCAAAGATGAGAAGGCAAGCAAGTCTTCAAATTTCGCTACACTCGAAATCGGATTCGAACAGCGCTTCTTTTTGTATGTAAGGTAGTACATCTGCTAATCCCACAAGCCTGCTTCCTGCCTGCTTCCTCCAGCTCCTTGTCTTCCTGTGACTTCACCTCCACACCCGCCTACCAGTCGGTACCGGCGACCTTGTTGACGCTCTTCTTTGCCTTGTCCATCAAAGGCTCCAGCTTCCCACCAACAACTCCCGCCTTTGTGTAGCCGAAGCCGTCCAGCCAGGGCGTCTCTGCGCTCCTCTTTACCTCAAACTCAGAGATGCGGTCCGCCTTCTCCATTGTGAGGTCGATGTCGTCAAGTCCGTTAATGAGGCAGTGCCTGGTGAAAGAGTTCATCTCAAAGGAGAAGCTTGCGCCGTTCTCCAGCGTCACCTTCATCTCCTCAAGGGAGACGCTCACCTCCTCTCCGGCCTTGGCCGCCTGCATCACCTGGTCCACCTCCTCGGGCTGCAGGATGGCAGCAACGATGCCGTTCTTGGAAATGTTCGTAGCATGGATATCGGCAATCGAAGGGACGACGACGGCTCGGACACCAAAGTCGAGCATGGCCCAGGCGGCGTGCTCTCGGCTGGAACCACAACCCCAATTGTCGCGAGAGACGATGATCTTGGCCTTGTTCCAAGGAGCTTTGTTGAGGACAAAGTCTGGCAGGGGCTCACCTGTCTTGGTGTCGTACCTCATGGGCCACATGAAGGCCGAGCCCAGACCAGTGCGCTTAATCGTCTTCAAGAATTGCTTGGGGATGATCAAGTCAGTGTCGATGTTGGCACGATCCAGAGGGGCGGCAATGCCCTTGAGGACGGTGAACTTCTCCATTCCGCCGCCAGAGGTGGCAGTAGTCGAGGCAGGTACGTCGCGGATCGTGTCCTCGTCAGTCGTTGCCTTGGCGGGCTCTTGCGGAGCAGGAGCGGCCATTGGCAGCTCACCAAGATAGGCCTTGGAGTCGGTGATCTGCACCTCGTAGGCGGGAGCATTGGCAGAGGGGCCAACCTTGTTTTCGGTACCGGCGACGATCTTCCTCACGTCGGTCAGGTAACCAGTGATGGCGCAAGCGGCTGCCATGGCAGGCGACATCAAGTGCGTCCTACCACCTGCTCCCTGCCTGCCCTCGAAGTTCCTGTTCGATGTAGAGGCACATCGCTCTCCGGGCGAGAGCTGGTCAGGGTTCATACCAAGACACATTGAGCAACCGGCTTCCCTCCAGTCGAAGCCGGCAGCAGTGAAGATCTTGTCCAGACCCTCTGCCTCAGCCTGTCGCTTCACTAGACCAGAGCCGGGTACGAGCATACCGTAGATGTGAGGAGCGATCTTGCGGCCGTACAGGATCTTGGCTGCTGCCCTGAGATCCTCGATTCGAGCATTGGTGCAAGAACCGATGAAGACCTTGTCCAGCTTGATCTCCTCCATGGGTGTACCTGCCGTGAGGCCCATGTACTCCAGGGAACGAGTGATGGAGGCAGCTCGCTTCTCGTCCTTTGCCTCCTTGGGGTCAGGTACCTTGCCAGTGATGGCCACGGTGTCCTGAGGCGAGGTACCCCATGTGATGGTAGGTGGGATGTCCTTGGCATCGACATTCACAACGACGTCGTACTTGGCTCCCGCGTCCGAAGGCAGAGTCTTCCAGAATCGCACGGCGTCATCCCAGGCCTTGCCCTCCTTGGGAGCCAGGGGCCTTCCCTTCATGTACTCGTAGGTGATCTCGTCTGGGGCAATGAGACCAGCACGGGCGCCTGCCTCGATGGACATGTTGCAAATAGACATCCTGGCCTCCATTGACAGCTTCTCGATGGCAGTTCCGCAGAACTCGACTACGCTACCTGTTCCTCCAGCGGTACCGATGATACCGATGACGTGGAGGATAATATCCTTCGATGTAACGCCGGGTCCCAGCTCTCCGTCCACCTGGATCCGCATGTTCTTTGCCCTCTTCTGCAGGATGGTCTGAGTGGCTAGGACGTGCTCGACCTCCGATGTACCGATACCGAATGCGAGAGCTCCGAAAGCTCCATGTGTTGAGGTGTGGGAGTCTCCGCAGACAATGGTAGCGCCGGGAATGGTGAATCCCTGCTCGGGGCCGATGATGTGCACGATTCCCTGTCGGTTGTCAGAGAGACCGAAGAAGGTCAGACCAAACTCCTTGACATTGTCCTCGAGGGTCAAACATTGCGTCCGCGAGTCGGCCTCGTCGACGAAGGACTTGGTCTCCTTGTACGCCTTGCGTGAGATGGTGGGGATGTTGTGGTCCACGGTGGCGAGGGTGCAGTCGGTACGGCGTACGCGCCTGTTGGTGTTGCGCAGACCTTCGAAAGCTTGGGGCGAGGTGACTTCGTGGACCAGGTGTCGGTCGATGTACATCAGACATGTGCCGTCATCTTGCTCGTCGACGATGTGGCTGTCGAAGATCTTCTGGTAGAGGGTTCGCGGCTGCGAGGTTGAGGTGGCCATGGCCGCAGAGAGTGCAAGCGGTGGAGGTATGCACCGGGGGAGGGTCGATGGGCGCGCAACGATGGCACTGAGTGAGGGTAGATATGCGTCCAGCTGATCGATGCGAAAGGCAGCTGGCAGTGATGGTGGTATTGGTTAGATGGTGATGGACTACAGAGTCTGCCCAAAATGAGATTTGAAATGGCCCTTTGGCTGCCTCACCTTCTTCTGTGCCGGCCTCTGTGACTCGCGCCCGCCCTGATCGGCAGAGGCGCCCGAAGGCCGAGGTGCGCGCGCAGTGGACTTGAACGGAATTGCCCTCAAACCCGCCTCGGCCATCGTACGCACAAAGGACTGCCGAAGCCCAGTAAGCAGGCATCAGCAGAAGCAGATTTACGCTCGGGAGAAAGTTCCGAGCGTATGGCGAGTCATAAAGACGTCTACTCTACTGCCGCCGACAGACTTCATGCTGAACGATAGCTCGCAAATCAAGGAGAAGGTACGCCGTAGGACCTCTTCATAAAAAACCCTCCGCTGCGATGAGTGAAGGGCTGCCTCTACGATCAGAGGCAAGCTCTTGCCGTCCATTCTTTCCGTAGGAGCGACTTTGTGGCCAACCCTCTCTGATGGGGCGCAATGTTGGTCCTTTGGTCCAAGGTTGCCGATTTGCTTCCAATCGGGCACCTCGCTTCGGCATACCCATCCTTCCTGGCGATGTAGTGCGGAGAAGGGACGCCATCGGAACCGGAAGCGCAGACGTGCAGGGCAAGACTTGGCCCTGGCGAGGGGGCAACTTCTAGAAGAGGTCTCAGCTCAGCCACGCAAATGTGGGTGGTGCAGCAAGAAGCGTAAGGGTGTCGCTCGGCGCGGGCATAGTCTTGCTTCATTCCACACCATGACTGCACACCACGACTGGACCCCGGAGCCCGATGGACAAGCCTCTGGGCAGCAGAGTTTCAATCAGGCGAGCGGAGTGCAGTTGGCAGCTGCTCGACATTCTTCACCATGCACCCAGACACAGGCTACGGCTGGAAATTCGGACATGATACGGGCCATCGAGCGGCGGCACTCGCCTTGCTTCCGCAACGGGATGAGCAGATGTCTATGGTGAACATATGCAGGTAGAAGAAGGGGGCTGACGCCTCTACATCAGATTGCTACTGAGCTCGAGAGCATCTAGGGCCCTCGATCTTCCTTGCCGTCTCCTAGAGGGGTCTGAAACTATAAAGCTACCTCCAGATGACGAGGATATGCGGGCCCCCTCTCGCATGCAATCTGGATTCGTACTCTCTTGGGTACCAAAGTCTCTTACTTCAAGCTCACTGCTTCAACAATGCTCAGTCTACACTTCCTCCGAGCATCAGGTCTAGTCCTGCTTCTGCTCATTGCGGCCCTTGGCCAAGCCAGCGCCTTTGAGAGGCCTGATACAGCAAACCTGGCCAGGGAACTAGCAGCGCGCGACGAGACTTCGGCTTTCTTCCCGAATCACGTAGTTCGAGCTGCTACCTCTGCCGCTGCAACGACGACTTCGCCCGTGAGCACCTTCTGTGATGCGTTCATTAAGCAATGCTACAAGAGCGCACTCAGCGGACAGACCGGGGACGTCAATGTGGTCTACACGTGCCAGCGCGATGGCGCCAAGACTTACACCTACAGCTGCAAGGGTGGCACGACGGACGTGACAGAAGCTGTACTGAATGCCCTGGGCGAGGACTATATCGCCTACACGACCGTCAGCGGCACCACAATTGCCACTCGTACAAGCACTTCCATTGTCAAGACGGCTTACGCTTCAACGCGTGTGATCAAATCCACTGTAGCTACCGAAAGCGAAGCCACCACTACGGTCAAGAGCATAGCTTCAGTGAAGAAAGTAGCTGCCACGAAGTACCTCACCACTCAAATCCCGATCACTGTTTCAAGCCTTTCTTTCAAGATCGTCACCAAGACTAGCACCGCTACTGGACCTGCTACGACTACTGTGGGAGATGGCGTCTTCTTGGGCGATGATGAGGTGCCAGTCTCCAAAATTACCTTGAGCTCAGCAGGCAAGATCCAGCGTCGTGCACTCACCGAGTTCTGCTCGGCGTATAGCCTCTCCTGCACGAGCAAGTGTGCCTCGAACTCGACGACGGTCAAGACGTCCGTGTGCAGAGCGGATACTCTGCCAAAGTACAAGCTGGCGTGCATTTGTACGAACGGCAATACTCTCACGCAGCAGGCGCTAGCTGCCGTCGTCGAGGATCAGCATCTTGTGACTGTCTCGCAGCTTACCACTTCCACGGCATTCATTGCTGCGCCAAGGACAAAGACGCTCTCCGAAACACTGACCACCACCAGATTGATCACTTATACAACGCAGGTGCCTATCACCGTGACGTCTACCTTTATTAGCACGCGCACTACAGGGACTATCACATTTCGCACTGGCGTCAGCACCAAGGTCACCACGAAGCTCATCAAATCTCGCTCGACAACTATCAAGACGGCGGCTCCGTCAAATGTCGTGACGACGACGACACGTACCGTCCTCGCCGCTACTGGCTATGTCCGGGGCTTCAACAACTCCAATGGCGCCTACGTGGGTTCTCTGGGCAATTCGGGCTACTTTGCTCAGCTGGCCGCACCGAACGACAGTAGCACCGCGGTTGAATTCATGGCCATTCGCGACCCGACGACGGGAGCTTACCAGCTCGCAGAGCTTGGAAATCCAGAGAATGTCATCATCAACGAGGCTGGGAACAGCGTGTATAAGATTGAGCAGGAGGCTGGCACCTATGCCTTTGGGTATACGTCCTTCGGCCCGGCCTCTTCGTGTGGTACGGCCGCCTCGAGTGCAGGCCCCGCAGATGGGGCGTCACCCCTTTCGACCGCAGGAGCTTGCGAGACGTACGTCATTGCTCCTCTGGCTGAGACTCCAGTGCCTGCATCCATTGATTTGAAACCTTACTGGTTCAATCCAAATGGCTCAGCCACGGCAGCACACATTGGCGTGTGGGGGACGTATGGTACTGAGAAGACGCTCATCCACGTGGCGGACAAGGCGGCCTTCCTAAATCATTACGGGCCGTTCCCCTTTACTTGGGTCACTCTGAAGTTTCCCTACGCCAGCTGAAGACTTGTAGAGGTCAGCTCGCCCTTGAGTCGGCGCACATAGCACAGGGCACGAGGAGGGGTCCCGTTCGTGGACGTCTTGAGATCAATGGCCTAGAGCTACTGCTGCGACAATGAGTCCTTTTTAGCATGTATCGAGACCGAAGGTCGGTCGAAGACCGAGACGATTCTTGAGAGAACACCCGCTATCCTCAGCGCCGGGCTCGATTTAAGAGTATGTGAAGGTACATCGGACATAGGCTCGAAGGGCTTTTCACTATCTGACTCCTCGATTCCAGCGAGCTTCAGCCGTCGAGAGTCTCCATTTGTTATTGGCGTTCTTCCTTCGCCTTCTTCCTTCGCAATATACCACCCGACTTGACCCGCGGCACAGCCAATCTCAATCGTATCACACGCACCCTACTGCTCTCTTCTTCGCTCGATGCGGAAGACACGTCTGGTCAGATCTCTCACGCTGGCGCCCGTAGAGGAAGCGAGACTTGAGATCAGGGTCTTCTAGAAGACGTCTCAGCCACGCAGTGTGAGTCGCAGAGGGGCGTAAAGGTGTCGCTGGGCGCAAGTCCTTGCAGAATGGGAGCCTCACATTCCGCCGGGACAAGACTTTGTTTGTTCAGGCAACTTCAAGTCCGCTGCTTTAGCGTCTCTCTCGAGAAGCGGCTCCCCATCTGCGGAGTATTGCCGGCGGCATGCAGCGGGAGTTGAATTACGCTCACGGCGCATATGCCGAAGCACCTCACTGCGAGATTGGCAAGACTAGCGGGGCCCCTTGAAATACCGTGGCTTGAGTCAGGGCCAGGTGCGTAAAGGTGAAAGAACGGTGCAAAGGACATGGAACGCCCGGATCTCACTGAGACAAGCGAGAAGGCTACCAGTAGAGTTTGACCATCCACAATGGATGGCGTTGTACACAGACCGATTGTACACAGACCGATTATGCGGCCCAAATCTGATGTTCTTTTTTTGTGCGCCTAGGTACAACACCCCATCAGCGGAGCCAGTACGTACCCATGAGGCTTGCGGTGAAACACCTTGATGGCTTACAAGCGCCTGTCGGCCGAGACATATTGTGTTTGTTACCAAACGGAGCAGACGGCCGCTGTATCCTCCGACAGCACACATGGCTGAGCTGACTCTTGGCGCCTCACAAGCTCGAGCTTGAGAGTTAGGCCGGAAGTCCTTACACATGCCCTCGACGCTCTTGTCCTGTTGTTCCTTTGCGAGGGGCGGTACAGTGTCTGAGGCAGACCTCTCGTGAAGGCGATCCTCTTCGATATGCTGTCGGTCTACCGACGCTGTGCTTTTCTTGAAGCAACGGGAGCATGGGAAATAGACGTAAAGCAATGGCCGACACAGACGCAAGTTTGGGGGTCCATCTCACCTGGAATCACTCGGGTCGAAGAGGCTCCGCAAGAAATGCTTCATATAGAGTGACCCTGCTTGCGAGGACTGCACCTTTCCCCCGCAATTCCTTCATCTGCTCCTGTACCCGTTCTCACCGGACCTCTACCCCGCCCATCCATCCTCCCCTCGCAATGCGGTCCTACACACTGCTGGCCACGTTGGTGGCTCTGACTCAAATCTTCAAGTCGCCTGCTCAAGCAGCCCCTCTCAGCTCCTCCTCCCAAGGCATCACCGTGGATCTTCCCATCGACGACCCTTGGTTGCGCCGATTGTTTGAAACAGAGCCCCACGAGGGAAGCCTCCACAAGCGAAACAATGCGCCCCCAGCTCCTGCTGGATGCCGCAATTTGGTAGACGCGGACCTTCTTGACGTCCCCGTTCCCGTCGTCTCGGCCTGGCTCCACAAGCTGTACGACACGTCAACGTCTTGGGGTCACACTATCTGCCCTACCCCCCAGGGAAACGATTGCTTCGACGGAAAGTAAGTCGGGTAAATATGTCGGCGCTGCTCTTGCCGGCATCTGCTCACCCTCGCACGTTTTCACACCCTCAATCTTGTTCCAGTTCTCTGTACGCTTATAATGGTATCGGTGGTGGCAGGTTGGACAGCATGCCCTCCCAGCTCAACGCCAATATCTATGTTGGCGATGCTGGCTTCTACACAAAAGGATGGTCGGGTCAATGGCCCACGGTGTGAGTGATGCTTGTGCCTCCCACATATGCCTTATCACAGTGCTCAATACGTGCTTTTCCCTGCCTTGGATCGCTTCAGCTGTATGGGTACTGCCAATATTCAGCCAGTCACCTTTGTACCGAGCTCGTGTTCCACTCAGTCAAGCACACTGGTCGGTGGGGTTCACGGTACAAGTGCCGCAGTGACCGCTGCCATCAAGCAAGACACTAATCTGGCCATTCAGGTCACAACAACTACAGAGCAGGACATCACAGCAGGTCTATCAGTTGTAAGTTAGCCTCTTCGGATCTGTCTTGCGTCACTGGGACAGAGGCTGACGAAGGATCCTTTTGCCTCGCCAAACATGACAGACCGTGGGCGAAGATGTTGGTGTGGAGGGTGTTGCATCGGAAAGTGTTTCCGCGACAGCCTCATTGTGAGTACCTTGTCGCTGCCATCAACTGCAACGAAGAGCCTTTGGAAGCAAGAACGTTGCAGCTGATTCGTCGATCCATCCAGCTCTTACGAATACTCGACTACATCGGGCACGAGCAAGACTACTACCACCGACAACCAGAATACCCTCTCGATTACTGTCAATCCGACGGATGGCCAAGTGTGCTCTCTGGTCGAGTACGACACAACATGTACTGGAACGGCTCCTGTCACAATTCCCGTAACGTTCGTGGGCGCTCTGGTCGCATGGATGCCAGATGGAGTGAACACCCCAAACGAACCATACAAGTATATCACGTTCGCAATGCAATCGCCTCTGGTAGAATACGGCGCAGACAGTGCAATGAACATCGAACAGACGGTCGGGTTGAGTCTCGAGGCCAGTGGTGGCTACGACATCTCCTGCGTCAGTGATGGATCTGCCACTATCGACAATACGGGCTACACGCCACAGCTCCAATGCCCTGGAAGCCTTGGCAACTTTGAGGGAGTTTGCTCGGCCAACTTGGGCGACTACTTTGCCAGCGGTGCCTTGGTGACCGATTCCAGCAACTGGGCAGCCAGAGGCCTGTACAATCAGCAATTCCCAGCTCCGGGGGCAACTGTCCCATACGGCAAAACTCAGGTTTCCTTCCAAGTCCAAGGTCCTGGGATTGCCACTGCCTCCTGCTCATCCTCTGTGGAAGTTAGTCCGCCATGGGAGGCAGACTTCCAGCCCCAGCTCGACGTCCTCCAGTACCCCTCTGATGGCTCTTCTGTCTCGGCGTACTACACAGTCGACTATGTTGGGCTCTGTGATTCTCTCCAAGGTGGAAGCTGTCATGTGAGCTCCATCGCCTCCGACACTGCAAGTGGCTTCTCTTGGGCATCGACGACGGTTGGCAACAATCCTCAGCAGTCTTTCAAGCTCTCAAACGGAGGCCAAGCTTGGCCACAAAGCGATACCCTGACTTTCACTGTAACGTGTTCCGATAGCTATGGAAATCAGGGAAGCGCCTTGTTCTACCAAAAAGCCGTGTCCATTCCTCAAGCCACGTCCACGGTACCTGGTGCAACCTCTACTCTGACCTTGCACACCTTGACGGATGATCTCGAGACGACGACGTTGACTCTAGCCACCTCTACTAGTACTCCTCTCGCTACTAAGGAAGTCCTCGAAAGTGTCGACTACTACACCACCATCTATACGCGAACCGTTTCAAAGAAGGCAGAAGAGACGATCGTAAAGACGAAGACCAAGGATGTCACCGTCACCGATGTGCACAAGACCACGATCACGGCACCCCAAAAGACAACTACGACTCAGCTAAGCGTTGCAGCGCCTACCACGTACACCGTCTTCGCCACAACGACGGTGAGTCCCTGAGCCAAGCGTTCCTCCGCTTGGCCACTTGAAGGCTGATGTGCTGACTCTCTCTCATTTTGCCTTGCGATCCCCTCTATAGCCTACGGCCACGGTCACAGTAGCAGCCAAGTCTACCACGACACGGACTGCCTCTACATGCACCACCGGTTCTCTTTCTAGGCAGGGTAGCCATCATCTGAAGCGAGCCCATAGCTACGTTCCTGCCGTTGGAACGACGACCTTCTCCGACCCCTCGATCACGTCCACGGTGACTGATTCGGTCGATACCTACACCTTGTACACCTCCGCCTACACCACGGTCACCGACTCCATCGATACCGTTCAAGTCACCGCTCCTACTTCTACTGTCACGGACTTCTTCACCGCAGAATCGAAGTTGTACACCGTGTTGACCAAGTACAAGAAGCAGACCACCGTTACTTCGACTTTGACCTCGACGACTACTGTAGAGACGACGAGCACTCGTGTCTCTCAGCCTCCCGTCACCACAGTGACATTGGCCCCTACCGCAGAGTGAGTAGCGCACTTCGTCTTCCATGAGGGCTCTCCAGCTACTGACCAGCGCTTCTTGGCTCTCTTCCTCTCTTTCTCTCTGCTCCCTCTTGCACTCGCGAACAGCCAATCCACTGTCTTGAAGACTGTGACCAGGACTGCTTCGACGGTGACCAGCTACGTCACCCCAAGTCTCGCCACTACCACGACGACGCCCAAGTGCACTTCCACCTCGAGCTCAAGCAAATGCACCACATCCACCAAGCCTTCCAAGTATGTCAAGGCTGCAGCCACTGCTCCCGCCAAAAGGTCGCGCTAAGCGAAGAGGTTGACCATACCATGAGAGCTTCATTCCTTCAATTGCGACTTGCGTCGGCGCACTCAATCGCCCAGAAACAGAAGCATCCTGGTTGCGCAATGGACATTCGCCGAGTTTCCCTTCTCCTTCGATTCTATTCAGGTCTTCTTTGGCTCCATCCCTGGTTTTCTCGCGTCACCGTTTCGTCCTTCGTATTCCTTGCCCTGTGTCCGTCACAGCCCAACTTCTTCTGCTTTTCGTCTCTCGTAATTTACTCTGTCACCGGCCTTGGGGTTCTGCTTGAGAGGTGATCTGCCAGAAATTGAGGCTTCCTTCGTGTTTATAGAGATGTTGCCGCTTCAAAACTTGCTCTAAGCCCCTTCCTAACTGTGAGCCAGATGATCGCAGCAGCCTGTGCCGTATTCTCTCCTGATTGGCTCCAGCTCCAGAACTCGAGGCTATCGAAGATTCCTGCATTCGCTCTTGCGGGGCTTCTCGTCTCTTCTCGATGTCTTTGGGAGGGACACAGGGCAGTGGGAGGGCTAAGGAATCGCGGCGAGGCCTCAGGAAGAGGGGAGGCCAGACGACGCATAGGGGAGGCTGTTCCCGCGGCTTCTCGTGGTAAACGCCTCGAGGGATCACCTGAGCATTTCTGACTACGATGTTCAGCTCATGACTGGACAGTCCTCCCAGTGCGTCAGTCTCGATTGCGAGGTCATCGTGCCTCGTCTGATCACGGCCTAGCAGCACTTGTGGCGCAGGGTTCCTGGGAAAACGAAAGAAGCAGCATCCTATACTCTATAGTAGGGCCTTGAATGTGGCTGATCATTCTTCTCTTCTTCGCTTATGAGAGCTCTTGTCCTTGTCCTTCTTGCTCCCCGATCCGCCGCCTTCATCCTTATCTTTGTCCTTGTCCTTCTCCTTGTCTTTCTCCTTGTCCTTCTTCGAAGAGCTCTCCTTCTTCTGCGCCTCCTGCTGCTGCTTCATCAGCTCCTCTGCAGCCTTGAGCTCAAGGCTCCTCTGGTAAGTGAGCGAACTAGCGCTGAAGACCCTGTCCTCGTTGGCCACAGCATCGGCCGATGCTCCGCTACTTGCGCCAGCAGGTCCACCCTTGAGGTAGTTCTCGAAGCCCTTTACGATGTTACCTCCCGAGGCGGCCGTGCTGGTGAAGTACGACCCTTCAAAGAGCCAGATCTGAGATTCGAGATCGGAGAGGGTGCGATCGATGTTGCGCTTCTTCCGCAGAGTCTCTTGTATTTGAGCCTTCAGAGCAGTGTAGCGCGCCTGAGCTTCTTCGTGGGAGGTGAGGCTGGCGGCAGCAGCGGATGGAGTAGAGGGAGCAGCTGCTGCGCCGCCGTTGCTGGCAGAGGAAGCGTCGAGAGGGGTAGCTGACGTGGCTACAGGCGCCATCTGAACGATGATCAGGTACGGCCGATGCTGAGATGGAGATGGGGATCGCTGTCTGGGTGTAGGTGGAAGGTGGGATGGTAAGGAACGTCTGGACGTGACTGACTGCTTCTACGGAAAGGAGACGAGACCCGCTTCGCACGCACGTGGCTTGGACCGGGACGGAAGGGAAGCGTGTCTCTGGGCTTTACATCCTCGACACGATGTGTGGCTGCAATGAACGTAGCGATCTCAAGGTAAGAAGCTGTTAAAGTGACTTGCATAGTGCTGCACAAGCATACATGATATCCTCTGGTATGCCTCTGACCGGCTGACAATGGTACAATGACTTGTATTGGCATGGATGAAGTTTGCAGGGCAATCCTTATGCTGCAGACGAGGGCAATGACTTTACCCTGTATCCTTGACAAATTACTTCAAGACATTACTCGCTCTTCATGACTGAATAGGTAGTAGGTACACACGTTATACTTTGGTAGGCACCCCTGCCACATTGCTCTTAGTATCAGACAAACTCTCTGTATCTCCACCCGCTTCCTCACCGTCACCCAGTACCTCGTCCGCTGCCTCAAGTGCCTCCAACGTTTCGGCCTATAATGAAGAGGCGGACATTATCTGCGGCATAGGCACCACCGGGGTCTATGCGATCGATGGAGCTCAGATACAGAGGTAGCTCGACACCAGATGCGTCTCGATACGTATGTTCTGTAACCGTACGATCTTTGGCACTAGCTCCGCGACCGTGATGTCCGCCGAATGGCGATGCTGCTGCCGATTGTGCTGTCGCACCAGCCTCACAGTCCTCCTCGCCCACGCCTCGACCACAATAGCGAACATGGTGTCTTTGTCCACTCGTGATCGCGTCGCCGGACACAGCATGCCGTTGGCGTCCACGTCCAAGACCCGTCCCGCTTCGAGGCGTCCAATGAGGACAGCAGCCTCGTCCCCTGTCAAGTCCAGATTGACAAAGTTGCAGCCGACGTCGATGAGCCGGAAGTTGTCGTGAGCGTACGTCCCACCTTTTGAGCGCGGGTGAATCGCGTCAAGCGATGGCATCGAAGGCAGGATCGTATTGGGTCCGTACGGAGAGGAGCCAGCAACCGGCACCATGAGCACCTGGCAGTACTCGCAGCGAGGGTTTCGAGCGAACATTTCACTCATAAGTCCGTAACTGCGTCGGACCTCGTCGCGGTACCCTGGATCCTCTGGCCGAAGGCCCAGTCTTTGCACCGCTTGCACCGCTTTAGCCATAAAGAAGGACCGATTGCGAACAGGCGGCGGGGCAGGCGCGTCTGCACCTGATCCAGCGGGAGGGCGAGGCAGCGGTCGTCGTGTCTGCACGAGTCGATCGGTCATTCGTCGGTCCGTTCTTACTTGCCAGACCATGGCTTCCTCCTCGGGGGTCAAAATGTCCGAGAGTGAGATTGTGTAGACGGAGACGATGCGGACATCCAAGAGCAAGACTGCCTTGATCAGAGCCTGCGCGACACGAGTATCCGACACACGGGCCCAGTCCAGTGCGTGAGGCGGCTCGAAAACCTCCAGGAACAGAAAGGACATCAGACAGAGCATCTGCGGCCGAGTGTAATGCAGTCGAATGATGGTGGCAGCGTCTTCCGGTTCGCAGGATGCGTAGAGACAGTCCACGATGGCCAAAAAGACGGGTTCGAATCCTTGTACGAGAGTTGGAGGCGAAACTTTGTATCGTGATCCTCGTCCTCAACCAAGGAAATGTTGGCAAGGACATATCCGTCCTGCGTGTCCTTCGGAAGCGGCAGTAGCAGCGCGCTTCACTTTCACCAGTCACTGGATTGCAGACTCGTGGGGCCTGAAAGAAAGTATCTGCAGAGGACAGGGCAATAAGAGGACACGTTAAGGTGTTAGCTCTGCCCTCAAGTCTCCATGGTCAGACTGACTCACCATTTGTTCCAGCTCCAGCATGTCCAGCCGAGCAGCCAGCGCAACCAGTCTCTGCGGCACCTCTGGAACCGAAACAGTACCAATGTTCGGGATTAGCATCCTCCACGTCAGTCTGACGACGTCGGTGGTGACCAATCGGACAAGGAGGGTGATCCACTCCTCCGACCTAGTGTCATCCTGTTGTAAGCTGTGGCCTACCTGGAACAGTAGGCACAGTGCTACAAGGCAGAGGTAGTGTCTCAGCCGGTGCTGCCAGGTTGGGCCTCCGCGCACGTCCGAGGTAGGGGCCCCTACTGCCACTATGTCTGTGCCAGGCAAGGGAACAAGAGGTAAGGCGCTGATATCGAATGTTGGCGCGTGGAGATCTACTGCCACTCTTGAAAGCGGCTAAAGATACAGCCAAGTATGAGCCGTACAGAATGCACGCCACTGCGATAGGGGTCTGATGAACGCTGCATCCGGAGTGCGCGACCCCGCTGGAGCATCCCGTTGTTCCTAAGTGCAAGCTATTATCCCATACTTGATGCTTGACGTCTGAAGAAGTCTTCTTTTCTGATACTACATGTGTCATCCTTGTGCAGGGGTCGTGCTCTTGCTCCTTGCTTGGTGTCGAGTACAGGTCTTTACTTGAGGTGGTGCTGGTCCCTTGAACCCACTGTGGGTACGAATAGTCGTTGACCGAGGTGTCTAGCGGATTGAAGACGTGAGGGCACAGTCGCTGCGACATCTTCCTGTTAGAGAGAGCGAGAAGTAGGCAAGAGGGGAAGGATGAGTAAGAGTGTATCAAGGGCATCGAGCCTTCAAAGTGTGATGAACAACGTACCAGAGGAGTGGAGAGTGGAAGACTACCACCATGGGCAGAGGGAAGTTCGTCTGCCCTCAGCGCTTAGAGAGCTGAGGATGTAGAAGGGAGGTTTGTTTCTCGTTCAGTGTGGGAGTCCAGAGTGACAAGGCAGGGTGTTATATACCTTGTCTCTCGGTGGTAAACGGCGAGCAAACTCTCGAGCAACTAATCGAAGAACGCCGCGGTTCTCCGAGGATCTTGGTGCCTGGTAGACGAACTCAGGCACCGATGCAGGGGAGTAGACTAGCTAGCAACTCGAATGTGCCAGGCACCAAAGGCGTCACGCAGGCGCCATGGTCTCCTACATTCAGGGTCGCGGAGCCAGTCTCGGGCCAGAGGGTGCTACTCCTCGGTCGCAGAGTGGTACGATGCTCATGGCTGTGCTTCCAGAAGGAACAAGGTGCGGAGAGAGGAGTACACGTCTCGAAGTTGCAATGGATACCGACGTTGCTGCTTTCTGTGCCTGATGGCCCTGACTGGTCCAGGCGCAAAGCTTTCGCTCGTGCACGCGCCAAGTGATTTCGGAGTCCTCTCCCCACGTGGCGTCGTGCATTGCTTCTTGCTGAGTTCTTGTGAGCGGAACGGAGGATCGGCTGTGCCCCGGGGAGCGGAAAGTTGCTCCACCTGCGCCTTGGCTGCCAATGCGGAGGTGCGTAATCGCCACTCCCGTTTCGCACCCATCTACCGCACCTGCCATTCAGAGTCTCATCACCACTCCTTCTTCATCTGAACAAGACCTCACCCATTCTCATCCTTTAGACATGTCTGCACCACCTCTCAGTAGCGACCACAGCAGCGGCAACGCCAACAACAACCACCATGACCTCGACCGAGTCACCTCGCCAGCCATCGATGAGGCACCACCTCCGGGCTACGATGCAGCCACTGCTGCTGGCTCCTCGGCCGTGAGAAGAGAGCAGCGACAGGCCAACATGCAAGCCGAGCAAGGTGGAAGCGCACCTGATCGATCCAGCGATGTGGGCAGGGATGAAAGACCGCTGCCTGAAGGATGGATCAAGTTGTGGAACTCTCTGTGAGTAGGAGCAATGGCCGCTAGGTCACACTAGTGACGCACGCTGACCTGCCAACCCTTCGGGATCTCCGTCTCTCACAGCTACCAACACTTCTACTACGTTGACACAAGCGCCCAGCCTCCCCGCTCCATCTGGACACATCCCCTGGACGATGCTGCCTTCCTCAAAGCCAACCCCCAATTCCAGGACATGGCTCGTGGAGCCCGCGGTCGTCCCAGCGAAGAAGACGGGGGTATGAGTGATGCACCTGCTGCTCCCAGCTTTGCTCCTCCTGCGCATGCGCCCCCGCCGCAGATCAATTCGTCGCATCACAAGTCTTCGGGCATGACAAGACAGCAGAGAATCAAGGCTGCTGGGGACAAAGCGGCTGAAGAAGCTAGGAACGAGCCTGAGGCGACAGGACTCAAGAAGATCAGTCGGCACATCAAGGAGAACACCACTGGGAAAGATCGCGTTGCCCGTCGTCGCGAAGCAGCAGAAAAGGCTGAAGCGCAGAAGATTGTTCGTGAGGAGCGAAGGGCAGCTGCTCAGGCTTTTATCAGAGCGGCGCAGACTGGCCAGCCTCAACTGGTGGGAACAGACGAGAGGAACGGGACAGTGTACTATGCGGAGCCTCCTGCGCCTGGCGTTCCGGTACAGATGGTCCTCAACTCATTCCCTCCCCCGTACGGCTTTGAGAGTCGAAAGGAAGGAAACACGACGTATATGAGACCTGCTGCGCCGCCGATGTATGCTCAGCGAGGCATGTATGGTGGAGGGTACGGTGGGTATGGGATGGGAATGCCACTCATGGGAGGTATGTTGGGTGGAGCCCTGCTCGGCGGGATGCTCTTCTGAGCGAGCGGAGAAGAGTCGAATGACTCATCTCTAGCACAGACTCCCTACCTACGTGCTCCACGGCTGGCTGGCTTCTGTGAAAACATACGACTTGCAAAGTCTGATACCCCTTCACAAGAAACCAGCATGGCTATCTTGAAAGGAACCCACTCTCTTCTACTCATGAACTCGTTGTTGGTTTCGGCGTCCATTGTTATGCGCATCTGATAATACAGTGATTCCTCAAACGTGTGTCCGTCTCCCTGCCATACAGCCTGCTGAATCCAAGCTAAGCAGCAACCGGCGGCCTTGGCACAAAACCAACTGCCTTCTCCATCCCCTCCATCTCCCCATCCGAATACCCTAGCTCTTGCAACACTTCGTAAGAGTGCTGCCCCAGCACAGGAGGTGGGCGTGTGAGGGGCATTCTCCCCTGTCCATACACTACTGCAGGACTAACGACTTTGAGATTTCCTATCCTCGGGTGCTCCATCTCGCTCACGATCCCCCTCGCAACGGCCTGTGGATGCTCGAAGGTCTGCTGGATATTCCGAATCGGCGCGATTGGCAGACGACCCTCGAGGCGCTGCAGCCAGTAAGCGTTGGGCTGCTGCGAGAACAGACCCGACAGAAGAGGGATCAGTTCCTCCCGATTCGCTACACGCGCACCATTTGTTGCGTATCGTCCGCTTGCGGAAGCCAGATCAGGATGGCCGAGTGTATCTGCTAGCAGACGGAACTGACCGTCGTTGCCTGCTCCGACCATCAAGAAGGAGTCTTGCGTGGGGAAGACCTGGTAGGGAACGATGCTCGGGTGGGCAGTCCCGTGTCTTCCTCCCTCTTTACCAGCAACGAGGTAAGAAGATCCCACGTTTGCGAGCGAAGCAATTTGAGAGTCGAAGAGGGAGGAGTCGATGTGTACTCCTTTGCCCGTCTTGGTGCGGCCGAGGAGAGAGGCGAGGATAGCGCCATGGACGTACAGGCCGGTTGTGAGGTCGGTGATGGCAACACCGCACTTGATCCCAGGACGGTCCGGGTAGCCAGTACTGAGCGGGGAGGGAGCGAACAAACGGATCAGTCCCATGAGTGATTAGGCCGTTTTCACCTGAAATCTCTCACTTACATGTGGAAGAAGCCCGCATCGGCAGCAATAATGACATCGTAACCCGGCGCATTCGCATAAGGTCCCGTCTGTCCATATCCGGTCAAGCTAGCATAGACCACATCCTCCTTGATCGCCTTGACCTGTTCATATCCCAATCCCATCTTGTCCAACTTTCCCGGTAGGTAATTCTCGATGACTACATCTGCCGATTGGATCAAGCGACGCATGACCTCTTTTGATTCGGGGGACTTGAAGTCAAGCGTGAGTGATCGTTTGCCCCTGTTCACAGAGAGGAAGTAAGCACTCTCATCCGGTAAAGACTCCCAGCGCTTCTTCTCTTCTGGAGATACCCAAGAAGGGAACTTGGTAGAGGGGAGACTGGTAGCACCTGGAGGAGCCCAGGAACGCGTGTCGTCGCCGTTGGTGAGGGGGTTTTCTACTTTGATCACATCAGCGCCTAGGTCGGAGAGGAGCATGGTGCAGTATGGACCTGCGAGGACGCGAGTGAGGTCCAAGACTCGGTAGCCTTGTAGAGGTGGCGGTATGGATGCAGGTGGGAAGGAAGGGCTGGGTGGGCCGGTAGAGTATGAGCGTTGGGCCGGGCATAGTCGAGGACTACATGGTGGAAGTAGGCGGTACGTAGAGACCCATGCTGTAGACCGGTGAGCTGAGAGCCGCCCAGCGCTCCGTGGCAGCAGCGGCGTCATTGCCGTGTGAGCAGTAGAGATGTGATGGCGAGCAAGATGGAGAAAGTGGCCTGTAGCTGCAATGGTCCACTGCGCTACGGCGATGTCGTGGTTGCTGGGAAGAAGTGGGGAAGGTCGGAGGCCCCTGCAGGCCGGGCGACCGGATCTTCGGGCCGGTGATTGAGCCGGAAGGGGCGGCAAGGTGGGCCACGTGGCTGTGGGTGTGGGTGTGGCTGTGCCTGTGGCCTAGGCGCCCGTGCATGGTGGTGGAGTCTACCATTCCACCGTTGCGGCATCTTCGGCCTGTTTCCTTCATCGTGGCATGTCACTCCTCCTCTTCTCACTTCTTTCCTCTTGACCATCGAGATCGTCCTCTCTCTGCCTCCTGCCTCCATATACCACGCCATCCCCTATCAAGAACCCACCACCTCTGGTTCGCCTTCAGCACTACACTGCCTCGCCTACAGCGGCATTTGTCAACCACTAATCGGCCAACCCCTCTTTCCGCACCGCCTTTGTACTGGTACGAGACCAAGCGTCTCGAAGCATCGAGAGCTCAGGCGTTAGATGAGAAGCTACTTGGAGTGCCACACAGAGAGATAGAAGCACACAGGCACCTCATAGGTGACTTGACTGCTCTCATAGAGGCATACCTAGACTCCAGAGCATTGGCTAGATACACGAGCTCAATCCCTTACACAACCCCTATCGCCCCCATATTCACCGATGAGTTCGGTGTTGGGAGCCTTTCCGGCCATTGTCAACCGATCAGTCCTCTCCCCGCTCAAGATTCTCCCAAAGAAGTTCACCAGCACTAGATTCACATTCGGCGATAGTGCCGACCCAGCTCAAGATTCAGCAGCCTCTCCGCCCCTTTTTACCTCTGCCAAGGTATCCGACCTGATCAAGGAGGTACCTAGTATAGAGAGCTACTCGCCCCACCCTCTACTGCCGCTCGGATCTCTACAGACCATCTATTCGGCTTTTGCAGATACAGTCCAGGTGGATGTGGTTCACTTCAAGAGGCACGTCTTGCTCCTGCCCGATGGAGGCACACTAGCTTGCGATGTCAGCCCGCCCGAATTCGATGAAGAGGGAGATGGAAAGCGCAATACCGTCGTCATCAACCATGGTCTGACTGGAGGCAGTCACGAGTCCTAGTCAGTAGCCGAGCTACGTGAGGGGACTGCCTTCCGCTGGAAATTTGTCACTGAATTCGCCCCCGCTTCTCTCATCTTACAGTGTTAGACATGTTATACCCCCTCTCGTAGCCGCTGGATACCGATGCGTAGTCGTCAACTTCCGTGGATGTGGTCAGACGCCTCTCTCAACGCCTCAGCTCTACTCTGCTGCCAAGACGGACGATCTCCGATGTGGTCTCTTGTGGGTTACGAAGCGCTTCCCTTCGACTTCGATCGTCTTGATCGGCTTCTCCCTCGGAGCAAACGTCGTCGCCAAGTATCTAGGCGAAGAAGGCGCCAATACTCCCGTCAAGGGAGGCATGGTCTTAGCCACGCCCTTTGACCTCAAGATCGGTAGCGACGCCTTAGCATCATCAGCCCTCTACGACCGAGTCATGTCTAGCAACTTGACAAAGAAGTGCGCCGTACACTCGGGTACCATTGCCCTTGATCCCGCTTTCCATGCACCTTTGCGGCGGCTCATTGACCCCAAGAAGTACGCAGCCAAGTACCCCGAAGACGTCAAGCAGAGGGGCGTCAAGCCAGGCAGTCTAAAGTGGGTCGACGACACGCTCACAAGGCTCTGCGGAGGTCATGTAGCTCCCTACGGCGGCTTCCCATACGATTCCGCTGACCATTACTACACCAACAATGGCTCGATTCTCCTTCTTGACAAGGTCGCCCGTCCTCTGCTGTGTTTGAACAGCGACGATGATCCGATTGTACCGATGAGCATGCTCAAAGAGGCGGAGCAAAAGGTCAAGAAGAACTCAAATGTCGTACTCGCCATCACTCCCGGCGGAGGCCATTTGGGTCTGTGGACCAGCCCAGCTTATGCATCCAAGAAGGAGACCGGGCCCGGGGCTGGCTCCGGGACTAAGCCAGTGCGGTGGCTGGGGCCTGTCGCCAAGGAGTGGGTCAAAGCCGTCTTCGATGCGGCAGAAGCGGACGGGGGCAAGTGGAGAGAGACTACAGATCTCTGGAGCGAGGGTAAAGTCAGGGAGGTGCACGACGTCGAGTACGATGTTCTCTGCGAGGAAGAGGTGAAGCCCTTCGATTTCAACGAGAGCAATGGAGAAGAGGATGCAAAAGCAAGCAAGGAGCGCAGGAAGCGGGAGGCCAAAGCCGATGCAAAAGCCCTCAAGGATGAGCTGCCAGCAGGTCTAGGCAGCCGTCTTCCGAGCCGCGTAGCGGATGGAGAGCCCATCGGCGCCAAGGGTGTAGACACTGCAGGTACGACTCCCTCTGCTGTCTCTAGTCAGGGTACATCGCGCCAGAACAGCGGTGCGGCCACTCCCGCCTCATTTTCCTCTGCCCCTTCTTCCTCTTCGTCCACTACGAGCACCACGACGAAGCCTGTCCTTCCCACTCGAATGGCATGGCTACTCACGCCTCTCCTGCCGGACTATCCCCTCTACCACCCACTCAAGCCGGACGAACCCCCCGCCTTTCCCGCCCACGCTGAGCGTCGTCTCAAGGGAACAATGCGGCAGTGCGTCTCCCTCCCCCAAGTCGGCTTTCTCGAACTACCCGAGAGTACACGTGTAGCGGGAGTTGGGAAGATTTTCCAGGGAGGAATTTCGATTGAGGGATTGGGGACGAATGTTAAAGGTGAGAGGGTTGGAGCGGGAGAAGAGGGGAAGAAGAAGGGGGTGTGGGCACAGTGGAAGGGGTCCCAGCCTGGACAGGGGAGGACAGTTGCTGGGTTGTAAGACTTGAGTAGGGCAATTGGCAAGAAGGCCAGTGCTCGCACAGAGGGGTACGAAAGAGCATAGACTCTTCGCAAGAGGCAGAGGATAGGATAGGGGCAGACACAGCTCCAGCATAGATTCTTTCATCCATTCACCCCGTTCAATGGCTCCCGACTTGGGACCAAGCATGACAATACATTGCTCTCTCTCTAAAATGCGAGATCGATGTCCTATAGGGCGTGGATGCGCCCGCTTTTGCCCGGTCCTCGTACCTGCCTACCTTTGAGGTGTCAAACCAGTGACTGCAGGCTCGTAGCACCTATCCCACTGTCTACTCCTACTCCCGCCCCCGCCCCCTCGAACCCACTGCAATCCCCGCACGACCTTCTCAAGGGGACAAAGTCCATACCGTGCGTACTGCATCTCCTCACCTGCCAATTTGCCCGGACACCACGCTTGTCCCGCGGATGTCTGAATGGCCTCATTGGCGCGGATGCGGACGAATTCGTGCTCCCGCTTTGAGGTTTTCTTGACCGGACAGCTGACCTTTTCCCAGACGACTTTGCCCTGCAATGGCGCGATACGGGAGAAGTGCCAGCTCCTGTTTTTCGCCCGTTGAGAGCGCTCCGCATGTCTTCCCAGCGGGAGGGGCGCAGTACGGAAGAGACCAAAGGAGGCGACAATGGGGGAGATGTTGTTGTCGTGGGAGGCATCGTGGAAGATGCGGACGCCGCTGAGCGGCTGAACTGCATCCTTAGGAGGGATGGGGAAGGTAGAATTGGCACCATGCGCGTCGAGAGTCGTATTGAGAGCTCCTGTTGGAGAAGCGAGGTCCACTTCGGTGCCCGTCAATCTCGCTAGCAGCTCGCGCAGATAGCTCACGCCAAGAGCCTCGTGGTAGGGGTCTCCATAACCGGATCCGTAGTACTTGCCCACATCTAGGTAGTACTCGTACATCTGGAATTCTTCTGGGGTAAAGAGCGTGCAAAAGGGGCTGATCGTGAGGTTGAGGTGGCCCGAAGAGACGGGGCCGGTTGCTAGAGTGTCAAAGGAGCAAAGGCCGAGCGAATTGGCTAGATCCGTGGAGCTGAGGGAGAGGGAGACCCCAGCTTGGCCAAAGGCCCTGCCGAGGCGGGCGCCGATGGTGGGTACCAGAGTTGAATTGCCATATGTGCTTGTTGCGAGATCTTCTCCTGCTACGTCCCCGTACTCTGTGTCTGCCGGACACGTGTCAACATTCAGAGTGTTGTTCGACCCATTTTGCTCGCTTATAATCACATTGGGCTGCACTTTAGCCTCGGCACCCGCAGCGCGTACTGAGCTGCCGTCTGTTAGTGGCCCCTCCGGGAACGGCTCGCCATGATAGCCCATCGACCAGAATTGCGAGGTGACAATGACGCGGTCCGCATCCGGATCGCCTGAAGTCCGTATGAAGGCCTCGGCAGTAGATGCGAGCTTGCTGTAGCGCTCACGTGTATACTTGCCTGAGTAGTAGGCCTGCAGAGCCCCCATCGGCGCTAGGTCAGCAGTGTGATTCGAGATGTTCACCCCCTTAAGGAAGCGCAATTCTTCCGGAAGACGAGGGGCAGATGTGTTCGCCAGCGCCGTTTGCACTTTCTCTATCGTCGCCTCAGCTGATTTGAGGGCACCAGCCGTCATGTATCGCACTCCATGCCGCTCTAGCGAGTTCACCAGCGTGACTGTGCATCCCTCCGGTAGCTCGTCGGGGAGACCCTCGACAGTGTAGCGAGCGGAGTACTGTCCCAGATTGTGAAAGACGTCCTCTGGTAAGGCCGAGTTGAGGACGTCGTTGCCGTCTGGACCGCCTACGGACAGCTGGGAGTTCTGGGTCGTCTTTGCGGCTGCATGTTCGTTTGGCACTAGTAGCAGTGGCAGGAACGTTATGGCCGAAGGGACCCGCATTTTGAGCAAGCAAGTGGGTCACTCGAAGTTCAGGGACGTATTGTCGTAGTCATTTGCTAGTCCTGCGACCATGTGGCCTATTTAAGCCAAACTTTGAGCAATGCTGATCGCTGCATGTGAGCGGCGAGCGCACGTGGTCACCTGTGTGCGCAACTTCTACCACGTAAGATGCAGAGAGAGTGCCGGTCCAAGTGGCAAGAAGACAGCTCCATGCATTCAGTGAGATCTGCAGTGCTGCAGATACGGTCATCAGCTCATGCGGAAAGACAGTGTTGGTGGTCTTGCTTCATGATCGACGGTGAGACGTAGGGTAGGGGAGAGTAAGAAGGCAACCAAGGAGCAAAGGCCCGTGCACTGCCAAGATGGAATTTCCACCTCCGACCTGTCACATTTCCTTCCTTGAGGCGAGCTTCTTCCACGTGACCTCGCCCACCCCCGCTCAACAGGCGCGTGGGGTGCGTGTGTGTGCATTCCAGAAAGTTAAATGCCAAAAGTCCCGCACAAGAAGAAGCTTCTTGGCTGGCGTGCATAGCATACAACCGCCAAGGGCAACGGATAAAGATGGACAGCAATGAATGGAGTCTCCCTTGCGATAGCATCGATCAACACCACGTACACTCCCTGAGACGACCATGAAGCTCACTACCTCCCTCGTTGCCATTGCTGCCACCCTCTCCGCTCTCGCTACCCCTACTCACGCAGCAGAACCCGCCGAAGCACCCGCCGTCTTCAATGTCAAAGCCAAGAATCTCAGCCCTGAAGACTGCGCGTTTGACATCGGCAATGAGCAATGGTACCAGAGCAACCTCTACCGAGGCAAGATTCACGTAGCTGGCTTGGACGGTAGCTCCTTTTCCGTCTCCATTCCTCAGATCTCTTCTGATCAGCCCTTTGATACGCCCTACCAGCTGGCCGGGCTCTCTTTGAACAACCGTACCGCTCCTACTCGTCTCTATGCTGTAGCCAAAGACGAAAAGGCCTTCCGCTTCAAGTCCAGCGACCCAACACAATCCGTCTCCAAGCTAGGACCCAATCGCTTCGTCGCCTACGATCTTCCTCTCACCACAAAATCTCAACCAGCTTGGTCCATTCGCCTAGACAGAGTGCAGGATCGGCTGAAGAAGAAGCTCGGAGGCAAAAACAGGCCATTCGGGCCGGTAGACTCCGTGCAGGACAGTAAAGGCAACTCCTACGTCGTCTTTGCCCTCGGAGCTCCTGCCATTGCCAAGATCTCGCCCAGTGGAGAGGCAGTACAGGCCTGGGCTTGGGAGACGCCCAAGAGCTCTCGAGCCCCGCGGGTAGGATACACCGGTCTTGCCTACGATGCCGACTCGAATCGACTGATCGCCTATGGTGGGCCTCGTGTACTCACCATGTTCGATCTGTCTTCTGCTACGCCGAGCAAGCCGATTGCGGTCAAGATTGAGGGGGACTTGTCGGTGTCGGACCTCACCTCCGCTGAGAAGATCAACCTGGTCCCATGTGAGTAAGAGCGGGGAGGAGGCCAGACAGGCAATCTTGGCTCAGCGAATGTGTACCTAATCCCGGCAATTGAACCCTCCCTTCCTTTACTATCCCAGCAACGGACGACACGGGCTCTCGCCTCCTAGCAACCAACGCTCCCAACGTCTACTCCTTCCGCTCCACCTCCACCTCCAACCCCTGGTCCACCGTCTCCTTCAAGTCCTACAGTCGAAACAAGTTCAACAGCAATGGCTTGACGACAGTGTGTGAGGCCAACTTCCGTAATGCGAATGGGACGAGGGAGAGGCAGATCTATGGGCAGGGAGCTTACTTTGGCGAGGGGGCATATTCGAGCAGGACGGAATGGCCGATGTATGAGTTGCCCGCTAGGCTCTTGACCGCTTGATTGACTGTCAGTGCGTAGCTGGCTGCGGGGCAATGAAGCTGTAGTCGAGCTCGTCGTCCCGGCAGCCGTAGTCGCTGCACACTTATGTTCGTATACCCTCCACATTCCGGTGCACAATTGCAAACATGATCTCTATCGCAACACTTGCCTGTCAGGTGAGCTCGTCTACAACAGGAACGAGTTGTGCATGACAGAACGAGCTTGATTGAGAAGAGAAGCGACGTCATCGATCTTCACCGGAGACTGACTACGCGATATGATCTCTGGGCTGCGCGACCGTCTGGGTAGACCTGCTCGTTGGTGCGGCTCAGGATTGATCGAAGATTCAGACAGTCGCATCTTCCACCGGCGATTGCATGAGCGGAGCTGAAAGCCCAGAATTCATGCACCCCGCGCGCCACAAAATGTGCCTGGCCACAATGGCAGGGCGAGCGGAATATGGATTTCAGTGAGATCCGGTAGTCCAGGCGAAGACAGTCCGTTTCAATTAATCTGTCCGCCCTGATCTCATGGAACGAAGGAAGCATACATCCCCCGCCGAGCTTATCCGATGCAGGATCTCTTGTGGCGTGCGTGCACTGAAAGCTGGGGATTGGACCCGGCCACAATGCACGCGTCGCTCAGCGCCACCAGGCGGCCATCACATCTGGGCTTGAGCAGAAAAGCGATCAACACATCGCTGTCTCCTCAATAAGGTTCACAAGCTTACAGGGGGCTGACCTTGAGGCCTAGAGGCCAGTCGAGGTAGGTGGTCCAGCCAAAGACACCTGAGTAGACAGTAGATTGTCTTTAGGGATTAGCAATGGCCTCTTCATCACCCGAGAGAACATTCCACCGCTTGTACACATCCGACTCTAGCCGTTACCAAGCAACGCAAGCTTGGCGCTCAGTGGGAATGAACGAAATCCAACAGCTCCCGGAGGAATGAAGCGTTTCTACTGACCAGGTTCGGGGAGAAGGAGAATGCCATCGGCGTGAAGCATGAGATCCAACCGCACAAACAACTCACCTATTCGAAAGCTACAAAAGACCTCGACATTGGGGAGGGGAAAAAGCCCCTACACACACGAACACGCCTCCTCCTCCCTTCCCCTTTTCAAGATGTCTCCACTTTCACTCTGGCGCTTCGTTACCGCCGCAATTGCGCTCCTGGTGGTCCTCGCCGCTGTCGCCGATGCTGATCTCATTGAAGCTCGGGGTACCAAGAGTCTCTCATCGGCCAAGACATCATCTGCCAAGGCAGCCGTCAAGACAAGTACAACCAAGCACAAATCGTTCAAGAGTTCGTCAATCAAGGCAAAGTCTGTCAAGGCAAAGTCCACCTCGAAGGCAGCCAAATCTTCCTCGAAGGCAGCCAAGTCATCCTCGAAGGCCTCGTCAAAGGTTGCCAAGTCGACCAAGAAGGCCACCAGTGCCACGGCGAAGACTAAGCTCAGCTCAGCACCCACCGATGCCGCAAAGGTGGTTTCTACTGCGCATTCGGACATCTTCTGCGCCAGCTTTGTCAAGCAGTGTTTCGATTCTGCTCTCAGCGGTCAGACAGGAAACGTAGCAGTCGTGCACTCTTGCCAACGGCATGGCAAGAAAAATTCGCAGTCCTACTCGTACTCTTGCAAGCGGGACAAGAAGGACCTGACAAAGCATGTCTTGAACGCCCTCGCCGGTGATTATACGGTCTACACTACCATGGGAAGCACAGTGGTGGTCACCGGTACAACCACTGTCCTCCAGACTGACTACTCTACCAGCACCTCGACGTCTCAAAGCACGGAAGCCACCGAGACATCGACCAGCACTGCGGCAACAACGACCTCCGTCGACGTGACCGAAGTATCCCCTGCTGCCACCTCAACCCTCACCACTGTCATTCCTGTCACCGTCACCTCTGCATCTGAGGCGACGTCAACCGTGACGAGCTTCTCAACCCGCACAATCACGACGCGAGTCTACCTCGACCAAGACGAGGTTCCCACGTATGAGGTCGTCGTGGCTGACAACGCTCCAACTCGAAGACGGCGAGCGGTCACTGGCTTCTGTTCGACATTCGCAACAGCTTGCACCACGGAATGCGCCAAAGATGATTCCAAGGTACGACACTCTGTGTGCAATGCAAACAAGGCCCCTCGCTACACCCTGGCCTGTGTCTGCAAGAATGGCAAGCAAGAGACGCAGCATGCTCTAGCAGCTGTAATAGAGGAGAATAACATTGTCAGCGTCACCACCCTAGCAACCTCGACGTCGTACATCACCGCAACTCAGACGACCACGCTCCCTACGGCCGTTGTCAGCGTTGAGGCTGTTACTTTCACGACTACGACGCCCGTGACAAGCACCTTCACCACCATGTCCACCTCTACCGTCGCCACGACGCTGACCGAGTATACTGGTCTAAGTGTGACAGTGGATACCACCATTTCTACCTCAACGGTCACAACGACACAGCCAGCCACCACGACTGTATACGCGGCGACGACCACCAATATTGTGCTGGCAGCTACTGGATATGCGCGAGGCTTCTCCACCGATGATGGCACTGATCTAGGCCTCTTGAGCCAGGACAGCGAGGGTGAAGGTCAGCTTCAGCTCACCTCATTCGATCAAGACGCCACAAGCATTCTCTTCATGGCCGTCAGAGACTCCGCCACGGGGCTCTACCAGCTCGCTCAGTACGGACAGCCTGACCAAGTCGTCTACAGCATGTTCTCCGACAGTGGGGCTGACTACGAAGCCGGATCTTCCGCTTTCTCGTGGATGTACACTGGTGCTTCCTCGAATTGTGGGTCATCTGGAAGCGCTGCAGGCCCTCCTGCAGGTGACTCTGATTGCGAGACGTTCGTCTTTGCGCCTCTAGCTCTTGATGACACTCCGGGCAGCGATACGAACACGGTCAATTTAGAAAGTACGTGGATCAACACCGATGGAAGCCAGTACACCGGCAGCTGGGTCTACGACGAACACACCGGTCAAGTCTACCAGGTGGCAGATCCAGCTGCTTTCAACTACGACTATGAAGAGGACTCGACTGTTTTCAACCTGCGCTTCCCCTACACATCCTGATAGGATACCCGTGGCACATATTGTGACGAGTCAGCTCACACGCTTCTTGAATTTCTCCTTCTGGACTCGTTCCTGTGTCATTCGTTTTCGCTTGATGACATCTTATCGAACGTCTGAGCCCTCCGCTAAGGTTTGCTCCGCACCCTAAGTACCTCTTCGTCCGCTCTATACTTGTCTTCCCTCCTATGGACTGTGCACTCTCATTGAAATCGTAAAGCTACTTGACAGTCTCGCCTTGCAGTGGTCGCGCAGAATTGAGATCCATGTCAATCTCCACTTTTTTTTCGCGCATCCCCACACAACCAGGCGGGGCTCATCTACGCAGGCCATCGGACAATCCTCAAGAGCATTTGTGAGCGGTCGAGCATTGCCCCCACTTCTGCAGGCGTAAAGACACGTCAAGCAGGGCGGGCTGCACACACGTCCTAGCTCGGCTGAACCTGGGACATCCCTGGCTGCCTGCAGTGCTGTCGGGCAGGCGAATCTCCTCAGTCTCGATACCAGCCCCCGAGAAGAAATCGGGGCGTGGCTGCGCTGCATGCCTGATGAAGACTAAGATTCGAGGTCCGACGCGACATGCCAGCCACACCTTGGGTCGAAAGTCACACGCCAAGCCTCCTTCCGCACAAGGCGAAGCTGCAATGCACATTGTCACCTGCTGGTTGGCATACCATGAGGTCAAAAGCTACTCAGCGGAAGAATTTGCTGCACCAGAGGCGCTTCAGCCTCGCGTCAGGCGGGAGAATAAGATTGGAAGTCAAGGTTCGACGTGGACTTCCTCGCGAAGCAATCTCACAAGCTTCGAGCGCGCCTGGAAGGATTCTAGCTATCTGACTTTCCTCAAGAGCCAAGGTCCTGCGGGTCTGACTGTGATCATGGCGACATCGCCAGTGGCGAGCCTAGAGCTTGACGAGTATAAGGCGGACACGGTGATGCTGAAGGCAAGGAAGCTACACTATCTGTACTCCTCGCCCCTTCCCACCTCATCCCCACGTCCCCACTGAGCCGCATCACGACATGGGATCCCGTCGCATGCTACAGAAGATCACACTCGTCTTTGCTTTGCTTCTTCTGCTTGCCCTTCTCTCACAAGCTGAATCAATCGAGGCTCGATCCACCAAGAAGGCCCTGACTACCAAGCACTCATCGCATAAGGCAAAGACCACCACAACCTTGTCCATCAAGTCAGCCCACAAGAGCAAGACCACCCAGAGCAAAAAGAGCACGAAGAAGGCAAAGAAGACATCTACCAAGGCCACTACGACCCACAAAGCCACTACGACTCGAAAGGCCACATCGACTCACAAAGCCTCTTCAACTCCTAAGGCTACTTCGACGACGCAAGAGGCTACTTCCCCGCCCCCACTCCTCGAGGATTTCTCATCTACACCTGTCAAAGCTACAAAGGATGAGTCTAAGAGCTCCGTCTTCTGCAAGTCTTTCGTGAAGCAGTGCTATACAGAGGCGCTCAAAGGTCAGACTGGTAATGTCGCCGTTGTGTACTCATGCCAACGCAACGGCAAGAAGGACTCTACTTCTTATACATATAGCTGCAAGCGGGGTAAGACCAACCTGGTCAGTAAGGTTCTGAATGCTCTGGGCAATCAGTACACGGTCCTCACTACAGTAGACAAGACGACGGTGACCACGGGCACAACGACTGCTGTGCAGACGGCTTACGCAGTCGAGAGCGTCACTGTTGCCACAGAGATCAGCAAGACCATCATCACCAAGACCGAGACTGATACCAGCCTCGTACCGACCGCAACGACTGTCTTGACCACCAAGATCCCATACACTGCTACTGGAACCACGACCTCTATCGTCACGGAGACAAGCACCTCAACTGAGTATGTTGTTGGAAGCACCACGACATCGACTGCCGTCTTCCTCGGGACCGATGGAGTTCCGGTCGAAGACGTCAAGATTGGGGGCAAGTTGGAACGAAGGAGACGCGATCTGGACAAGTTCTGCTCTGCATTCCAGACTGCCTGCGCAACAGAGTGCAAAGAGAATTCGTCCAAGGTCAAGACCACCGTGTGCAAGGCTAAAAAGGACCAAGAGTATACAGTGGCTTGCGCGTGCAAGAATGGCGATCTCCTTACTCAGCATGCCCTGGCTGCCGTTGTTGAGGAGCAGTACATCTCCACTATTGAGACGCTTCGACGATCGACAGCATGGCTCGCTACTACGAGGACGACGACAATCTCCGGTGCTACTTCCAGCACACGCTTTGTCACCTTCACTACAACGCTACCAAGGACACAGACTTTCACAACGCTCGCGACATCAACTATAGCTAGTACATTGACTAAGTATACCGGGATCAGCGCGGCCGTAGAGACATCCCATATCACTATGGCGACTACCACCACGACTACAATCCCAACGCTTGCGCCAATTGAAGCTACAGTGACCACACAAACTGTCTTGGCATCGACGGGATATGCACGAGCGACCATAATTGCGGATGGCATGGTCGATGGATACTTGGCCGCAAATCCAAGTGGTTGGGCCCAGCTGACTGGGACGTATTCGGACCTTGTGCCTCAGGATATGATGGCAATTCGAGACGCCCGCACAGGATCATACCAGCTCGCAATTCTCGGTGAGCCTGACACGGTCCTGATCTCTGAATCTGCCTATGCATCGTTCTCTGGCGATGACAATGCGGGTGCATATGGCTACATGTACTTTGGCGACAAGTCTCTGTGCGGTACGGCTGGCTCGGAAGCTGGACCCAGTGCTGGCCAAGGGGCTTACGGCAGACCTTGCGAGACTTTCCTCTTCCACCCTATTGTGGATGACGACACCTCCTCTGACGGCTCAGCGCTCCTCCAAGGCTTCTGGGTCAACGAAGACTCGGGCATGCAGCAGACTGAGTGGACCTACATCGATCAGGGATCAGTCTCACCGATCTATCAGGTCCCTGATTCCACTACCTTCGGAAATAGATATGGGGTATCAGAGATGGCCTTCAACATGACCTTCCCCGTCAACGCAGATTTCTGCAGGCGTGAGGAGGGCAATTTGGAGCGCAGGTGCTAATGAGAAGATGATGATCTTGTAATTCTCTCAATTTCAGTATACACAACCCTCTCTACAAGTGCCTCGCTCTCTGACAGGATGGCCTGCGACACGAGGATCCCCAAAGTCGAGGAAGCTCCTGATGTCTTGCATCTCACGTTCTGGGTGTGTCTGGAATGCGACTCATATCTCGACAGGAGTACGAATGTGACTGACCAGACTCTGCTGATAGTACCAGCGCGGCACCATTTCAATCAGACAGCGTACCAATGGTGGGCTCGGACCTGCTTGCCTGCGCGCATAGGGGGATGCCGTCATCGTCAAAGCAAAGGAGGCAGCATATTGACGAGGCACGGGCCCTTTGCTACTTCGACCCGTAGGCACGCGCGCCGATATGAGATTGCTTGCTGGCTGCCCTCGATCAGATTGCTCTCGAGCCCCTGTGTGCCATTCTCCGCTGCAGCTCGTCCCTGTTTGCCCATGCAAACTTATATATGTGATATGATGCCAGACAGAAGGGGACAACGCCGTCTGCCTTCCAATACCATTCTTAGGCGCCGCTCCTTACCACTCTCCCCACACCTTCTCAATACCCACCACTGTCCTTTCGTGAGTTGCAACGTCCTCGGGTCTCGTGTATACTTCTACGGAGCGGCGAATACTCACCATTGCGGTCCGTCCACAACTCCACATCAGTCTTGCAAGCATGGTTCGAATCGCCTTCACAGCCCTCGCTCTAGCTCTCTTTGGCCTGGTCAAGGCTAGCTCGTCTCTGTCCCTAAGCGACTTACTGGACACTTCTGCCATTGCCGCCTCTCCTTCCACACTCTACAACTGTGGTCTCTGCCAGGTCACTGCCGCTTCCAAGACCAAGATCACCCTGACAGCGGCCACCCAGTGCTTCCAGAACGTCAGCTCTGCAGTCGTCACCCAGTATGCCGGCAACTCAAAGACTGCCTACAAGCTCTCTACCACCAAGCCTCGACGATTGCAGGCCCAAGATGGTACTCCCTACTTTGTGAAGAGCGTGGGCTTCACCCGCCTTAACATCGTTCCTGATGAGGAGGACCGAGGCTTCAGCAAGCAGGGCTTTGCCTGTGGGGATGGTATCATTGGTGGCGTCCAATGCTTCGACTGCACGAAGGTCAAGGCTGCTTCGACCTAAGTACTAGGCTCCGAGCTCAGCGTGGAGGGGAGCACAACGTACCTCTTCGAAGGTATCAACACGTCTGCCCCGCGTTCAAATATCTGTGTATCATCTCCCCCCAGTCTTCACAATCGCTGTGCGAGACGTCCCCTAGTGTGCATATGTTTCTCTCCACTCCTCTCAACGAGCCAAGTCCTCGTATATCTGATCCGCTCTTCGATCATCCGTACTGTGATGCATTGCGCCCATCGACTGAGTGTTGGGGTAAGTGTGCGCTTGCACAAGAGCAACGCCTCGGGCGCGTGGTCCATGGTGCGGCCCGGCCAGGGCGTTCCGGTCGTTTGCATTGTGCCTCGTCAGGAACAGCCGCCGCTCTCATGAGGTCGCAAATGCGCAGAGCGCATGCTTAAAAGGTCTCGAGCAGGAGCGACGCTGTGTACTCTTTTCCCCCCACCATCTGCCACCAGCATCCCTCGTCCAGCCAAAGCGCAAAGAATGTAAGCCCATCGACCCACTACCGTACGAAATCATTGACGATGGACTAACTCACTTTGCTTCGCTCTTGCTTGTTTCCTGATACTGAAGCACCCACTATGCTCAAGCAGCTCTTGATCCTGGGCCTTGCTGCCGCTCTCGCACTGGCGTCCTCAACCTCGGCTTCAGCCACTCCTGATGATTCTCTCTTGAAGCGACAGACGAACCCCACACTCTACACCTGTCGGGACTGTGTCGTCACCTCTGTTGCTACGCATGACTTCACTGTCCGCGAAGCCCGCAAGTGCTTCAACACGATTGGTGCTGGAATCGTCAAACAGTCTCAGAACAAATGCAAAGGTCGCTGCTTTGGCGCACGTCTGCCCAAGTATAGTCTCCTTGATGACTTTCCATCACAGCGAATGATGAAGCTCGGAGCAGGCCAATACGGCTGGCAGAAGTTGGTCGACTTTGAGAACTTGGACATTGATATCCAGCCCGGTAGCGCGTTCGTGCGAAAGGATTGGCCTTGCGCTAATGGCCTTCAAGGAAGTGTGACCTGCCCCGACTGTAGGCACTGATCACTTTGCCGGGCTCGCGAGAGAAGGGCTCTGAAGGGAAGGCGGGGCATTGACAGGCTGGAAGTCAGTATGGCTCCGCTTCGAATGTCTTGCTAAGGATGTATACGTCCATCAGAATGACAACCATATGACAAAGTCTTGTCTTTCAATACGATGATCTCTCCAGTGCGAATCTCTGTGAGGCCGCTTTGTAGACTGCGCTGGGCACTGCTCTCCTGTCATGTGAGTCCCATCGACGCCCGGTCTGCAGGGGCGCACTGGCAATGAGGGCGTTCGGGAAACTCACCAGAGCCTCGCCATCTCGTCTCTGTTGAAAATGAGAGACTTTCTCATTGCAGCCGTCGCCAATAGTGCTTGTTCACACCGTTAGCTCGGTTCCCTGAATGCCAGGGCAGCCTGTTTGTTCCTGCTGCTGCCTCCCTACATGCAAGTAGAATATCGACTCTAACCCTTTCCGAATGTCCGGGTGGGCTTCCAAAGTGTGAAAGGTTGCAAAGCATAAAGGAGGAGAGCCAAGGAGGATCAGAGGCTCTATTTAAGCCCATCACCATTTCCACTCCTGCTCGAGGTCTCATTCCACTATTGAAAAAAAGTACCGCCTAGTCGTAAGTAATCAACGGCGCTGTCCACCCCGTCCCTCACGATGCGCTTACTGACGTCTTCAAATGCCTGCCCATTTCCAGTACAATCATGTTGAAGAACACTGTGCTCAGCGCCCTTGTGTTTGCCTCCCTGGCGTGGATCAAGACCGGCTCCGCCCTCTCGACAAAGTCCACCGCCGAGATCCAGGGACGCAGCTTCAACGGGCTGTCCAGCTGCAGCGCTTGCTACTTTACCTCCATGTCCTACCAAGACTTCTCTCGCGCAGACGCCATGGCCTGCTTCAAGGAATTCGCTGACCACATTGTAGTCGAGTACTCCAAGAAGTGCAACCCAACATGCTCGGTACCGGGTACTCGCACACTTGCGCCAGAGACGGTCAAGATGGTGCGTCTCTCAAACGGCATGAACGCCTATGCCGAGGCGGGTAGTTTCACCAATCTGCCCTTGAATGCCGATCAGCAGCACAATGGCTTTTCCGAAAAGTGGGGATGCACCAACGGCATGCTTGGTGAAGTCTCTTGCGCCGGCTGCAAGCTCAACTAAAACCTCGATAGTGTCGTCTCATGGCGCCTTCGTGCAAGCTTACCCTTATGGAGTTGTCTCCTACTTAGCAGAAGCACTATTGCGAAGTCAGTAAACGATGTGCGATCCACTGCACGCCTCGCATTTGTCAACATGTCTCCGTAACTCCAATTACACCCCTTTCCTTCCTTGAAGCTGCGCTGTGAGCGCGCTTTGAGCGTGAGGGGAAACAATCCGGGTCTGACACGTCACGATAATAGCTGATCAGGCAGGTGTGCGAAGCAGGCAGTCATGTATTCACATCGGACCGTACAGGTGGGGACAGCAAGGCGACTGTTCGTCTCAGCAGCGGTGGACAATGCCAACCAGCTTCCGCTCTACTTGGCATGAGCAAAGAGGTGGGTGGTCTGGTTGAGCTGCGTCACGATTGGGTCCATCCTTCCGCCAGTGGTACCATAGAGGGCCATGCTCAGCACAACATCGCCCTTGAGGTACCCGTGGAGTCCATCGTCCTTGACGGTGGGCACGGTGAGCTTCAGAGTGAAGTGGCCGTTCTTGAGACGCTTGGTCAGAGACTTGCCAGTGTCAGCGGCACCGTTGGCCTTCACAAAGGCGGGAAGACCTAGAGAAGGGTAGACGGCCTTGTCCGCTAGCTCGAGGCCGTACTGAGCGTAGACTGGTAGAACAGGATGGAAAAAGACATGCTATCAGTATTGTGAGATCAAAGTTGCCGTATTGTGGAAGATCACCAGCATGGTTACTCACCATAGGTAGGTCCCTTCGCAGCGCTGTCGGCCTGGAAGGTGACCTCGAAGGGCACGCCTCGGGTGATGTTGGCAGGAAGAGTGAGTCCAAACTCTCCTTCACCGACTGTAGGGGCAGCAAAGGCGGAGATGGAGGTGCCGACGAGGGCACCGACGAGGGAAAGGAGGACGGAGCTGGTGAGTTGCATTGTGACGTAGGGTAGTGTAGGTGATTAAGGCGTAGAAGGTTGTCTGAAAGGAGTGTAGAGTTGGAGGTTCAAGCGAGTGTGGCTGATGGATGTGCGAGAGGTAGGAGAGGCAAGAAGAGGTGTCTACTCTTATGAAGCGGTAAGTCTGAAGATCACTCTCGACGTCTGACGAGCGAGACAACCCCCATAGCATCACGCGCCAGCCCCACAACCCCTGAGTGACATGCATGTCGCGGGCCGATGTCAGGTACAGTATGCCATGGCTCAGGGGGAAGAAAGTGAATGACAATGGCTTGCAGGAAAAGCGCTGTGAAGCCTCTGAATCCGCTCCAGGAGGGGCTACAAAGGCGCTGAAGAACTGGTGACTGCATTGGTCCACATCACAGTAGTACAGCGTACAGGGGCTCTGGATGCCGAATACTACAGAGCTCACGGTCTCAACCTTGGCGAAGGAGCTTATTGTGCTAGGGGTCCTTCTGTGTAGATTATGGACTATGCCTTCTCATTCACCAGAGACGAAGGTGGTCGCATTGGCGTGCGCAATGATGGGAAGCATCCTGATGCCCCTGACTCCATAGAGGGCCACGCCCAGTATCGCCTTTCCGTCCAAATATTTCCCCATACTGTCCGCGTCACTGTTGGGAAGGAGCAGCGTCCAAGTGAACTCTGCTACCTCCTGAGCATCAGAGTCGATTAGGGGCAGAGCGATGCCTTGATCGGGGGAGCCGTCCGAATGGATGAAAGCGGGGAACCCGAGGGCCGGGTAGCGGTCAACATGGTCTTTGTCAAGGCCATACATTGCATAGACTGGATGTAGAGGGACGGCAGAGATCTCGCGTCAGCAAATGATGCTGATTAGGCTTGGCAACAGTAACTGCTTCTGCGCTCATTGCGCTCTTCTTGCTCCTCTCACTCACGGTAGCTTTGCCCCTTCCTGTCGGGCTTGTACCGATAGGTGACCTCGAAAGGGATACCGCGCGTGATGTTGGCTGGGACACTGAGCTTGTGTTGGCCAGGACTCAGTCGGAGTACTTGAGCTGGACAAACCGAAATCAAGTAGAAGAGAGCTGCGACAACCAAGACGAAAAGTGCGGCTCGTGAGCGACTCATGTCGGATCTGGGTAGAGGTGAGAGCCTGGTCGGGTGGAAGAGGATCTTGAGACCGGGGAGGTGGTAGTTGTGGTAGTGGATGGAATAGATAGGATCCACGCTTCCATTTTTCTTCGTATCACATCGTCGCTTAATCCGTCCGGAGGGTTCTCCATTGCTCCCAAGTCGGGAGATCCATTCACCCGCTTCCGTACGCGTTCGGAGAACTCAGACGATCGCGCCACGACGCCGTGATTGTACTGTCATTTGGGCGAGAGCTTTCAGCAACCCAATCAGAACAGCGAAGCTTCTGAAGTGTGACGTTCACCAGATATCCTCAGAGACGACACAGAGAGAGGAAGAATGCTTGATGGTGCAAGCCAAGCTCAAGCAAGACCCAGATTTCGCGCCCCGCAATCGGATTGTGGAGAAAGTTGCTGCTCCTTGTCCTCTTCCGCTCCCTGCACATACCGTATCGCCTCTCCCTCTTCAGCTTCACCGTCAACCGTAGAATGCTGCGCCCTTCCGCTCGTCTGCTCAAGGCAGCATCAGCATCAGCAGCAGGAGCAGCAGGAGCAGGAGCAGGAGCAGCGACGGCTGTCCAACGGGGAGTCGTGACTGCGCCAGCATCAGCGGCTACCAGCGCGCACCGCATCGTCCTCCTAGTGCGGGACGATCTGAAGATGGACCGCGGGAAGATCGCGGTGCAATGCTCACACGCTGCTCTTCTCCTCTACACACTTCCCTCCTCTTCTACTGCTTCTCTGACTAGTCCCCTCTCTCGAGACGTCGCGCGCTGGCGCTCCGCCTGGCAAGCTGAAGGACACCCTGCTCTTCCCCTCCGGATACCGGACTTGCATAGCATGCATGCGCTTGCGCTCGAGGCGCAGCAGAGGGGTGTACCGACGGCGATTGTCAGGGATGCGGGGAGGACGCAGGTGCAGAGGGGGAGCGAGACTGTGCTGGGGATTGGACCGGCGGAGGGGAGGGTGATGGACGAGATTTGTGGTGAGTTTGAGTAAGGAAGGGGAAGGAGACTGGGCCCGAATCTAATCGAGCCGCTCCCTCTGCTCCCTACTCGCAGGTCACCTGGATCCGCTCTGAACTCTTGGTCTCTCGACAGTTGAGCAGCACACAAGAAAGAAAGAGATATAGTCATTGGAAAGATAGTATACAGCCTATAGTACAGGAGCTTGGACATGTCTAGCCGCCTCCACCGCTGGTCTGCCAGCGCAAACGCACCAGGAGGGGCAAATTAGATCTAAATGATACCCTGTTGGGTGACTTCGTACCACAGGATCCTCGGCCCATCCGAGCTGTTCTCCAGCAACATCAACGACGGCAGGATACCTTTGCGTTCCACTCGAGGCAGGCCATCTGTGCCATTGACCTCCCTGGAAATCTCCCACTGCGCGTCACGGCTACCGACCCAGTTCGGGTAGCCCCAGTGCAGCTTCACGCTCTGTCTAGTGACAAGGTCTCTCAGAGGAATGTCTCTCGCCTTCTTGCAGTCCGGATGGGCAAAGTCGAGGTAGAAGAGATTGTCATAAGCCTCGAAGCGCTTCTGATCCGACACGTCTGCTGCCGAATGCCCTGGCCTGGACTCTGTTCGCAGCCTTGCAGCCTTTGAAGTTTGAGGCTCCAGAATGCGGAGAGAATCACATTGACCACCACGTCTTTCGTGTAGTGGGCTGTTCAGGGGAAGGGAATGTTCTAAGTGCCACACACGTATGAGGCCATCCTGAATGATGGGACACAGCGAGACATGAGGAGCAAGATTCGTAGGAGTCAGCTGCTGTCTGACCGCTGTCAAGGCTCTGTACCCCTCATTCTATCTTCTTCATAATACATACACTGCCTCTGACTGCCAACAATCGACTGTCTGTGTCGACGCAGGCTGACACGTTCATGTCGCCGAATTCGTTGACGTGACCCGTAAAGGTACGAACGACGTGAGTGCCCTCATATGGTTCTGCTCGGAGAAGTGCAATCTGGCCAGGCCAAAGTTTGTGTTTCAGCGACGATAGCCAGCTTGCCGATTTGCGTTCTCCAACCTTTGGTACTCACCACTCCACTGGAAAAGCAAGCCACAACCTCAGCTCTTCCGACTGGAAGCAGATTCGTTACCGCTGCTGCCTTGATATCATGCAAGTTGACGGGCTTGAACGAGCCCGACTGTTGTTTCTGTATGACTTGCTGATAGCAAAATTCCATACTATCAAGGACATGGATGGAGCCGTCGCGCTGACCAGCCCAGCATAGCCCACTGTCGGCATTCAGAGCCATGACATGAAATCTGAAATTGATGCCAGGTCTCTTAATCCTCTTGAAGCAAGAAAACCTCGGTGCGCTAAGGGCCGAGTATGCCCTACTCGCAGAGAAGAGCTGCACAGCAACGAGTTCCGGAGTATCTTCTCCCTCTAGCGGGAGGTGATCTATTGCGCATGAAGAAATTCAGGGCAAGTCCCTGCAGTCAGTATGAGTCCTGCGTGCTATTTGTCAGGCAAGCTGCGGATCGAGAGATGCCTCCCGTACTTACGGATAAAGGAGATAAGCGCATCTGTGTCATCAGGGAAAATCTCTCTGAGTCGCGGATGTTGCGTCACGACAGCAGACTGCCAATTGACAACTCTATGTTGCGCAGGGGCGTTGTCAACTACGCTTTCAAGCCCGCAAACTTCGTGACGGTAGATCGCAAGACCTCTGGGATACATCGAATGCTTGTGGAATCCAGTACCGACAGCCGCGCGTTGTCTGACGATACGTGTACCACCACGCTGGGTGCGGACAAGTTCTTCACCTTCGAGCTTGCAGTGCGCAGTAAAATGCTTGCTTGAGACCGGGCGTCGAGGAGCTGGCCTTGCCGCGAGGCTGTAATCCCTGTCTCTATCGGCGACGATACATAAGTAGTCATTCGTCGGGAGCGCTGAGTCTACGAGCCACCTTTCGACCCCTTTGCTGCGAGTGCCTTGCTCGAAGCAGCTTAGACATCCAAAAGGCCGCGTTGATGCTCACTGTTATCAGCCAAATGGACTCTCAGTAACATTTAGCGCCTCTCAGCAGACTCACAGTGTTTGGCAATGGCTTATTTGTGGTCCAGTCCTGTCCAACTTTTCCTCTACAAAGGGTACCATCAGGAGAGAGCCTGTTCGATCGAAAGACTAAACAAAGGCATTAGCCTGGTCAGAATGGCTGTTTTCAAAACATTGGGCAGCGGACCCGAAGAGCTCACCGAGACGCTCAGCATTTTGCGAGGGCCGGCGAGGAGAGCATCTCCATCGCGCCTCATCTTGGAAATGTTGTCTCGCGAGTAGCAGCGAAGGGATCGCATGTGCCTCCCGATTTGAGCCTCTCGCCATCTTCTCGATGCAGCATAGGAAGCGGGGCGGTCTCTAGGAATCAAGTAGGGCGAGCTAGCGGAAGTGAACGCTCCTGGTGGTTGTGATGGCGTGAAGTAGTAAGACGATGGTGGGACATCTGGCTGTGGGACGGGCGCGAGAGCACGAGTTGAGGAGAAGGAGGAGGCCTGTGCGGGCTCGGTACTGTCCACTTTGGCGAGCTTTGCATCCAGGCGGTAGAAGCGTCGCCGCTCAGGATCCCAGGCGTACCCCTTCGGACAAGCAAAGGGAGGTTCGCCGGTCGAAGACGAAGGAGGCATCGTCATAGACCAGGATGGGCTTGCCTCACATGGTATGATGGGTAAGGGAGTCAGGGTTGAGTATGCATAATTCTTCCGGCATTCAACGGAAAGAGACGCGTGCATGGCCCCGGCTCCACCTTGGCAGCAAATGGCTCTCAAAAGTCGGAACGGAAGACGGAAAGCAAAGCGGCTTTGACCGCGCACTGCGGTTTTTTGGTGCTGCCGTGCCCCGCCTGTGGCTCCGCCGTGCGCCTGCCCGCCTGCGACCCACGACCGTCCTGAGCGTCAGTCCGAAACTTCCTTCTGATCCTCACGAATACCATCAACTACATCCTCGTCCCCCTTCTTCATCACATAACTTCAAGATGTCCGCCAACAAGGGAGCTACTCACGGCACTGGTGATTATCACAGACCGGATCCAGTCCGACGACGAGCAGAAGAGAGCAGTGGAAGATGGGCAGTAGGAGCATGGCGAGACAATAGCACCTCTCGCATTTCCAGCGGCTAGGAATGCTGGGCTGGCAGCTCTTCGTCAGCCTAGCAGCAGATATCGTCGGCTGCTTCAGCTTGCGGAGTCACTTCAGTGACCCACATAGCATGTTACCTGCTGCGACGAGGACGGGCGCTGCATTCCAAGCAGGCAAGAGAGGCAAGGCAGTGCTGCTCGCACATACGAGCTGCTGATGCATCACTCGTCTGCCAGCAATGGATGGACAGCGATGAAGCACAAGTGATCGAGTGTGGCATGTAATGGGGGCGCAGTAAGACGATCGTTAACCCGAGTTGCATGCCAGCTTGTGAGATCGCCAATTGCACCAGCGAGACTCGAATACTGACATCTTCCAACTACCTTTCCCCCCTCACCAGCCGTCGGCAAGGCTAAGGCCCGCCCAGAGGCCATCAAGGCCGCCGCTGCCAAGAAGGCTGCCCTCAAGGGTACCTCTGGCCAGAAGATCCGCAAGGTGCGAACCTCGGTCAGCTTCCACCGCCCCAACACCCTCAAGTTGGCTCGCCAGCCCAAGTACCCACGCAAGTCGATCCCCCATGCCCCTCGCATGGACGCCCACAAGACCATCCTCTTCCCGCTCAACACCGAGTCGGCCATGAAGAAGATTGAGGAGATCAACACCCTCGTCTTCATCGTTGCCCGTACCGCCAACAAGAGGCAGATCAAGGCCGCCCTGAAGAAGCTGTACGACGTTGAGGCTGCCCACATCAACACCCTCATCCGCCCCGATGGAAAGAAGAAGGCCTTTGTCCGACTGGCCGCTGACCAGGACGCCCTGGACATTGCCAACAAGGTCGGTGTCCTCTAATCGGATCGCATCGTACCTGACTCGGCCCATCTTCTGCGACGACTCGGCATTACCTTTTCTGGGCTGGTTGGTTGCTCGCCGGTCAACCACCATTGTTTTACTAGCATCTCATCTTCACAGAGGAGGAGCACGGCCAGCGCCTTAGCTCCTCACCTCTCCCCTTCATCCGCATCGCAAGAGTACGAGTTGGTCTCGTCTCTTCGCACCCATTCACCGGCATGTACCTGGAGTAAGGCTTTGGCAGCACGGCCATTCGTCTCTCCTTCATTCCCACCCTGTTTCTTCTCTTTTCTTTGTCATGCCGGTCAATCAACCCTTGCCACAGAGCTGTTTAAAGCCTCGACTAGGCGGGTTGCCAAAAAAGACACAAGCGGCCTCTGGCATCACTCTCGCTTCCTATCTCCTGCCTCTGCTCGCCCCCTCCTCACCTTCCCACCGATGCCGGTGTAGAGGTGAAGGTGGCGGGGAGGGAGCAGGAGAGAGGGACAGAAGCATGATGCACAGAGGCTCAGCTGTCTGTGTGATTCGCGTGATACCTTGTCAAGCTTGCCGACGTTCGTTCTGACCACACCCGGCAGCGTCATGACCTTTGCTCTTGCTGAGCTGAGGGGAGACGCTTCTGTCTGACCATTTGCCTCCCTCCTTTCGACGCTTTTGCTTTGTTTCAATCAACATGGTTCTCTCATATACTCATTGTCTGTGACTTGCGAATAGTCTGTATTATAACCAGTCGTCTATAGTTGCCCTTGATCCCACGCTTTGCCCGGCACTGATTCCCTAGGCCCTTCCACTACTACTCCCCTTCAGCACGTCCCGCCCGCTCCATCTCCCCTCCCTTCACCGGTAAAAAGCTTCCAAAGTGCCTGCACTACACTAATCGCCAGCACGAGTGTCCCAAAGGCCGCACAGAGTACCGCCAGTGGTTTGGTAGAGGTCCACCAGCAGTACACTCCATACCAGTATTCGCCATCGGTCCATGCTCTTAGGTCTAAGAGGGTGGAGAGAGAGCGAAAAGGCCCGTTGCTTGCCCCGTACCCGCCTGAAGAGGAAGAGGAGGAGAAGCTGCGGAAGAGACCGGTAGAGGAGCCACCAGCAGAGGAGGAGGAGGAGGAGGTGGTGGGAAGGCCGTTCTGGGAGGCTTCGCCCCCGCCGGAGAGGGAGGCGCTGCGAGTGCGAATGGGCGCGCCTGGCCGCAATGGCAGCTCCAGATCGGCAATGGCAATGGATTCTTCGCCTTCGTATTCGTAGTCGTCGCCTTGACCGTCCGGGTAGTCTCCTTCAATGGAGGCGTTGCTCCCCGAGCGGCCGTGGGCGTGGGAATGCGGTTGCCGCCGTGGACCTTCAGCGTCTTCTAGATCGGCGAGCGAGTCCCCCTCGCCTTCGACACCTTCAGCGCTTGTGGAGAGGGGCTGATAGCGTCCCGTCCTTGCTGCCCCATTTGCTCCTCTTGCGCCGCCGCCTCCTCCTCCTCCTCCTCCTCCTCTCCTCCTCCCAACACCGAGCTTCAAGGCTTTTCCTTCTCCTTCCTTTGCTAGCTTCAAGAAGCAGACGGCGGGGAAGATGAAGGCTAAGGCTGTGGCGGAGAGACCGCCGGTGAGTTCTAGGACGATGCCTAGGTCGCAGGTGAGGAGGGAGACGATTAGAGAGGAAAATACCAGGGAGGTGGTGAGGATGATGTGTAGCCGTGGGGTGTATTGAGACGCGAAAAAGTACTGCGAGAGGGCGAGGCGGGGGAAAGAGAGGGAATGCTCAGTGGTCAGACATGGAGCAGGGAGTACACTCTGCCGCCTTGTACTCACCGTCTCTAACACTTCTCTACACACGAATGCCTCCAACGGAAAAGTCGTGAACATATTGATCCCAAAAGCCAAGCGGGCGATATTGACCATTGTATCATTCTCTGGGAAGTTGTTCAAGATATTGCCGAGCGTCTTCTCCTCAAAGGTCCAGTATCCCGCGACGCTCATCGCTGTGAGGGCAGCGCAGGCAATGGCGGTGGAGTAGTGTGTGACTTTGGAGAACTTGTCCATGGAGGGTTCTTTGAGAGAGGCGTAGATCAGGAGGGAATTGTGGTGGCAGACAAAGGCAAAGGAGATGACTGAGATGGAGGAGACTAGATTCGAGGGATTCACAAATGTGAACTGGGAAGTGGAGAGGCGAGCATGAGGGGTCAGTGGATAGGGACATGACAGTCACTGGGGGTGACGCTCCACTCACCCTCAGGCTTGGGTCTCCCTTAAGCTCAGCAGGCATAGCCGGTCCCCTCAGCATGACTGTCCCCACAATGAGGACCATACTGACGAGCGCCACCGCACTAGCCTTTGATAGATTCTCGATATCCCTATACAGCGAGAGTGGGTAGCTAATAAGAATTGTGCAGGCGCTAATGACGAATGTCCTTGACGCCAGAAAGGAGAAGGATGATGCTCCTGGTGCCAAGGAGGGGAAGACGGAGGAGAGGACGTGCGGGATGGTGTCCCCTATCACCACCTACGAAGGAGGCAGAAAGAGCATCGTCAGTATGAGGAAACACTATCTCCTTTCTCCTCATGCGTTCTGCCCCGTTCACTCACGCAAAAAGCGCACATTCCACCATAGGCAAATGCCAGCTGAAACAAGCTCACTGCCGCCTTTCCCGGTCTTCCAAAGCAATGCTCCATAATCTCAATGTACGTCTGCCTCCCACTGAGCTTACTATTGAGGATAATCAACCGAATCGTCCAATCTGTCAACATGGCTATCCCTACCAATACGACTACCCCTGCTACAAAGCCACTTTGCTTCATTGAGTAAGGTAGACCGACGATGCCTGCTCCCAGAATGGAATTGGCCATGTTGGTCGTAGCATCGAATACGCCCGCTCCGCGCTTGAGCCAATCAGGTAGCTCGCCATTCTCTGTAGTGAGCGAGAGACCAGTAGCGTTTCCCACGCCTTCGAGTCCTTCGAGGACATTGCGTCGCAGCTCGGACATGTTCCCACCAAAGTGATCCACCGACTGGCGAATTCCAGACGGCAGTGGTAGGGGTCCTAGCCCTCTCCGACTACTCGGGCTGAGTAGAGCTCGCTCCCCTCCTCCTCCAGCTAGAATTTCGCTGTGCGGCTCTTGCCCATCATCGGAATAGGTGTCCGAGGCAGCATCGTATTCTGCCTCTCTACTGCCTAGGGTGCTCTTCAGTCCGTAGGCATGCCGCGCACTAGGACCACCAATATCCCCCGGGGTTGCCTCTGAGGCAAATGGAGCACCATACAATGTCGCATCGTCATCATCGTCATCGCCGCCTTCGCCATCGAGGGAGAAGAGGGTGGAACGCGGAGACTTGTCCAGCCCAAGTCCAATGGTAGAGGAGGAGGCTGAGCCGGAGGAGTTGGTGGGGACTTCGGGTGCGAAGCGAACTGACTTGGATGGCTTGACTGCTTGTGATGGTGAAGTAGAGGAAGAAGAGGCAGAGGCGGAAGTAGTCATTGGTATAGAGTAAGACTCGTCTCGGGTGGGCGAGGAAGAGGAGGAGGAAGGGGAGCGGGCCATGGTTGGGTCAATGACGACTGGAGGTCACTTCGCGTGAGGCCCACCTTGAGGCGGGGAAGGGGAGATCGTCTACGAGGTCTTGTTGCTGATCTATCTGGCGTTCATGAGGCGGCGTTAGGTGAGGAGAAGGAGCAGCCAGGTGGTCGAAGGTAGAGATGGCAAGCAACAGGCAGCAACGATGATGTGAAGTGTAGGCCCGCCAGCGACAAAATGAATACTGGGCCGCCTCCGCTGAATCGCAACGGAAGCAGCACGGACGTCTGCCAACTCCACTCCACAGCTCCGCCAAGGGGAGGACCAACTGCGAGGCAACGACAGGTCCTCACCATACACATCTGGAGCAACACAATGGACGAGGAACAAGGGTGAAATCTAGATTGACCATAGCAATACGCATAACCACCACAAGTACATACACATCTACTGTTCAGCGCGGCAGACAACTCTCGCAGCCCACTCTGCCCCACTTCCATCCCATCAGTCGAGCGGCTCTGAATCCACTTGCACCTTCTTCGTCTGCGAATTGTATGAACCCATGGGAATGTGCACCTCGGCATCCGTGCGGAAAAAGTCCTCTGTCCGTAACGGCCTAGTCATCAGTGACTTGCGACCGCCCAGCACAGCACTCGCACTTGTACTTGCACTTGCATTCGCAGCGCCGCCCTCTGCTCCTGCCTCAGTCCCAGGGGTGGCGCCTCCAGAGAGGTTCTGCGACCTTGCCTGCTTGAGACTTTCGATTCCCTCTTTGCTCCTCAGGTACTCCCTCACGGGGATCATTGCCGCATTTCTGCACAGCTCCTTGAGATCGCTCCCACTTAGCCCATTGGAGCGCCTGACAATGTCCGCCAGCTTGAACTTCTTGGGATCCAGCTGCGAGTCCTTGAGCATGATCTTCAGAATCTTTTCGCGCTGAGCTGCATCGGGAAGGTGAACAGCATACCGTTTGGGCATACGGCGAAGGATGGCAGCGTCGATGTCATTTGGACGATTAGTGGCTCCGAGGACCATGATCCGATCTGTCGAGGACGTCAAACCGTCCCACAGACTGCACAGCGGGAGGAAACAGAAAGCGGTCAGCCGGGAGACGAGCGACGGTGCTGCATGTCCATCTGCGACTCACGTCATGAATTCTGCCTTCATCATTCCCGTAACTTCATGATCTCCTCCGCTCCTCTCTCTCATAAAGCTATCAATCTCATCGATGAAGACAATAGCCGGCTGCAGTTTCCTTGCCAGACTGAACAGGGCTGCCACGAGCTTATTGCTCTCTCCAAACCACTTGTTCGTCATTGTAGACACATGCATGTTGATGAATGTTGCTCCAGATTCCTTGGCTAGGGCTTTCGCCAGCATGGTCTTCCCTGTGCCTGGTGGACCATACAGCAGGACTCCCTTTGGAGCGCCGAGCAGACCATTTCCTCCACCGTTGAAGAGCTCGGGGTAGCAGAGTGGCGCAATGACGCTCTCTTGAAGCGAAGAGATGATTGGCTCCAAACCTCCAATGGAGTCAAAGTCCACCTCGATTTGCGAAGGCAGGATGAGCTCCGTAGCAATTTGCTCTGATCAAGGAGAGAGAGTGAGACGCCAAGACTCAGCACGGGCGGTCCTCACCGCACAGACTCTACATGCTTCTGGCCTACTACTCACCCTCGTACTCATTCATCCCCTCTGTGATACTCCTCTTTCCAAGCTTGCTCAACTTCTCGTCACTCGTCTTCTTTGCATCTAGCCGCTTCTGCCGATTCGGATCCATCGAGGCCAGGACGTACTATAAGCAGCAAAGCGAGAGGGAAGGGATGGTTCAGCTGCCCTTGTTCAATACAAACCTGATCAGGCTTCCTCTATGCTGCGACGACAGACTGACCTTGAAAGCATAGTAGCAGGCAATCTGCCCGGCAATCATTGCCGCCACGTCCGTGACCATCTTTCGAGTGATCATCTCCCTCATCGTGACCCCTGAGTGCTACTCTTGAGACTACCCTACGACTACAGCGCTTTGCCTCTGAGATTGAGGAACAAGATCAAAGCTAGCCTTGTTGCAAGAAGCGATAGAGGTGGAGCAAACGAATCGAGGAGGTAGGTAGGTAGGCAGTTCTTTACGATGCTGAGAGGCAAAAGAGATCTGTGGGTAAGTGTAGGCAGGAGGTGCCGTCTTGAGCCTGGCCGGATGATCAAAGGAGGCTCCTGCTCCACGCTTCCGTTCGACTCGTCGTCAGGACGGAAGCAGGGTCAGGCACCTGAAAAGCGCATCGGAGGCACACAGAGCAGAGGAGCGAGCGGCCTTGCGACAACAATGGTGATATCTGGTTCAAGGACGGCGCGTAATGTGAGGCAAACAAATACAAATGGAGAAACGAGACGAGGCAGGAAAGAGATCGCAAAGGTAGAGGAACCGTAGTTGTGATGCTTCTGGCGGAATGCTCCCAGGGGCACCCACGGCTCCTCTTCCCCTCCATGCTCTTGTTCCGCTCATCGCTTGAAGAGCCTACAGATGTCCTCATCCATCAGCACATGGCTCTCTCCCACCTTTTGTCCCTTGGAGTGCCTAGCCGACCTTCCATATACCACTGCATACTTAAGATTATTCTTGATCTCCTTGTGGATCGCATCACAGAAGTCGCCCACCGTACACCTGCCCTCCCTGAGCACAACCGGAGCGCTGTAGTCGGGCGGTGCTTTACCGGGCTTGGTGTACACCCTGACCAGCTTCAAACGGTCCCACATGGTCTCTACCAGCTCGTCAATGTTGAGCCACATCCTCGAGGAGATGGGTACCGAGTTTGGAATCTTGTACAGCAGGTCCAGCTCCTGTATCGAGATCTGATCGATCTTGTTCAGAACGTAGATGGCTGGAATATAGATTCGGTTGCCCTCCAAGACGTCGACGAGGTCGTCCGCTGATGCATCGCTACGGAACGCAATCGATGCATTGCTCATTTTGTACTCGGAGCAAATGGCTCGGATCTCATCGTGGTCGATCTTGGTCAAGGGCACCGTATTTGTGACGGCAATTCCTCCCTTGTCCTTCCGCTGAATGTAAATGTTCGGCCGAGTCTTGTTGAGCCGGATACCCACTCCTTCCAATTCGTGCTCTAGGAGCGCCTTGTCTCGCAGCGGCTTGCAGACGTCCAGGACGATGAAGATGAGCTGACAAGTACGGGCTACGGCAATGACTTGACGACCTCGACCTTTGCCGTCCTTGGCTCCTTCGATGATACCGGGCAAGTCGAGAATCTGGATCGATGCGCCGCTGTGAGTGTGAGAGGAAAGATGACGAGAGCAATGGTCAGCAGAGTGACCTTAGGCGGATCACGAGGAGAGCAAGTCTTGCACTCACTGTACATTCATAGTACCAGGGACGGTGGTCACTAAGAGAGGGTAGAAAGACGTATTTCAGTCGTCTTGCGCAAAGTCCGATCTATCCACTCCGTCCCACTTACAAGTAGTGAATTCGTATGCAGCAGCGAGCGAGTCTTGACCGGTCAGCCCAGACATCCTGCAAGCCAGGAAAGGATACAAGTTAGTTCATTCTCAGCTCTTTTCGCCTCTCACCACTTCTTCCACCTCTCTCCTCTACTCACAGGGTACTTTTCCCCACAGACGGGAAGCCGACGAATCCCACAGTGGCCATTCCGGTTCTAGCGACATCGAAACCCACACCCGGTCCGCCTCCACTGCTAGCGGGAGCAATGAGCTCACGCTTCAGCTTGGCCAGCTTGGCTCTCAGTTGACCCAAGTGGTATGATGTGGCCTATTGGGTGTCAGAAGAGCGAGAAAGAGGAGAGGACTCAGTATTGCGATGTCACCTTTGTCTGTCAGTGCTTCTCGTTCAGCTCCACCCACCTTGTTCTTTTGCGTCTTGGACATCTCATCCTCGATCTCCTTGATCTTGGCGGCGGTGGTAGCCATGATGGGCAAGTATCAGTGAAAGTGAGATCCTTGTGTAGTGATGAGTATGTGGTGGTGTACGATTGCCTGCTCTGGGCTGTTGGTCGTATAGACTCGATGTAGAGGAAGGTGGTGCGATTGGAGGTGGTGGCCTGGCTGTGGCTCAAAAATTCTCGCGTGGTGGTGCCTCGACGTCGCCCGACTCCACTCGGGCGCAGATTTTGGCTCAGATGTTCCTCTGCTCCTTCCGAAGAAGCGCTCACCATACTCACTCACAGACAGGTCAGGTCGTCCTTTGCAAGCTGCTTCCAGGCCAAGATGGCTTCCCCGCTCTCCCTGACGCAGTCTTCCTTTCTGCTATCCTCTCTCATCTCCTCGCCCCCGCATCGTCTCGACGCTCGCCCGCTCCTCTCCTACCGCCCCCTCGTACTCTCCTCGCCAGTCGAGGCAGGCTCAGCCACACTCTCTCTCGGCTCTACTTCCATCACCTCTAAAGTCTCCACGCAAGTCATCAAGGCCTCCTCAACCGAAGAGTCCCAGCTACAGCAGCAAGAAGAGGAAGGAGAGAATGAAGAAGACGATTCAGCGGGGGTGTGGAGCGTGAGCATTGGGACCAGCCCAAGTTGTCAGCCGCCAGTGGTCAATGGAGGCAAGAGCAGCAAGACGGGTTGCTTGGAGTTGGACGCGGCTCTGTTGCAGCTGGAGAGGATGCTGAAGAGACACCTCAACCAGGCCATCCCGATGGAGCAATTCATCATCCTTGCAGCACCTCAAAATGCGTCAGCAGCTGCCTCCTCGTCTTCTTCTTCTTCCTCCTCGAATAGGGAAAAGCTAAGAGGAGCAACCTACTGGTCCCTCGCCCTCGACATCACCATTGATTCCCTCGCAGGAGGCAATTTGTATGATGCTGCTTGGGCAGCCGCCTTTGCCGCCGTACACCGAGCTCGGATACCGCGGACCCGTGAAGTAGCCTATATCCCTCCCGAGTCGTCCAGGGATCAAGCTACAGAGGGATCGGCAGATATGGAGAAGATGGGCATCAAGAGTGTGAAGGGAGAGAAGAAGAGCAGAAAAGTTGGGCAGGGAAGAGCATTTGATTTCGAGCTGGTCGACGTTTGGGATGAGGGAAGGCCGCTGAGTGGGCTAGAGGTCATGGGCGTTGGTCTTACAGTAGGACTAGTGAGTCGAGAGAAAGGGTTATTGAGTGGCCGCCCTGAAGTCTCAAAGACACTGATCGACTTTTCGATTCCACCGACTCTGCTCCAGCTACCGAACGGTACCCACGTCCTCGACACTTCGCTGGACGAAGAGCTCTCCCTGCCCACATCCCGTCGCGTCTTCCTGGTCGTCTCACCCTCTACGTCCACCCAAATTCACTCTATCCACCTCCTCCCCTCCCTGCTGAATCTGACAGCAGGCGAGTCAGACAGTCTATCGGAGGAAGACGCTCTGCGCTTCCCGCGTCCACCAAAGGCGCAGCTGCAGCAGAATGAGATCTTGCCAGGAGTCGAGATTAATGGGAAAGCCGCAGGGGGGCAAGTTCAAGGGCAGTGGGAAGAGCAAGGCTGGGGTCTACCTACCTTTCAGAGGATCAAGGCTGGCGTGCAAGTCGGGAGCAAGTACGCTGTGGAGCTGGGAAAGGTGTTACGGGCGACGCTGGATGCGGAGGAGGGAGCGGCAGTCAAGGAACGTGCAGGAGAGGAGATGGACATGTCCTAAGTCACAATCACAGTCACATGTCTCTCTCCCTCATGGGAGCCATGTCACGAGAGGGTAAGGTCTGGCGTCAGGCTCGGCGATCTTCTCTCATACCAATCCGAGCCGGACCCTGTCTCCCGTGACGCGCTTACCACCGATTCATCAGCAATCAATCAAACAATCAATCAATCAATATCACCAAGATCACTTCACTTCTTGGCAATGGCCTAACAGATACACCTGCTCTTTCTGGCCCTCCCCTCCGCCGGGTCGAGCTACTCCGCGTCCCCGACAGACGCCAGCGGGTGTATAGAGTGCATGCAGCGCTGATACTTGCTGTAATAGTTCCCTCGGCCCGAAGGGAAAAATCACCAGCAAAGTGATCGACGTTCCTGAATCCTGTCAGCTGGTCGGAATGTCTCACTGTGTGGCATCCATGATAGTGTTACCCCTCTCCCCACTCGCACAAGCCTCTCCACATGGAAAGGCAGAGGAGCTCTTCCCGTCCACACCGTCTTGCTGTGTATTGTTCCCCCTGCTGTGCACCACTCGAACGTAAGGCGGACCGGTACCCACGGGGGCAGTACAGGGGTTTCAGGGGCGGAACATGCGGCGCGACGGGGCCGAGCGCGCCGGACCAGTACTGTACCTGACATTCACGCACACGCCCTCACACTTCATCTATATCCGCTGATTGAGCCGGAGAAGACGGGCGGATAGGAGAGGTGAGGGCAGAGCAAAGCGGGGTATTTGTGCTTGTTTGATGGCTAAATGGAGGACCTTGATGGACGTTGAGCACCGCCGGATCAGGAGGTCCGTCGGATGTCCTGCTCCTTGCTCAGCCCTGATGAAGAGGGAGAGTGTGCACAGCTGTTGTACCGCATCTTGTTCTCCGAGGGTACAAGAGGGTGCGAGGAAGCGAACTAGCTCGAAGCCTCAACCCCCAAAGGCCCTGTCTCGCTCGAAGACCTGGCTCATTGCTTGCGAACCTGCGGCCCTGCTGACATCCTTCTAGGTCCACAGCCAAGATGCTCTACCAGCGCCTCCCACCTGCACTGTACTCCCTTTTGGTCGCATACACGGTTGCGTGAGTATGAAGTGGGGCATGCTAGCTGTATAGCACCTGACAAGACGTCTTCTGCCTTGGTTCGCGGAAATAGTATCAGCGGCATGTGCATAGCGTGAGTACAGCCACTAGCGCTTGCGTGCATATCGACACGCCTTCGCATTAACGCTGACCTGCCTGCATCCTCTCGCTTCGCAAAATCTTTTCCACCTACCATCACCCCTCTCCAGATACGATGTAGTGGTAATGAATGCAGTCCTTCTCATGCCTGACTTCCTGCTCATGGCCAACACCACCAAGCAAGAGACGCTTGCCTTTCTCTCCTCTGTCCTCCTCATCGGTGCAGCCATCGGTACTCTCCCCTCTGCCTGGCTAGCAGACAAGCTCGGTCGCCGTGCTCCCATCTCAATCGGTGCGCTGCTGTACGTCGTGGGTACGGGAGTCCAGCTGGGAGCGGATAAGAGGGCAATCACGCTGGCTGGGAGGGCGATCAGCGGTGTTGGAGTGGGGTTCATGGCCCTCTGTTGCTCCCTCTACACGGCAGAGATGTCCACTTCTTCCAATCGCGGTATGCTCACTTCACTCCAGCAATTCTTCCAAGTCAAGGAAGTTCTCATTGCCGCATTCGTGGTGTATACCTCTACAAAGGACAATTTCGGAGAGGAAAAGCAGTGGAAGATGCCAGTGGGCGTATCTATGGGTCCTGCGGTCATATTGATGGTGATGATTTGGCTAATGCCGGAGTCGCCGAGATGGCTGATGATGCGAGGGAGAGAGGCAGAGGCGATTCATGCTCTTGCTGTGAGTGGACGAAACGGTGGTGTCCACAGATACTTTGCTTTTCACACAACAGCCTTTCCGCACCTGACTTGCGACAGAAATTCCACTCCCGAGGCGATGTGAAAGATACGTACGTCTGTGCGCAAGCAGCAGACATCAAGGCTGCCTGCCTCTCAAGTCGAGCGCAAGGCGATGCCCTCCGGTCCATCTTCCGCAGCAAAGCCGGCCGCAAGCGCTTCGCCATCGGATCTCTCATTGCCGCCTCGGGGCAAGTCACAGGCCAGTCGCTAGTGCAGTACTACCAACCAGCAATCTACCGCGCCCTAAACTTCTCGCTCAAGCGTACCCTGCTCTTCCAGTGTGCCCATGCAGGAGTGGGACTTGTGGGGACTTGCTTCGCCATTGCTCTTATGGATCGACTCGGGAGAAGATTCCTCGCTGTAATCTCGATGGGCCTGTGTGCCATTGGACTGGCGGGAGCAATGGTCACTATTGAGCGTTGGCCCATTGAAAGTCTCAAAGGCGATAGAGATACGGGTCACTATGCCCATCTAGGCTTTACATGTGAGTGGACGTGGAAGATATTGGACAGAAGCCGTCAGTATAACTTGACCAATGCTCAATGTCCCTGTCTTGCCTTGCTTGCCGGCTACAAGGGCTCTTCTACTTTGCCTTCAATGCCGGCATCGGACCAGTCACCTACACTTATGCTACCGAAAGTGAGTGCCATCCCACCGTCGACACCTACCACTCCCACGACAACGCTCAACGCTCAGCGCTAAATCCTCACCAACCTCTCTTCTCTTCTTGCCCTGCACAGTCTTCAACACTCCTGCCCGCTCCCTCGGCTCTGGCTTTATCCTCCTGACTAGCTGGTTTGCCAACTTTATGATCACCCAAGGCGCCTCTAAAGGATTTGAGAAGCTTTCCTGGAAGTACTTCCTTATCTTCCTCGTACTCGCTGCACTCAACGGCTTGTTCCTCCTATTGGGAATGCCAGAGACGAGGGGGAGGACATTGGAGGAGATGGATGAATATTGGGGAGAGGAGGACATGCAGCGGATGATCGTGCTTGGGAGGAGGACGGGGAGGGTGGGGAGGATGGAGAGGGAGATGGAGCTGAGGAGTGGACTGGTGCGACGATTGCAGGTGGAGAGCTTGGGGCTGGAGCTCAAAGGCAACTCACAGGCGTAGAGTGGAGAGGGAGACTTTCTCACCTTGACAATCCACGCTGACGACTCCTCCAAGCATAGCAAGCCTGTTCCGACGATGTAGATTGCATGCCCAGCTTTCGAAGACGAGCTGCAGCACGACACTATCTTCTTTCTAGAATATGTAATGACCTCTTATGTCCACAAAGGCCTGGTCCCGTCCTTCCTTCTCGTCCGGCCATCTAAGACCCCAACTCACGTCGCAGTGCTCAAGCAAGCACCACCTTGCCATACTTCTGCAGTACCCTCTCCTCCACTCCATCTCCTACCCACCTCTTTCCCCCCTTCTCCCCCTTCTTTCCCCCAAATCCAGTAAGCGTCTTTCCTTCAAGTGAGCTCTGCTTGATGGGGGGTGGAGCTTCGAGGAGTTGTTTGCCAACTTCATAGAGGGTTTCGCGCTCTGTTGCGTGGAGCTTCGAAAAGTCGGCTTTGGCCATTGGGTTTGGCTGCTGCTGACCTGGTTGAGGGCCTCCCATGCCCCCGAGAGGACCCATCATGTCTCGGGTTGAGTCGGCCGCTGAAGGAGGGGTTTGGAGGAGGACAAAGGCGAAAGATCAGCTGCGGAGAAGGACAGACTGGATGGCTTGCAGCTGTATTCACTGACCATTGTCATCTCCTAGCAGTACCCTATACACGGCATTGAGTCCAAAGAATGCAACGAGGAAGTACCAGCTCAGACTGCTAACCCAAACCATTTGAATCCCTTCGCTGGCCAATCCCCTCTGCAACCAACCCTTGAAGTAGTCCAAGGGAAACGGCAATGGACTGAGGGGAATCTTGGCGACTACGAATCCAGAAAAGAAGAAGGAGATCCATCCCATGATGAGCTGTTGTGGGATCATCATTACCATGCTCTTCTTCATTGGCTCCATCATTCCCTCCATTGCATTTGGGTCACTCATAGGATTGGGTGGCATAGCTGGACCTTCCTCCTCGGCAGCAGCGGGCTTAGGTTCTTCGGCGAGGAATCGTCCACTGCCGAGATCCTCCATGAGCTTCTCCCTCTTGGCCACAAATGACGCAGGGGGAATCATTGCGTGATTCGTTCGTAGCGCGCCCGAGCGAGCCATGATACGTTGTTGTCGCAATTCGAGAGAAGTAGGTCTCTTGGGAGGAGAGGTGATGAGCATGACAATGTTGTGACGAAGTAGGCCGACGAGGAGGATGACGAGGGTGATGGGGAGGAGGACCCAGTCCCGGATAGCAGAGTCCAGCAGTAGCGTTTGTCTGTGAGGTGAGGTGGACGGGGATGTGGTGGATGTGAGCGTGCGAGCAGCCGTTGTACTGCGGCGAGACGATACTACTCACTCTACGGCCATCTTGTACGACGTCGTCTCTTCTCCTCTACCGATGATGCAATGTATGCGATGTGAATGGTGAGCCCGTCGGAAGAAGCGTCGCCCCGCCCCGCGCCCCGCCCTGTGCTTGTGTGCCGCGTGGCGTTGGCTGCTGTCAGTGTCAGTGTGCCTTTGACAGGAAATGGCTTGTGCTCAAAGCCACGACGACGACGACGACGACGAGGGCTCACCGCTACAGACGACAATCACCATCATCATCACCATCACCATCAACCCCCCTCCGTGGTATTAGGCTGATACGCCATCGACCGAAGAGGTCATTGGCTCACCCTCGCCATCATGGCCGCATCGTCGTCGTCGTCGTCCTCGGCGACAAAGCGGTCTGCCTCGTCTTCCACGTCGAGCGTGCCCACCCTCTCGCGCTTGAACATCATCGCCGACGCCTTTGGTCAAGACGACGAGGACGCATGGGCATTGGACTCGGATGATGAAGACTTTGCTAAGCAAAGATCACAACAACAACAGCAGCAGCAGCAAGGCCGCAGCGCTACCGGGTCTACCAGCTCATTGCGCTCACCTTCCTTGGTCGCCTATCCACGAGGACCGACAGTGGAAAGGAGCTTCAGCTCGGGAAGCGTCACCTCCAATAGCAGTAGTAGCAGCAGCACATCTGCCGCAAGGAAACATGCACCACCAGCACGACCTCATCCCTTTCCCTTGCCAACCTCCTCCTCTTCCTCAACTTCCAAGACGACGCCTTACAGAGCCTCGTCCCTCTCTCAGTCTCAGGTCCCTCTCTCCGATAGAGGCAGGGATGATTTGAGGACAGACCAATCATCCAATGGACGCTCCTCATCTAGCTGGACCATGGTCAGCGACATGAGCACAGCAGCAGCAGCTTCCACTCAACTATACGATCCTAGCCCTTCAGCCACACCTCGCAATCGCAGTCGCTCCCCAACAATACCAAAGACAGTATCGCGCGCAGCGGCAGCGAGCGGAACGGCCTCCTTGGCCGGCTCACCACCCGCAGAGCTGGGATCCACTGCCGCTGAAGCCGTACTGCAAGCTTGCATGCGGGATCAAGGGGGGTCAGCACGGGGCAAGGGGACACTTTCGCCGCCCCTGGCATCACCGACTTACGATTCCACCTCACCTACCGACATGGCCCGTTCCTCATCGATCACCTCCGTTGGCTTGGAAAAGAAGCGGGATAGGGAGGCTGGCAATTTCACCTCTTCCATCAGAGACGAGGTGATGGACATTGTCAGGGATCCATTCGTTGCCCTGGAATGCTTGACAAGGGCTGCTGCTGCTGCCTCGAGCTCCGATAGCGCCTTTACTGCCAGTCCTACTCCCACGACGGCAATCCAGCGTCAACAAGAGCATACACGCAACCTGGGAATGCACAGGGGATTCAATGATCTTGGTGGCCCAGGCACGCCCGGCAGCGCCTCTGCCTCTTCTTCCCCACAACAGCTACCGCGCTCAGCATCTGCATCGTCGACGAATTGGAAGGCAGGCAGTCGTGGTAGAGGGTTTGCGCCCTGGAGCGCAAAGAGGCAAGACAGTTTTGACCCTTTGTCCATTGCCGGTGAGGGAGTGACCATGAGCGGACGTGGCTGGGCCAGGAATAGCAGTACGACCAGCCTCGACAAGGGCAAAGGAGCTGCTGGTGATACTGGTGATAAAGGCTCGGGTGCAGAAGGAGACGGCGAGACTACCCCGGGCGGTGGACAATACCTCCCCCTGCCCTCGGACGCAGAAGGTGGGCACACCTTGCGGAGGGAAAAGTCTGTGAGGACTAAACGGCGGTGGAGGGAATTCTTCCGATGTCTGGAGGGAGGGTCCTCGGCAGCAGTAGCCAGTAGTGCCTCGACGGTTGACCTCACGAAGTTGAGGGAATTGAGCTGGAACGGCATTCCCTCTGCTCTGCGGCCCATCGTCTGGCCTCTCTTGCTCGGCTATCTCCCACCGAACTCGTCGATGCGTACAGCGACGCTAGCTCGCAAGAGGAACGACTATCGTAAAGCGGCCCAATTGGCTTTTGGATCAGACTGTTTCGACGAAGGCGAGAACAGCAGTAGCAGCAGCACCAACAAGACAGGCTCTCCGATTCCACTGGCGGCACATCGCAAGAATACCGAAGAGGAGAAGATCTGGCATCAGATCTCCATTGACGTCCCGCGTACGAACCCCTCTCTACCACTATGGCAGCGTGCCTCTACACAGCGGTCCCTCGAGCGTCTCTTGTATATCTGGGCCATCCGCCACCACGCGACCGGCTACGTGCAAGGGATGTCGGACCTTGCCACTCCCTTTTTCCAAGTCTTTCTAAGCATCTACCTCCAAGTCTCCCCGGACGACGAGGAAGAAGCCAGCGCAATCGAAGGTGAAACTCGTCGAATTGAAGACGTAGTTGAAGAGTACGACCCTGTGCATCTGCCCGCTGAAGTCCTCGTGGCAATCGAGGCAGACACCTACTGGTGTCTTGGTAAACTCCTCGAAGGGATTCAAGAAAACTACATTTTCGCTCAGCCTGGAATCGTACGTCAAGTACGTCGCATGGAAGAGCTCGTTGGTCGAATTGACGCTCCCTTACATGCCCATCTCAAGGCTCAAGGGGTAGAATACATGCAATTCGCCTTTCGATGGATGAACTGCTTACTCATGCGCGAAGTGAGCGTTCAAAACGTTACACGCTTGTGGGATACCTATCTGGCTGAAGGGCCAGATGCATTCAGTGATTTCCACCTCTACGTCTGTTCCGTCTTTCTCTGCAAGTGGAGTGTGGAATTGAGGGGAATGGACTTTGCGGGATGTATCATGTTCTTGCAGGCATTGCCTACGAGGGGATGGGGAGATAAAGATGCGGAGCTACTGTTGAGTGAGGCATTTGTTTTTAAGAATCTCTTTGGACAGACGAGACATTTGGGGGATTAAGAGAGGGGGATTGAGAGAGGGGGTGGAGAGAGGGAAGGAGGGGACCAATTCATCCATTCAACCAGCAAAGGCAATATCATCCGATCCTCCGATCCTCATCCGTACAAAAGCATTGAGAAGCATCACTCCGGCAGGCAGGCAGGCAGGCAGGCGAGCGAACCAGGCAGGCGAGCAGTGGAAAAAAGCAAAAGCAATAACATGAGACATAATACTTGAAGAGTGAAACAAAAACATGACAAGGGACGAGAGGAGAAGAACGAGAAAGGTACTGAGGGAAGGAAGGAGGGAGATAAGTAGGTGAGAAGGAGGAGGGAGGGAGGGATGTGGTAGAAAGAGCACGATTGATGAGGAGGGAGAGGTGGGGTTTCGAGGAAGAGATAAAGCAGGGAGAGGTGAGGTGACGCAAGAGGAAGAAAATAGTGGTGTGGTTGTTGTGTGGTGTAGGTTGGGAACAAGGCGTAGAGGGAGGGACGCTCAGGACGAGTCTAGCCAAACCTGGCAGACGTGCAGAGCAGAGAGGTCATAGGATCGATCGCTCCTGCGCTCCTCTCTACGTCCTTCCCCTTTGACTTGCCTCCTCCATGAGGCCAAGAAGAGAGGCAAGACAGGCGAGAGAGGAAAGATCCAGCAGCCGCTTTCATCCTTTCGTCTTGCTTTGCTTTGCTCCGCTCTGCTCCGCTTTGAATCCTGCCCGTCCGTCGATCGTTGAGTCCAATCGATCATAAAAGAAAAAAAAAGTTACTAGTTCGTTCGTGTCTGTCTGTCTGTGTATACCAGGTCCGGTCCGGTCCAATTCAATCCAATCCATATCCGTGAGTAGATCGACGAAAAAGCTGCCCTAGTGGGGTGAAGGTCCGGACCGCTACGCTGGTGACCTTGGCCGCCCCGGTGCCGCTCTTGTCTCTGAAATCCGCTGCGCTGTATCTGCGACTATCAAGCTTTCTGACTCTCTTCGAGTCATCGTTCCGCCTATTGGCTGCTGTGAAGGCCCTCCATGTCTACGAGTGCATCCGCTCATGCACTCCGTGGACCAGAGGTCTCCACCCTCGGCAAGACGCGCTTACTGAACGCGCCTCCTTAGGGCTCATAGAATTCCACTATCCCTAAGCGCATTCTGCAGAATCGTTTCCTTGACAGCCGCAAACACCAGCCGAATATTGCTCGTGTCCGTAGCCTGTGTCAGATGGGGGAAGATGCTCAGCCTTGCGCGATTGGTTTGGGTGAAGCGCCAGAGAATGTACTTTGCGGCCTTGTTGACATCTGCGCCTCCAGAGTACTCGGGGAAGAAGTTGCTGAGCGGTACGCGTGGGATCTTTTGCTTGAAGACGTCAATCTTGTTTAGGAAGAGGACGATGGATGTGCGGAGGAACCATCCTAGCGAGGTAAGGTAGGTGGGATGGTATGGAGATGTGTCAGCTTCGTCGGCGTTGCTTCGAATCCCTCACGCAGATACTCACTGCTGTTCACCACGCTCTCGAAGAGCACCAAGCTCTCTGCCATCCTGTTCTGTCCGCTCTCCTCCAACAAGACCTGGTCGTACTCGCTCAAAGCGACACAGAAGATGATGCTCGTCACTGCCTCGAAGCAATGAATCCACTTCTTCCTCTCGCTTCTTTGTCCACCAACGTCAAACAGATGGATGGACAATTGACCCATGGCAAACCGCGTCTCGGCGATTCCAGTCGTCTTGGTACGCGCCCGTAGCACATCGTCCTGTGTAGGCACGTAGCCAGCTGCTGAGATTCTGTTGATGTTTTCGAAAAAGTACGGCGCCGAGTCCATCAGGTAGAACTCCGATGACCTCTCCGTAATGGACTGTGTCACTGGGTCCTCCCAAAGTGAGGCCACGGCAGCAGCAATGTTGGGGTCCAGTGTCAAGTCTGGGTCGGCATCGACTCTATATTGGAGGATCTTGTCGCAGTTCTCTCGATTCTCAATGTTTTGAGGCTCTAGTCGGAATTTCCTCATTGCCAAGACGATCGCCTGTGCGGAGTCGATCAGATTCTTGACCACTGTCAAGCGGTACTGCAGCAGCTCCTCTGTTGTGTAGCCATCTTGGTGGATAATCTTCATCTGCTTCACCACTGTAGACTTGCCAGATTCACCGGAACCTATTGGAGGCAAACGTGAGGTGAGAAACCACTTCATCAGCGTTCTGCCAACACAAGCTACAGCATATAGGCGCCGCGATGATCGTACTCACCTAGCAGCAGAATCTTGCACTCCTTTCTCACTTTACGGCTGTCATCCTCTATTTGTTTGTCGATGGCAACGCTCTTTTCCTTTGCCTCGTACTTCTCACCACCTGATGACATACAGGCACCCATTTTGGACAGTCACGTAGATGCAGGAGAACAGCTGTGGACAGTGGCGAGATTGACTCGTATATGCGCTCTTTGGGAAGCGACCAGCAGAAGAGTCCAGCTACGCAGCGGTCTAAAGGCTCTTGGTTGAGGGACTCGGGTGGCTAGGCGCTTCGCGTGTGATCGGGTCCTATTGAAATACAGGCCCGCTGGGAAGGTCGTTGCTAGTGATCAACACTGGTGGCTAAAGAGCAGGGCTCGTATGCGGAAGCTCTTGACGGCGGAGGTGATGCAGTGTAGCGGTTCAGGTGCAGTGGCGAGGATGGATAGCGATGGAGCAGGGTGACCGCCAAAGGGGGACCGGGCTGGGGTTTGCTTTGCTACGACTCGTAGCGTCAAGTCAAAAGTCTTGCGGTGTGGCGAAGTCCGTGCCCTGAGAGGGAGAGGCCGAGGGCGTGGTAGCAAATGTAGCAAATGACAAGGAAGTGTTGCTTCTTGGCGGTTAGGCAGAAGCTGTCGAGTTGTTTTGGTCAAGAAAGAGCCGGCGTGGGTCCTTGTGCTTCCGCTAGAAGTGGCTCTTTGATGTCCAGAGAAACACCTGGAGGCAATTTCTCACGCTTGTGGGCGTGATGGAGCAAAGGGCAAGTGCGGATGACTTGTAGCGCGAACGGCGTCGAAGCAATCGGCTCGTTCCGAGGGGATGCGGGGTGCTCGCAAGGCTGCCAAGGGACAGTAGATGGTGGCTGTGTCAAGCGTCGTGGTAGCTGCGAAGACAGCGACCCAGTGATGCGTATCTAAAGGCGAGGGTACAAGGGTGCCGATGCGGTTGCGATGTTTGCTGCAAAGAGGTGTGCGGTCACTGCGGGCGTGTGCGGGACGAGTAGGGCGGGGCGACGGTGAGGAGGAGGCGAAAGGAAGGGAAGAAAGGGAGGAGAGATGGATGGTAGGCTGCCTCGAAGAGGGTGGTGGGTAAGCGACGTAGCTAGGAGGAGTAGGATGGTACGATGAAAGGAGGAGGAGGAGGGGTGCGCAGGAGGGAGTGGGCAGCGGAGGG